CGACGACCGGGACGGCGTGTCGTGCGGCGTGGGCGAGGCGGCGGACCTCGTCACGCTCAGCCCGCTGTTCGACGTGGCGCGCTCCGGGTGGTTCTTTGCGCACGACGTGACGGGGTACGACCGGTCGCTGTGGACGGCGCTGCCGCGGCGCGCGGCCATCGTCACGGCCGGCCGGTACAGCCGGCGGCTGCTGCTGGCCATGGACGAGGAGGTGGGCCGGCACAACCGCAGCATGTTTGCCGAGATGTTCCCCGCGACCGTGGCGCTGCACCACGGCTTCAAGGCCGTCTACGCGCCGCACCCCGTGCACCTCAGCCGCGCGTGGGCGCCGGCCGACGTGGACAGGCACTACAACAGCGGCGAGCGGCACTCGACGTCGGGTCGCCGCGGGCCGTTTAGTCTGGCCACGGAGCGCGTGCATGCCGTCTCGAGCTGGTACTACAAGAGCCGCTTCTCGCAGCACTTGTGGCAGCGCTGGTTGGGGCACGGAGGGTCGGATGGGGAGAGCGAGGCAGGCGGCGGGCCAATGTGTCTGCAGAGCATGTTGCTGCATCCGATTAAGCAGGAGCATCCATCCGAGTGAAACGGGCCTTAATATGTGTATATTTCTTTTAACAATGCAATGCTAGCTTTCGATGCAAGGGACAAGAGAGGGCACGGTATGACGTTCGAAGGATGCGCGAATTGGGTCACATACGATGCGTTGCACAAGGCCCTCCCGAGTACCTGGGTGATGATGGTTTCTAATGGACATTGGTCCAACCCTTTCCCCTGCTTCACTACCATTCCGAGCCATCGACAGACATGGCATCGTCAGAGGAATCATCACTGCTGGCCAGATCAAACCTAGTCGGTAAATCCACCATCTGTGGCGAACGTCCTCGTAGCCTGGTCGGCTCCTCTGCCAAATTTGTTAAAAACCAAACAAAAAAACAAGAAGAGAAAAATTGCTTCAACTCACGAGTCACTCGACGATCCGGCGGAAACGGACTGTCTTCGCCCGCCGTTGGCCGAGCGGGCGGCGCTATTCTCCGCAGGCGCGCGCAGAGCCCGGGGCGAACTGTTTTGCAGCACGGCATCGTGTTGTGGCCCACAAGCTCATATGATGGTTTCCATGGGTTCGGAGAAGAGCGTGAAGGAAGAAAGAAAACACGGAGCATTTTTATACAATTTGGTTGGGTGGGTGGAGCGCGTGAAATACAGTGTGGGCTTTCTCGGCCGCTGCGATGGGAATCACGGTGGCACGAATGCGGCTGAGTTGTTGTTGCCTATTCGCTGGGCACCCAATAGCTTCTAGTTGATTCTAGAATGAGACACGGTAACCCTTCATTCCTTCTTGGACACCAGACAGAACTTGCTTGCTGAAATACGTCATACTCCATGTTGCACAGGTCTGGTCCGGGCCTCGCACGAACACCCACCAGGTACGAACCGTGCACCTTCACAGAGAACTGCTCCTAACTTTGCTGCTCCAGATGGGATACTGGAATAGCATCGGTGGAACGGTCGGCCTTGTAGTTCTTCAATGCGGCCACTCATGCGCGTGCCGCTTCTCCCACGCTGCTCGCCCGCCCGCCTTGTCAGTCTTGTGCGCGCGATGGCGTCGCCTTTTGTCGGGGACTGGGACAAAATACCTAGGATTCCTTGGCGAAGCTGGAGCAATAGCCGTTGTCTCGCCACGCCAAGGCCGTACCGCGGCGCAAATGTTTCAAAGTCGCGCCGCTCATCATCGTTGACGGGCGGCGGCATGGCTATGTCGGAACAGCATGTCAGCCATCGCGCGTCCCACTCGCAGCGTTTTCTTTCTTCGACTTTGTCTCCCCAGCTTTCAAGTTCCTTCAATGATAAAGAATACTCTGCAGTCCATGCGTACCTGTCGGTGGCGGCGCACTGGTTGAGCGCTCCGTCGCGTCCACGACTTCGGGTGGCACCCAGGGGGCCTCTCTGTCGCGGTACTGGCCACAAAGACGCATCTCGGACATGGAGCTTTGCGCGACAAAGCGATCATGGGGAGGTATGGAGCTCGTCGAGTGTTGACGGGGTCTTTATACGGGCACGGCCGGCAGATGGCAACCGTGTTGCCGTCGTACAAGAGCGCAAGTACGGGGCCAAGGCGACGAGGCATAAGAATCAGCCTTGGCTTGTCCAATCGGCACGACAGGAGGGTGTATATTGGTGGGCTCCGAAAAGGCTTTGTGGTACAATATCATTGAGAATATCAGCCAAAGGAATCTCACGCCCTACATCGTGGGGGAGGGGGGCCAACTTTATTGTATACTTTAGTCCAACGAATTCCTCTATGCGCATGAAGAAGCAGTATGAACCACAAACGCCAAAGCGGTATCAGCGAAACTTCGAGGAAAATTTGCAGTTCGTAGTTTCGTACGTTGTAGCGGCGGACAAAGGCGTAGCCGCCGTCCATGCCCAGCACTGCTAAATTCGGCCTCGAATCCCACAACGTTACAAGTCTGTTATAGCAGTGGTTTAGTTCAATAGATGTCGTTTTTATTCTTTTAATCTAGATTCACTTTCTCCACCGACAAGTTCCCCATACACACGCGGCCGTTGGAGACGATTCCCCCATGTACAAGCAACACCGCGCCCGCGCCCAGGAACAAGCGTCTGCTGTGGACCGACAAGTTCGGCTAGATCGCCGGGGTTCGATCCTGCTAATATTAAGAAAGGTAAGTCGTTCACGGAAGAACGCTGCAGCGTCATCCGATTGCCATGGTTGATGAAAGTCGCTACTCATGTACTCGTTGGGTAACAACACCCGGGAATAGCTTACCTCTTCCCTGCGGCGATATGATTTTAGCTACCTTTGTAATCTCCGATGCAACAACAACAACTAAAAATCATTTGCCAAGCTGCACGAGCAATGGCGTCATCATGAGCCGGCCTTGAAGCTAGCTCCCCGCCGAAGCCTCCCGCTGTCAAGCTTGTCGCAAGACCAAGCTCCAATAAGCTCATGCGACTGTGACGCAAGGAGGGGTAGTTTATACAAAAGCGGCAAACCTCGCATCCTTTTTTCCCCTCTTCCGGCTCTTTTTTTTTTCTCCTTCCCATTCAAACAACTTTTACAAATCGATTCTCTACCAAATCATGGCTTCCCATCACGTCCTCATCCTCGGCGGCCACGGCAACATTGCGCAGAAGCTGACGCCGCTTCTGCTCCGCCGCGCATGGACCGTCACCAGCGTCATCCGCGCGCCGGAGCAGGCGCCTACGATTGAGAAGCTCGGCGCCGGCCTGCCCGGCACGCTGCACGTGCTCGTGCAGAGCATCGCCGACGTGGCGAGCCAGCATCAAGCCCAGGACGTCCTGAACAAGGTCAAGCCCGACTACATTGCCTGGAGTGCCGGTACGGCTCTTCTTCTTCTTGGCAAAAAAAAACTAGAAAAAAACTGACAAAACCCCCCACGCAGGCGCCGGCGGCAAGGGCGGTGCCGAAACCACCTTCAAAGTCGACCGCGACGCCGCCATCCACTTCATCCACGCCGCCGCCGCCACGCCGTCGGTGCGGCGCTTCCTGCTCGTCTCGTACACGGGCTCGCGCCGCGCCGCCGCGCCCTGGTGGCCCGCCGCCGACTGGGACGCCTACGACCGGGACGTCAACCACGGCGTGCTGGCCACGTACTACCAGGCCAAGCTGGCCGCCGACGAGGCCCTCTACGCGGCGACCAAGGGTGCCGCCGCGCCGCTGGTCGGCATTGGCCTCCGCCCGGGTACACTGACCGATGGCCCCGCCGCCGGCGTCGTGCTCGGCAAGGTGCCGAGCGTCAAGGGCAGCGTGCCGCGCGCCACCGTCGCGCACGTCGCCGACGCCCTGCTCGCGGCGGAGAATGTGCAGACGGGCTGGTTCGACCTGCTTGAGGGCGACGAGACGGTCGAGGCGGCCGTCGCCAAGGCCGTCGAGGACGGTGTGGATGCGGCCGAGGGCGAGGCCATTTACAAACAGTGACTTGGAGACGATGCAGGACGAAAATTAATGTAAATTGTAGTCTCTATAGTACTGAAAAACGTGTCGTGCTGAAATCATCGGTGCTCGTCTTTAGACTCGGTGCAGCCGTGCAGAACTCGGCCGACGTGGCTCCAATTCCAACTCGTCCAACCGCATGCCCTGCCGGCGATAGTCTTGGCTTATGTTGGAAGACGTCGCTCGGAGGGCCCCGAACCGACCTCTCGAAAGCCTCGAGCCAACATACCGCGTCTTCTTCCGGCTAAAGATTGTTTCCGCCGTCTCGTTGAAGATGTGCGACACCGTCTTCCAACTCGTGGTAAAGTAGATGAGCGCATTCATCACGCCTTGCAGGGGCAGCACAGTGCCGCTGACGGCGCTCAGCTGAAAGTTGATGTGGCCATGGTTGGCGATGCTGTACAGCCTGTTGACGGAGCTGGGGATCCAAGTGACGAGCACCGCGAACCCGAATATGAAGCTTGTGCGGAGATAGGCCATCTTGACCGGGTCCAGCCGTCGCAGACGCAGCTTCGCCGTCTTTCTCAACTTGCCAAGATGTTTCGACAAGCTCGTCTTGTTGCATCGTGGCGCGGCCAGCACCGAGGCACGCATCACTGGCTCCATCGCGTGCATCGTCTGCGTCGTCTCAACCATGTTCTTGGAAGACGTTGAGATGGTGGCTACATGGGTAGGAGGCTGTAGGATTAACTGTCCGCGGTCGTCGCATGGCGAAACGTCCGACTCGACGTGGACTTCAGTCACGGCAATTCCGTAGCAGTCGATCCGTTCTGGACAAATCTTGGCGCCAGTTAGCGGTTGGAATACGACAAGACTCTTTGCGGCTTACTTCTTCGACCGAGTCATCGACATCGGTGATCTGCAGAGACGGCAGGCGGCCATTTTTGTCCAGGCTCTGCTGCCCAGCCCCGCGCAAGCGGTTTCGATGTTGAAAGACGTGGTGTCCAACGGCGATGTAGATAACAATCGACAAAAAGATACAGACCCAGATCGGAATGTAGTACGCGTACAGTCGCACCAGGCTCCAGTTTGGACCGATCCAGCACCACAGCTGTCCGTGTTAGTGTCCGTTGCTCCGCCGCTGCCGTGCGCAGACGTACCGTTGCATCCCCAAACACCGGGCCGTGGGATTCATCTCGTATGGAAATCAAGATGATGGCAGGAATCAGAGGACAGCCAAAGCATACAAGGCAATAGGCCCAAATGTAGCGTGGAAATGTCGCCGGGTTGACGTTGCAGAAGAAGACGAGAAACACATTGCATGCCATGGCGCAGGACCACCACGGGTCGGCTTGCATGAACCTGCACAGGTCAGCCCTCTACATCATCACCAGTTTCCCGAGTTCTTCTCACCATTCGAATATGAAAGCCTGGCCCTGGCACAGCGACGAGTCGTCGCCCTGCAGCAGCCCGTCATAGCCAATCATCGATGCGATGCTAGCGCCGGCGTTGGCAATGGACGCAAAGAGGAGAAACGTATTCGGCGTCGTTCGCAGCTTCGGGTAGACGAGGTACGAAAGCGCAATCATGGAGATGGCAATCATCGACAGGCTGGCCCCGGTGCGCTCAATGGCCACCAGCGTCGCAATCTGGTCCGCCGACAGGTCGGAGCCATCGTGGACGATGGCGTCCATGGCTGGATTGTGCATGCTTGGAAGTGACTAGATGATATTTTTCTTCTTCAGCGATGGCGGTTTGGATTCATACTTGAGCGTCGAGTACTGCAAAATAAAAGGACTTTTTCTGCCGCTTCGTTGCACAGTCGCAGACTCGCAACGCTGTGTGCCAGGTGGCGACACAGGGTCAAACATACGAGGCAGGAGCTGCGAATGGCCAAATGCGGATGTACCGCACGCCATGTCCACGATATGAAATACAGACTGCTCTTATGTTAAGAGCCGCATTTCACCAGTCAGTGAAGGACTTGGTGCGACGCGGGCCCGTTGTGCTAGAGGCGAGGCAAACTCGGCAGGCTCGAAGCGAATCTGCACGCAGAGGGACGACAGAAGAGAGGTAACGCGCCACACGCAAAGTAGTCATGGGAGCATATGCTGCAGTACGAAAAAAAAGAGGCAAATGCAAGTTCAGGTTTCAAAATTGCACAGCAGGAGATGATGATGAGCACGGCAGAGTGCACCGACTTCAACACTATGTACGATCCAGAATACGCCCTACAGCTCCATCGACTCAAACTCTTCCTCCTCGACGAGGAAGTAATCCTTGACCAGCGCTCCCGCATACACCTTGTCCCACTGCTCCTGGGTGCACGAACTCGGCTCCAGCACGTAGCATCGCGGCGCCGGCGCCGGGTACCGCTTCGTCCTGTGTCCCCAGGTGTGGCTGGGGCCCTCTGTCGCGAGCTCCGCCGTCACGTCCGTCCGGCCCGTCGCAATGTCCTTGTTGAATGTGGCGCGCATGAAGATCTCGTACGCGTGCACGGGTTGGTACGAGGGGATCATGTGGCCGGACTGGAAGACGCGGGTAAACGAGAAGTTGCCATGCTGGCGGGTCAGGCCGCCGACGCCGTCCGCCGAGACCAGCGGCGCGTACCCGGCCGCCGCAAACCCGTCGCTGCGGGCGTGTCGGACCGCGAGCGACGACATTTCACCGCCGATCCAGTTGCAGGCAAAGTCGCGGTCGCCGTACATCAGGTGCACCTTGACGCCCGCGTCGAGCAGGTAGCCGAGCGCGTCGACGAAGCCGCCCTTGAGGTGGTCGGCCGAGCTGCCAAAGTTGCTCGAGACGGCCGACGACGAGGCCGTGAAGTTGACGGGCACGCCGAGCGCGCCGAGCACGTCGGCGCGCGCGAGAAACCCGTGAATGTGTGGCGGCGGAAAGGGGTCCTGTTTGCGGTGCGTAATGTCGAAGCGCGCGTGGTCAACGGTGCTGAACGCATCCTCGCCCGGCGAGGTGCAAGACTCTTCAATTCCGCAGATGGCTTTCCAGCCGCCGTCGCGCTCGTCTTGGAGTGTGACGCGGTCGCGGTCGTCGAGGACGTCTTGGCAGTGCAGCATCTGGTCGCGACAGCCGCCGGGTCTGGTGAAGTTGAGCATGAGTTCGTCGTAGTACTCTTGCGTGTACGCCTGGATGCCGTAGGTCTACCATCATTATGAGTCGTCAGTGTTCGCGCGAGACAGACAGGAGGGACGTACATTGTTAAAGGGAAAGATAATGCCGGCCTCTTCGCGGTGCACGGCATCGATGACGCCGTTGATGATGCCCAGCGTGTCCAGGTGCAGGTAGTGCGCCGTCTCGTCGTCGAGCGTGCCGTTGAGGATCTTTTCGTTCTGCTGCTGGAAGAAGCGCGCGAAGCCGGGTCCGTAGTGGCCGCCGTAGCTCTCGGCCCAGAGGCTCACCCGGTCGTCATTCGGCTTGTAGTGGGGAAACTCCCAGAAAAAGGCCTGGGCAAAGTGCCAGAGCGCGTGCGCCGCCTGCGCCGTCGTGTTGACCGTGTGCCGCCCGTCGTCGCTGGACAGGGTGCCGACACGCGTGGTGCTGTTGAGCGGCGGCAGATTGACCTGATCAAAGTCGGTGGCCGTTTGCACGAGCTCGCCGTCGGGGCCAACGACAATGGTAAAGTTGGTGGGCGTGTCGTAGGAAAAGCCGACCTGGTTGGGCTCGTCAATGTAGAGCATGTTGACGTGGTTGTTCCAGCTCCACGGGTTGGGCGACACTGTGGCCGAGTCGTCGTTGACGAAGCAGGGACCGTTCTCTTGGAGTAGGCCCATCATCGAGGACGCGCCAGGGCCGCCGTTGAGCCAGATGGCGAGAGGCGCGTTGGCAGGGTCATGACGAGCCTCGAAGAACCAAAAGAAGCTGGCCAGGCGTCAGATGACAATTGTTGGCAGGGGTGGCTGGACGCGACTCACGTGTTGGTGTCGTAGTCGTGCTCGATGCCGTGGATATCCTGCAAGAGGCTGGCGGGGAGGTGGACATGGCCGGCGTACGACTTGACCCCAGGTGTGGTCTCGCAGAGGCCAGGCTACAAAGAAGAATTAGAAGACGAAAATTATACATCTCTGGACGAGTATAAGATTTGACCTGCCTCCTTGTACGAAATGGTGACATTTTCGTGAAATTTAGATTTCAGGGTCTTGACGCCAGTCAGAGGTGGGGGAAACTGAGCGGCCACCAAGCCGGCGACGCTGCCCAACAGTACAACCTTGGAAAGCATGATGACCTTTGTGCCGTCTTGGATTCCGTCGCTGAAATTTATAATTCCCTAGAAGAGGAGAAATGTATCCCTATTTATCGCAAGGTACAGCGCCCGAGGGGAGAACCCGGATAGCTCGCTCGGGTGTTGTCTTGACTAAGAAGTCGCGGGCGCCGTACCCGGGACCGGGTTGATGCCAGATGGTGCTCCGTGGGTGCCATCAGTCATGTGGTGCCTATTCAAAGAGGTATGTAGAAATGCAATCGACAGACCGACAGTGAGAAATTAATGTTGGATAATCGAAGCTCTGAAAGAAGGGTGTGGTGATGGTACAGCGCGGCCCTCCCCCCGTTGCTCTTTGTTTGGCATCTTTATTGCCTTGGTGCGACTCTGCTTGTCTGCCTTCCACATACTTGGGCATGTGCGGAGCAGATAACAAGGCCCCGGCATTGACAGCGATCAACACGGCTCAGACGGCTCGGCAAACTGATTCTTGCCAAGATTCGGCCAACTTGGAGCTAGCAACGTGCCACCAGACCGATTCCTAGCTCGAGGCAACGGGAGCTGATTCGTCGCCATTTCCCCCAGTTCATTAAAAAAGAGGCCAGTCCACGCAATTAAGCACGGAAGAAAAAGTGATGACGGAAGTGGCAGGGCTAACTACTAAGGTACCTAGGTACCTACCTAGGTAGGTAGGTAACTTGCTGGGTTGCTGGGTAGCTCCAGGAGGAGCTGGTGTGTGATGATGCGCCACTACGTGCCTTGGTTTTTGGCGCCACAGCTGTAGTCAGCAGAGAAGAGCCCCGCCACGAGCCTCCAACAGCTGGTACCCTCTGCTAACGTACCCTCTGCTAACAAGGCTGAAAAGACACAAGGAAAACGAATACAATAACCAAAAAATGTTAACAAACTATCAAGATGAAGAATATTATAAGAAATAGGGAAAAAATGTAAGGAAGGAAGATCAGTATTTGTTTCGTCTCTCTGCTGGCAGACCATTGGCCGTCAAGGAATGGAGCTGCTCGCGGGTCTGTCCACTAAAATCAGCGCTGAAACGCCGCCAGAGAAAGTAGTCCACTAGCCGGGAGTCGGCAAACGGCCCCAAAGCCTCTTTCTGGCTTAATTTAGGCGGATCGACATTCAAAGCTGCATGTACTCGTACAGCAAACAGCATGGTCGCGCCTCCATCGTCATTTCTCCTCCTCGGCTCCCGTGCATTTTTACTTTTTGCTCCTTTGAATATCTTCATGCTTGGCATTCGTTTTGTCCAAAGATCAGCCTCTTAACCTGAACCCTATCCCGACATCTTTAGCAGTCTCCTATCAAGCTCCCGCATTTTAGCATCACGCCAAGCTTTCTCGACCGACCGCCGTTGTGGCTTGGCGACCACCTAACCTCGACCGAAATCCGGACCAGTTCACGACCAATACATAGGTAGCAACCTCGCCAACCATGGCCGAGGCGACACCAACACAAGCGCCGCCGCTCGTGACACCTCCCGTCCATGGCAAGACGCCCAACGGCAACACCGCCCAGAACCTCGAGACCAACGGCGCCGCCTCCGCCCCCGCGCAAACGGACGAATCTCCCACCAACACCCAGCACCAAGACAGCCAACCCAGTGGCACCTCCAAAGAGGACAGGCAGCCGACCAAGTCGTCACGGCGGCCGCGCGGCGGCTTTGACCCGACCAAGCTCCCCGACGTGCCCCCCGGCTACACGGTGCGCTTCACGTTCCACTCGGCCTCCAACCTCGCTCCCGGCGACTTGCACACGGCCTCGTCCGACCCGTTTCTGCACGCGACGCTCAAAGTTGCCGGCCTGAAGCGGCACAAGGAGGACCCGGACCTGACGCACCGCACGCGCACCGTGCGCCGCACCCTCGCGCCCGTCTGGGACGAGACGTGGACCGTCGCCAACGTGCCCCCGTCCGGCTTCACCCTCAAGTGCCGCTTGTACGACGAAGATTCGCCCGACAAGAATGACCGCCTGGGAAACGTCACGGTCCGCGTCCCGCACCTGTTTGAGGACTGGGAGGGCATACCCCCGCCGGGACGCACCTTTGAGGGCAAGAAGCGCGTCATCAGCAAGCGTGCGTACCTGTTGAAGGCCATCACGGACATGTTCCATGGCGGCGGGCACAAGATGGCGCCGCTGTTGCAGATCAGCATCGAGCTTCTGGGGAAATCGGAACCCCCGCACGGGCAAATGTACACGGTCGGCCCGGCGAGCTGGGTGCAGCACTTTAGTCCCATGATTGGGCGACTGGCGGGCACAAAGGTGGACAATGACAAGGACGGCGATGCCGCCGGGGAGTCGTCCCGGGGTAAACAACCACAGACCAACGGGGAAAGCTCGAGCGCGGGCAAGCAGGCCGGCAAGAATCAGCGTTACGAGTCAGTCTACACAGAGCCACACTCAACATCAATTGCCATGCTAACTGCTTTCTGGCAGGTTCAGCGCCAACGAGATGCAGCTCGTCGGGCCTATTCCGCCCAAAATGTACCACCGCTTCGTCGCGTTCCGCCCCATCATCGGCTCCATGTTCATGTCGACCGGCCTGCGCGGCAAGATTCTCAACACGGCGCTGCACAAGCAGCACAATCGCATCTACAACTACGACCGCAGCACAGCCTACGGCGACATCGAAGGCTGCACCCCCGCCGCCACCCGTCAGTTTCTCAAAATGGCCCGCTACGACGAGGGCGGCCGCGTCTACACCTACGTCCTGACCCTGGACTCCCTCTTTCGCTTCACCGAGACGGGCAAGGAATTCGGAATCGACCTCCTCAGCAAGCACACGATGCACTCGGACGTCGAGACCTACATTGCCTACTCTGGGGAATTCTTCCTCCGCCGGCTGGAGCGCCCGACCGCCTCCGACGACGCCGCTCCCGCGGACCGCACGCACCCCGACGACGAGCACGTTCCCGGGGGGCCGCCCGAGGAGGCGCCCCCGCGCGACCCCGAGTACTACCAGCTCATCATCGACAATGACTCGGGCACCTACCGCCCGGACAAGTCAGCGCTCCCGGACCTCAAGGCCTTTTTTGAGCGCAACCTGCCCGGGCTCGGTGTCGTCGCCATGCACTGGGAGGACGAGAAGCTGCAGGCCATGAAGGACGCGCAGCACAAGGCCAAGAAGAATGAGGGCCAGGTACTGCGGGGCGTCCTGAACCGGAGCATGAGCAGCATCAGCTCAGCGGAGAGCGAGTTGGAGGACAGGCAGGACAACTGGGACGCGGCCAAGAGCAAGCGCGAAACGGTGTTGGAGGCACTGGAGCAGCCGGGCACGGTCAAGGACAAGGTTAAGCATGCCCTACACTAACCAGTCATTGTTTGTTGTTATTGTTTTGTTCCTTTGCCTGTGTAGCTTGTCACGGCATTAATAATCAGTCTAGTTACCATGATACCTATTATGCGCAATGAATTCACCTCCATCGCTATCCACTTCACTGCTGGTATCAACACGTCATAGTCTAGTGAAATCCCTCCGAGCTTGAAATGGCTTACCACCATTTCCTGTCGCCGGTGTTATTAGAGTACCAGAGTACAGAACTAGATAAAAGTGATGAAGATGCGTTTAGAAAGTCGGATTCGATGGGTTCAACTCGCGGCTCTCGCCTTGCGAGTTCCTGTGTCGCTGTGAGACGGATTTAATTGAGCCTTCTCCGACCGCTGAGACCTCCACTACCAACATGAGACGCATAAAACGCCCAATTTTCCTTCATCCCGTGTGTATTGCGTGCTTTGCGGTTGTCCCCGAGCGCGGCAGTGGTGTCATCCCGCCGCTGGCTAGATGGCGTGATTGCCTCCACGAATAACATCAACAACCCACGCAGCAGAGCATCACACCAGGACCAATGATGCCAAAATCGTGCCTTGACTACTCAATCAGAGCGAGCCTTGCTTACATCATTGCATGGAATGGAGGGCGATCGGGGGTAGATTTCGCAATCGCATGCAACACGCATGCCATTGCGGGGGAAGAGGCCTGCGGTCCGCGTTTCGGGTTCCCTACAGCCTGTTCTGCTATGGTGAACCAATGTATATATAACTCTTCTCCCGTTGTGTCTTGCAAGCCTAGCCTTTGTTTCGTTCATTCTTTCACTTATTTGGAAAACAAATCCTTACCCACAGTCATGGCTCCTTCTCTCACGCAAACCGAGACTGTCACGGAACAGTCGCAACCGCAGCTCCAGAAGCTACACCTTGGCCAGTACAAGGAGATTGATGCCGTCTTTGTAGACCGTGCGGCCGAAGAGGGCAAGACCGGTGAACCCCCCGCCAAGGCATGTCTCACAAACCCCGGCCCGCCCCCCGGGCTCGACTCGACTAACACGGCTAACTCCCTTCCCGCAGTACCCTCACTACCTCCCGACGTGGGACCGCACGCAATTCTGGCCGGCGCTGGAGCCGTACGAGCACTACGAGCACGGCAAGGACGCCGACACGGCCTACCCAAACCTCTTCCCCGCGGGCACCTCGGTGACGGAGCTCACGCCGAGCATCGGCAGCGAGGTGCACGGCATCCAGCTGTCGACCCTGTCGGACGCGGGCAAGGACGAGCTCGCGCACTACGTGGCCACACGCAAGGTGGTCGCGTTCCGCAAGCAGGACTTTGCCGACCTGTCCATTCCTGACGCCCTGCAGTACGGGGCGTACTTTGGCCGGCACCACATCCACCCGACGTCGGGCGCGCCCGAGGGCCACCCGGAGATCCACCTCGTCCACCGCGGCGCCGGCGACAAGGGCCACGAGACGTACTTTCAGTCCCGCACGAGCTCCGTCGCCTGGCACTCGGACATTTCGTACGAGAAGCAGCCGCCCGGCACCACGTTCCTGTACATCCTGGACCGCCCCGAGACGGGCGGCGACACGCTCTTCGTCGACGCCGTGCAGGCGTACAAGCGCCTCAGCCCGCTGTTCCAGGAGCGCCTGCACGGCCTGCGCGCCACGCACTCGGGCATCGAGCAGGTCAATGCCGCCGCCGCCAGAAACAGCATCAAGCGCCGCGAGCCAGTCGTCAACGACCACCCCATCGTGCGCACCCATCCCGCGACGGGTGAGAAGGCTCTCTACGTCAACCCGCAGTGTAAGTCATGTGTAGTCGAGAGATTTGTCAGAAAACACCCGGTGACTAACTGGCTGCTACAGTTACCCGCGATATCGTTGGTCTCAAGAAGGAAGAGTCGGACACGCTGCTCAAGTTCCTCTACGACCACCTCGCCTATGGAGCCGACTTCCAGGCCCGCGTCAAGTGGGAGGAGGGCACCGTCGTCGTGTGGGATAACCGTGTCACACAGCATACCGCGCTGGTCGACTGGGAGAACGGTCAGCGTCGTCACCTTGCGCGTCTAACTCCGCAGGCCGAGCGTCCATTCGAGACTCCTTTTGTGGCACCCGCATAGTGCTGCCGATCTAGGGTCTCGTCGAGGTTTGCTGCCGATCCAATCGGAGGCTGACCCGATGACACACATATAAAATATATAGCAGAACTCACGTAATAAAATCTACAACACATCTTAAAACGGGTTCCTGCATTGGCGCCTTGAAACCTGGGCTTGGTTCGTCCGGCTGCTCGTACCCGAGGCCACAACGCTTTTGACGTTGCCACACCATGTGCAATTAGAGTCCAAGAGTCCAAATACCCTTCACTTGCCACACACTCGCTATAGATGTCGGGCAGCACTTTGGACTGCGCAGTAGTAGAACCGCGCGTGACACCATCCGGTGAGGCCTCTGAAGTCAAGTCACGCCAGGGTTTCATTCTTCACCATTAGCTGCAATAACACGTATATAATCGTTCATGTACTATGCGGATATAAATTTTATACGGAATTGTCTCGAAGTAGGTTGCCCATGGTAGTGATCCCGTGGCTGTCAAATGCTGGACGTGGCTGGCTCTTGAGAATTTTCGAAATGGCCACCTCGGCACTCATGCCGTCAATAGCTTTGACATGTGGCGCGTCATTGCTGAGGAGAACCTGCAACACTATAGTAGCATCTAGCCGCGTCTTATCGTTGGCGTCGAGCGACTCCAAGCCACTCTTCAAGGCCAGGTCCATGGGCGTGGCATCTTGTCTTGTCAGGGCCTTGAGATTTTCGAGTTTGCATGAGTCGTGCCCCGCAAGCCACATGAGGATCGGAACATCGTTGGTCGATGCGGCATAGTGCCAAATGTTGCGACCTTCGTGATCTACCGCTGTCGTCTTGGCGCCGTGCTCCTTGACAAGCATGGCCAGGGTTTCGGTGTCGTTGCACAGCAAGAGCGGGGTACGTCCCATGTGGTCGCGCGCGTCCAAATTGCCGCCATTTTCGACAATGACATCGGCGAATTCGACGAGGCCGTCGCACACAGCATGGTGAAGCAAGGTGCCGTTCGCTGGGCCGGTCGGGGAGGCGGCATTGGGGTCGAAACTGGGGTGGTGGACAAGGCGTCGGAAGCAAATGATGCTATCGTCCAGGAAGGCATCATTCAGCGCTTCCTGAAACTCGGCATCTGTAATGTCGACCTGGCCAGACGTCACACGAGCGCCTGCATTGACGAGAAAGGCGTCGTGGATGGCGTTGATGAGTGCTTGCCTGTCTCGCTCGATTAGATTCAGCTTGGACGGCGCAAGGACTAAATCGAGAATACTGCTCAAGATCTTGGATGTGATTGTTGCATCGGCGGGCTGATAGTAGGAGAACTCGTCATCGTTGATCAAGTCAATAAGAGCCCTAGCGTCGCCACCCCCCTGCAAGACAAATTTCAAAAGGGTGTGGTCTCCTGTCAAGACAGTAGCGCGGAATGCAAGAAACATTAACAGGCGTCCCTTCCGACCGGTTGACTCGTAGAGGACGTGCTTCTGACGATGTAGCTCCAACAGCTTGCGGATGACTGGTAGGCGAGAGCGCAACTCTGGATACTGCAGATGGATCACTTGATGCCATTTTTCCATAGACGTCCTGCAAGTGAAGATCTGAGGTCCCGCAAGCGAGCAAAATAGAGGTGACGCAGCGCGCTCCCGGAACATGGCACCCGGCGCTTCGGGCTTGTCCATCAGCTCCAAACAGGCCGGTTCGAGTCCTAGGGCTGCGCTGACGTGCAACGGGGAGAAGGTGCCGTCGTACAGGACATCGGTGAGATCGAGAATGGCGTCATTGGATGGAGATTGGGGGCCATAGATATCTGGATAGGTTTCCCGCGCGTACTCGAGGGCCCACTGCATGAAGTTGAAATGGCGGGCAAAGAGCTGCTTCACGATTGGGCCAACGGTATCCCAGTACTGGACAGCGTACAAGGGCCAACTCCGGGCGGCTTTCGAGTATTCCGGGGCAGCCTGTCGGTATTTTCGAAGAATGTTTCTTTCCAGATAAAATTCCTCGGGCTCCCTGTTCATTGCTGGGTCCAACAGAATGCGAAGCCATGACGCGACGACGTCAGCGGACGGGCGCTCCGCGGGAACCTCTGCAGGCTGTATTTCAGAAGCTGTGCCAGCAGATTGAGTCTCGAAATCATGTTCGACGGGATTTGATTCTAATCTGGGCTCCTGTTCACCATTTTTGGGCTCGGCCATCATCTCATTCGCGTCCAAGGCATTGCGCGCTTGGCCTAGGGGTTCGAAGGTCTGCACTCTGCCGTCGTCCACATGGGCGCATGTGAGCTAGAGCAAGTAAAGCTACGATATTGAACTCAATTGTTCGATTGAAGGACGCCAAATGACGCGGCGGGTGTTGTTGGTCGCCTGGTTGATCCGTTGCTGAACGACGGCGTTGCGAAATTCTTGCGGTTGGGGGATTCGCGCAAGGCCTTGCACAGTGTGCCTCTGTGAGGGGTGACGTGCGCACTGTGACAACTAGCGGTGGGCGAACAGCAGTGGACAACCCGTCTCGTCGAGCGATCCGTGAGCATCTCAGCAATTCATCAGAAGATACGTCCGAATTACAAATTATAACTCATCTCCAAAGAATGATCCCCGGCAAATCTGAGCCTGCTCACTGGCCTGTCGTCTCGCACGTACAAATTAGTTGGTGCGACATCAGGGTTACGGCAGACAATTATTGTTGAACAACTCGACGACATGGGCGGCACGCATCCCAAATAGATTTGTGATCTCCTACATGATCTTGACCGGTTAAGAATGATTTAATTCCGCTGCCCTGGTCTAGTGCTATTCCTTCTGTGGCCTCATGCCGCCACGCCGCCCCGAAGTCCGAAGAAAGCTGCCAGATATCTCCACCACCTGTCCTTTAGCTTTTGCTCGACTATAAATCGAATGGGACCCTCAGTTTGTATTGCCTGTACCTACAAGTAATTATTAATCCTTCCAAACTCTCGTTCTTTGCCTTTGTAGAGGAAAGTTTTGCATCATGGCAGACGAATACAGGCTTATCCCTTACTGCATGGTCGACGAAGCTGTGGGCCTAAATGATGATGACTGGCTCGATACGCAGAAGAATCTCGCCGGCCGAAATCCCCGTTCGCCCGGGTGTATTGGAATTTAGTCGAAGGCGGTAGAACACGATCATCTTTGCCTGGAGGGCGGCTCACACTCCTACTGGTTCGGCTATTAGTACGTCAATGCCATTGTAGAAATTACAATCCTGCAGGCACCCAATGTGTTTGCATGACTAGTATACCAAGTATTCCCGGTAGGCCTAGACTACCTCTGCTGCGCAGGCGGCCAAAGACGAGATGTGGCAGCACCCCTGCCGCAAGCAGGCGACTAAAAACGAGGTGTGGCAGCTTTGCCTGAGATCCGGATGGGGGCAAGCAGACACGCTCAATCACCCATCACCGTCTACACCATGGGAAGAAGGCCAGGGATGCCTATCCGAAGCATGGCTTCAAGTGGTATGTCATGGCGTGAATCACACATACTGGTAGATTCGCCACCCTCGGTAAATAGCTCACACATTAATTTAATTTCCCGTACTGCCTTTGAATATCCCCATTGTCCCAGTCTTTTCTGTGCTACGAGTAGACGTGTACTTGTCACCTTGGCTGCTGTCTGCAGCTCGCACATCCACTACCACCCCTGTCATGCATGCATAGGTACTGTTCGTCTGGTCTGGACTCCGGGTGAAGATAAGTATAGGAGGGCGGTACTCTTGCGGGGTGTTACAAAGGTCAAGCCTGGTACCAGACATCAGTAATCCACCCAGGCACCACAAGGCCTTCCGCGGCAAGGGTGATATCATGAAGTCTCACTCCCTGCTTGTTGACTCCAGGCAGCAGTCAGTCTTTCACCGTTGAGCTCCATTATTATCGGCAGTCAATCATTGCCAGGTCATCCTATCATCAAGGTGAGGAAGGTTACCCGAGGGCATGTCAGCGCAGCCACCTCTCCGAGCCACATACTCAGTAGGTGTGCCTCTGCACATTTGATCCATCGGAACTTTTGTAGTGATGAAAGAATAAATTGTCATAACATATCCAAAGACTGTAGAATCTGTAGTCGCTTGTGCGCTTCCTCCCTGTAGATTCGGCGATTACTTGCTTACTCGATAGCGATGCATGCAGCAGCAGTGCACTGTAACCAGCTTCCCACCGGATGGTGCCCCGAAAGCTTAGCTGAGCGCCTCTTCAATCAGGGCTCATTTACATTGACTACAGAGGCTGCGGAGGACTACGTATGTACGGATAGTAGGCTCCCGTTACGAGTCGGGCCTGGAACGTGGTGTGCAGCAGCCCCCCTTGCCGGCCGCATCTGGGGCGGCCAGACAAGCCAAGCTGGTACAGTCGCCCGAAAATACGACAAAGAACTTCTACAGATCGTGTTGCCAAGCCTTAAGCAGTAGTACAACATTGTCATATTGCATTTGGGCTTGCAGCTGACCGGAGCCGGAACAGAGTCAACACCCACGTGCGCTGGTGGAGGCAAGGGGGCAGAGCAAATGTGATGTTGGCCGAGCTGGACTAATATTTATTAAAAAAAATCAACTTAAATAATATGTTATATTATATGCTGATGATGATTTGCCACTATATCTCGTTGAATCGGTTTTGCATGCGTTGACTTACACGCCCTGGCGTCGATCATTGCACTAAAACTCCGCGTTATAATGGTCGGCCCCGAGTAGATGTATGTTTCTTTGCGAACATCGTGACCGACATGTTTTCTAAGTCAAAAAGATAAATGCAGGTATTCTGTCAGATAAAAGAATTCACCGCTGTATGGACTGTAAGATCAAGCCCACAAGTGACGTCTCGAGGTGATTGCAAGACCGACACGCCCCATGTTGCACAGACGTTGGACAAAAGCCGTTGGGGGTCGCAAACGGGCAGAACGAGGCGTATAGACAGGACCCCTCCTTCACCTTCATCACTTCATCACAGAAGCATTCCGTCACACACTCAAGCAGAAACGCTCCGCCCTCACCCTACTCGTTGCCTAGCTTTTCTTTGTTGTACCCTTTGGTACAGCAGTAGTTTTGTGGTCTTTCTTGGACCCTCCCTCCGTATTTGGATGCCGCTCCATGCTCTTCTGCAGGCGGCAGTGCTGACAACTTCTCGCCTACCTTCACTCTGTGCTACGCATTTCCAACACAGCCCATAATACTGACGTGTCTATTGGTTCTGCTTTGTATTCTTCGATTAAAAGAGTTTGTATTTTGCAGATCATCAGACGTGGCTCTGCTTGCCCAGCCGGACTGCTGCCTCGCCAACACCCTGTCCGTCTTTACCTCACGTCACACATCGTTCTGATAGCTCACGGTATTAACATTTCATTGTTCTTTTCTGCGTTCCCTGGGCAGTTTCATTTATAGGGCGTCTTCGAGAGGTACAAGCATGTCCCTGGACACGCAATCCGGGCGGTCGCTGGAATGCCTGGGGACCGACCTCGTGACTACGACAGCTATAAAGCAGCAGCATCTTCGCGTTCTCTAATGAACCTTTCTCATATACTCACATCAAGCCATTCTGAGCCATTTCAGCATTCTTTACAACGACTAAGGTCACTGCATCTACTTGTACTCTGGTCATCCTTTCCAGCAACATCCTTCCCTATCTATCCTACTACAGCCGTCCCAGATACAACGATGGCAGAGCTCGCATTTTTTATCAACCCAGCAATCTTGTATAGTTAACTACCTGAACTGCTTGTTTGCGCCATCAGCTGATATGATACAGGATTGCAAAACGCCTGACTACCCTGTACGAGCGGTTCAGCCAAGCCACCGAGGACTTGGACGACAATATAAAACATTGGAAAGACTTGGTTTTCACGGCAAAAGCATACCAGACACGGCTTTGCTCATACGGGCTATCTCCAAGCGAGATAGACAACCTTGAGACAAGGCTCAGCGAGTTCTTGAGGGGTTGCGAAGTCGCAAGAGCCAGACTGCCGACAAAGCGCAACGGTAAATATCGTCTACGGGATCGGCTAGCATATAGCTTGAACTTGAAGCCATTTAAGAGAGATCTGGAAAGGAGCACTGCAGAATGGAAGGGTCTAAACGCGAAATTTATCTTCCAGTTGGCGGCTCTAGCCAGGACTTAGCTGTGTCGAGCAAGCGCGAGGAGGAGAGTCATCTTCCCGCGCAGGAATAGAGGGATCAGAAGAGATCCAACGGTACTGAGCTCGAGAGGTCCTTGATCTTCAAACAGAACGCGACTGTCGTGGTATCTATGCACCCAGAATGGCAGAGTGAAGGATTGTTTGGGAAATAATGGCGATGCTGTTGACGTCTACTAGTCGGCCAATAATGTTAGATTGCGTATGAACTCTGTCTTTGAATTTGATTGTATAATTGCAAATATATCCTTGCCATGTCGTATTCGATGAGGAATTTCCAGTGTCGTGAACCTTTATTGGCAGTTAGCCCAAGTACGTGGGAGCCACGTTCGTGGGCTCTCTAATACAGCAAAGGGTTCGCCTCGTCGAGCCTCAGTGACACTCAAGAATCGACTGCGAGTGAAGCTGCTCTAAATTTCCGTCAAGCATCATTCTCGAGCCTTTGCTTATAGTATGACTTACAAGACATTGAGTGGCAAGGGGACAGACCAGTACGAAGTGTCAAAGATCTTGGATAGCGGAAGAATTCTGTCCTTCAAATTAAGATAGCAGTGAGGACGTGGTATGCGGAATTTCCTAGTCGCATGTATCTGGACTTCAAGAACTGTTCCAAGGACGAATACGTGAGCTGGAAGTGACGGAGCAATATTGATGGCATGGTACAGATTTGGAGGTTTAGATCGCTCTATAAAGGCTACAAAATGTAGTAAGATGTTTTGGCTAGCTTCTAATAGTTCATCGGCTATAAATATATATACAGAAATAAATGGGAACATGCCACGGCGGACAACTGATCAGGGCTGCAATCGGCTCACGGCAACATCCCGCCAGACATTATGCCATCGCCAGACATTATGCCAACTCTTAGGTAGCGAGGAAGCCACAATCGGAAATTTGGCGTTTGAATCCCGAATAAAAATCGGTGACACCAAGTGCAACACACATTAGACGCCAGGAGCCGCGGTGTGGTACTGCCGGACGAGATGGCCCGAGGCCCCTAGCTCATGTATCACCATTTAATTTAGGTAATGCATCCAAAATGATTTCTGTAAGCGCTACTGTCCTATTTTATAAGATATAGGGGGCGTAGCAAAAATAGACGACATGAGACAGTGGTGTGCCAGAAGCGACGGCCTTGACACTCTATAATGGTCATCAATTCGTCTGCAGATCCATTTCAGGAACAATACTGCGAATTCTGGTAGCAAGTCTCCGTGTCCGGAAAGAAGGTGTTGACCTCGCAAGACACATTCAGTTGCTTCGTTCATGAGGAGCGGACGACACGACGGTCTCTTGAGATTTGGCAAATGTCGTTGGAAACTTATCGTAGCGGTCCTGGTCAGTCAAGACTACCCCGAGAAACAAACATCGCACATCGTACAACCAATATTGCGCTGAAGAAATGGAGGAGGTCGTCCTAACTCAATCATGAGATGGACAGGAATAGTTACTGCACTTTCAACCTTGAGTTGAGAGCACTGTGTTTTATTTTTTGGTTGGAAATGTCTCTGTTCAGCCCCGCCATCGGTGCCTGTCCGACCCACCAAAAATTGGCCGCGATCTCCAGAGTCGCGCGCAAGAAAGACCCAAAGGGTTTGAACTTTTTTTCATTCTTCACATTTCTGCGACAGCCACGCCGACACCATTTCCCCGAGTCCCTGCTACGCGCAGGCAACAGCCGTCACCATGGATGATTTTCTGAACCTGGAGCTGCTCTCGCTCGTGTCCAAGGTCACCTCAGAACTTCAGAACCATGTCGGCGTCAGCGACAAGACCCTGGCCGAGTTCCTCATCGCCCAGCGCATCGAGAGCAAGAATTTCGACGAGTTTCGCACAAAGCTGGACGGCCTTGGTGCCGAATTTCCGCCGAGTCTGGTGGATAGCCTCGATCGCTTGGTGCTGACCATGCATCCCCGCTTCAAAGGCAGAGGCGAAAGTGCAACTGAGCCCAAAGAGGAGCACCACAGCCGGTCACTAGAGGAAAAGGAGAAAGTCTTTAGCGGACTTGCTCTCGCAGATGGTAAACCAACCCACAAAGACAATGGTGACGCCATTGATGATACTTTGGCGCTTCTCGAAGGCCTCGAAGGAAAGGCTCGCAAAGAGAAGGGTACACGCAAACGAAGCCGGAGTCCCCACGACGACTCGCGACGACGAAGACGAGATAGATCACGATCAAGGGAGGGACGCAAGCGCGACAGATTTCGTTCGCGTTCCCGATCACAAGACCGAGGCGACGAAGATTGGCGCAACGGATACAGAGACTCGCGAAAGAGCCGCCACAGACGACGAGACGACCGTGATGAGTACAATGACAAATTCGGACGAGCGCCTGCGGTCGAAATGGACGATGAGCCTCATCTCAATAAAATATACGAGGGCCATGTCACAGGCATGAAAGATTTTGGCGCATTTGTCAATCTACACAACGTTCGTGGGCGACAGGATGGCCTCGTGCACATTTCTAAGATTGCGGCCCATCAACGCGTTAACCATCCCTCAGACCTTCTTGAAAAGGACAGAAAAGTCTGGGTCAAGGTTATCAGCGTCGAGGGTAAACGGATTAGCCTCTCCATGGCTGCCGTTGACCAAGCCACAGGAATGGATAATGAGCCGGAAGTGAAACTCTCGACAGGCGCCAACATGGAAGCACTGGGTGGGGGCAGTCGAGGCTTTAATGATGTTTCATCCGGTATGCCGCGAGACGATATTGGTGCTCCGAGAAAACACAAGAAGAGAATGACATCGCCTGAACGTTGGGAGATCCGACAACTGATTGCGTCTGGTGTGGCGAAAGCGTCTGATTACCCTGATTTGGAAGAGGATTACAATGCGACTCTACGCGGCGACGGAGAGTTGGAGCTTGAAGAGGATGTTGACATCGAAGTGCGCGAAGAAGAGCCCCCGTTTCTTGCGGGCCAAACAAAGCAATCACTGGAGCTGTCCCCTATTCGTGTTGTCAAGGCCCCTGATGGCTCTATGAACAGGGCTGCCATGTCCGGTACAGCTTTAGCCAAGGAAAGAAAGGAACTGAAACAGCAAGAGGCGGATGCTGCCAAGGAAAGGCCCAAGGAGAACCTATCGTCACAGTGGGAAGATCCAATGGCAGACCCCGAAAAGAGGCAGTTCGCTAGCGACTTGCGCAACGCCAAAATGAACGCAGGTGCAGGCGATGTCCCAGAATGGAAGAAGGCAGTCATTCCACGCAACCAGACTCTGGGCAAACGAACAAATATGAGCATCAAGGACCAGCGTGAAACCTTGCCTGTGTATGCATTCCGATCACAGCTTATCAAGGCTGTCCACGAGAATCAGATTATGATCGTTGTTGGCGAAACTGGGTCCGGTAAAACGACGCAGCTAACTCAGTATCTTGCCGAGGGTGGCTTCGCTAATGACGGCATGATTGGCTGCACACAACCGCGACAAGTGGCGGCCATGTCCGTGGCAAAGCGTGTTGCTGAGGAAGTCGGCTGTAAGCTGGGAGAGGAAGTTGGTTACAGTGTGCGTTTCGACGACACGACGAGCCCCCTGACCAAAATTAAGTACATGACCGACGGTATGCTTCTCCGAGAAATTCTCGGTGATCCTGATATGAAGCGTTACTCGGTCATTATGCTGGACGAAGCGCACGAGCGTACCATCTCAACCGATGTGCTCTTTGCGCTGCTAAAGAAGGCTCTCAAGCGCCGTCCCGATCTCAAAGTCATCGTCACCTCTGCCACCCTCGATGCGGACAAGTTTTCCATGTACTTTAACGAATGCCCCATTTTTACAATTCCCGGCAGGACTTTCCCTGTTGAGATTCTATACTCTCGAGAGCCCGAATCCGATTATCTCGATACGGCGCTGGTTACTGTTATGCAGATTCATCTGACGGAGCCAAAGGGTGACATCCTCGTCTTCCTCACAGGTCAGGAGGAAATCGATACCGCGTGCGAGGTGCTTTTTGAGCGAATGAAGGCCTTGGGGCCAGGAGTGCCGGAGCTCCTCATTCTTCCTGCCTACGCCCAGCTGCCGACCGAGATGCAGAGCCGCATTTTCGACCCTGCCCCTCCGGGGGCGAGGAAGGTTATCATTGCCACCAACATTGCCGAGACCTCTATCACGATTGATGAAATCTACTACGTCATTGACCCCGGCTTCGTGAAGCAGAGCGCCTACGATCCGAAATTGGGGATGGACTCGCTGATTGTTACTCCCGTTTCGCAAGCCCAGGCAAACCAGAGAGCCGGACGCGCTGGACGTACCGGACCCGGAAAGTGCTTTCGCCTCTACACGGAAGCCGCCTACCAATCAGAAATGTTGCCGACTACGATTCCTGAAATTCAACGAGCCAACTTGGCACTCGTCATTCTCATGCTCAAGGCCATGGGTATCAATGACTTGTTGCACTTTGACTTTATGGATCCGCCGCCCGTCAATACAATGCTGACAGCCCTGGAAGAATTATATGCCCTCAGCGCTCTTGATGACGAGGGCCTGCTCACACGTCTGGGTCGCAAAATGTCCGACTTTCCTATGGAGCCTTCACTAGCCAAGGTGCTCATCACGGCGGTCGACTATCAGTGCGCCGACGAGATGCTGAGCATCGTTGCCATGCTCAACCAATCGACCATCTTCTACCGGCCCAAGGAGAAGCAGACGCAGGCGGACCAGAAAAAGGCCAAGTTCCACGACCCGCACGGCGATCACCTGACGCTGCTCAACGTGTACAACTCGTGGAAGCACAGTGGCTACTCGAGCCCGTGGTGCTTTGAGAACTTTATCCAGGCACGCTCGATGCGGCGCGCCAAGGACGTGCGGGACCAGATCCTGCGCATCATGGAGCGGCACCGGCACGCCGTCGTCTCGTGCGGGCGGGATACGCAAAAGGTGCGGCGGGCGCTGTGCACAGGCTTCTTCCGGAGCGCGGCGCGCAAGGACCCGCAAGAGGGCTACAAGACCTTGACGGAGGGCACGCCCGTGTACCTGCACCCGTCGTCGGCGCTGTTTGGCAAGCAGGCCGAGTGGGTCATCTACCACGAGCTGGTGCTGACGACCAAGGAGTACATGCACTGGACGACGGCGATTGAACCCAAGTGGCTAGTCGAGGCGGCGCCGACCTTCTTTCGGGTCGCGCCCACGGACAAGCTGAGCAAGCGAAAGGCGCAGGAGAGGATCCTACCACTGTACAACAAGTACGCGGCCGAGGACGACTGGCGACTGAGTGCGCAGAAGAGGGGAGGACGGGGTGGTGGTGGTGGTACTTGGGGTTGATGCGGCGGAGGGTTCCGTCGCTGCGCGTACCAGAAGTATCAATACATCATCACTACGAAGCCGTCGTGTACTACGAAGCCCAGCTAGGCGGCCGGAATTGAGAGGATTTTACAGCATTATGACCTCTCTTGCCAAATGCGCACCGCACCCAGGCTACAACAAGGCTATGAAAGGCATTTATTTACGCAGGGGAGTGTTTTCCAACATGGCCTTCACATGTTATGAGCGTTCTGACATATCCTGAAAGAAATCTAATATATATTAGAAATTTATGTCATCTCAATCCTACAATAGTTTACCAATTCTAATATACTTTTACAGTCCTAGGAAACATACATCTTCTTCCTCTTTTTCCCCTTTTTCCTCTTCTTCTCTTCCTCATCAGCCTCTTTAACCTCCTTAACCTCCTTAATAATAACAAGACGAGCTATAAAACCAACCATCTAGTTAAAAGGCTATGCAGGTAGGCAGGTATAGGCGGAGAGAGGAGGGGCGGCGAGGGCATGATCAATCAATTCAGCTACGTCTTCTAATCTGCTTCTCACCCGCTTCTTCAAAGTCTCTAAACTCTTCAAACTAGCTTTGTATACTTTACACCCTAAGACCATCAACTTAGATTTCTCGCGCCGTCGCTCCTTTGTCGCAAACGCGGCAACACCATGCTATTTGATCTGTCATTCACCCTTACTCAAGCAGATTTTTAACAATTCTTCAGCACCATTATCATCGAACCCTACACTTTGAAATTGCACCGACTACCCGACTACCCACCCGACTTCCCAACTACTTCAAACATGTCGGGAAAATCCGACTTCTCGTTCCTGTACGATATTAACGCTGTTGTTGACGATGTTGATACTGTTGATGATGTTGACGCTGCGATGAATATATCTCCGGTCGCATATTTATTCCTTTCCTCTCCGTGACAGACTCGGTCCCGGATGTCTATATTCCCCCGCCGTCAACAAAGGTAACCAGGGCTTCATTCATGGCCAAGTTGCCGCGGGTGAGGAAGATTGAATACATATATAGTGGCATCATCGTGCCTGTTGGCTCGCCAAGGAGCTCCTGGTGCCGTCTGGGCATGGGGTATAATAATATGACGAATTGGATGCACGGGTTTCTGTACACCATGAGCCATGACTCTCTAATGCAACTGTCGCAAGACCCCCAGATGGTAGAGGCGGTCTGCGACCGTGTCAAGGAGTTTGTTCTGATATGTAAGTCATGCGTATCTTCCATTGAGCTGTACTAATCATAGCCCGGCAAAAACAATAGGCTCAGGGCATCCTTCTGTTCCATATCGTCATTACCAGGATGAACCTTGGCATCATGGAACCCAATTTAAAAACGTTGCCAATTTTTTCATGTAAGTAACTATGTTATCTTCGATTTTTATCGCTTATTGTTTCCTCTTTCGCATTCTCCTCCCCATTTAAAGCTATATGTGTCATCTCCGGCAAGCGCCATGCTGTGCATAAAACGTATATTATGCCCTTTGATGTCAACTCAAGCCCTGGCGCAACGCGTCTGCTTGACCAACTCTTTTTGATTCCTACAGTGCTGTTTGGTCCTACTTTTGCCGAACGCGCGCGCCAGCTGCTCACCTCGGACGTCTGCGCCTCAAACGCCGGATGGAATATAATACCCCTCAACGCCTATCTCAGCAGCCTATTCAACGACGGCTACCTTGCCCTGCGCCCGGTCTCCCTGACCAGTTGCCCCGAAGGCAAGCATACGCTGTACTTTTCCGTACATTGGATGTTTAAACTACCATGAACCCAACGACTGCGATAGAATTGACAAATTGGCTCTAGACTTCATGCTTGAGCCGCCTGACGAGTCAACAACGACTGCGATAGAATTGACAAATTGGCTCTAGACTTCATGCTTGAGCCGCCTGACGAGTACAAAGCCGAACGTGCTGGGTTCTGCGAGATGAACGCGGCTACAGGTCGAACTATCCTTGACAGCCAAGTATTCTCAATCACGCATGGCGACCTAGAATTTGCAGAGAATATGTATATTATGCTCGCTCGTCGATGGGCCACCAGCCTCCCTGTGCTTTGCTGGCGGTTTGGGGCTGTGGTACGTGGACGTGGAGACGGACGCTGCAAGCGAGGATGGACGTGAGTACGATCTGAAGAGAAAGAGACAATGCAAAGACGACCCTCGTAAGATATTTTGAACGATGTGGGGGGCTTGTGTTGAAGGGAGACCCGAAGCAGCAAGAAGGTATCCGCAGGGACAAAACCGGGAGTAATAGAAGAAGAGGTTCAGCACCTTGGGACTCAAGGAACTAGAGTCGGAGCCAGAAGTAATAAATCAGACTACTTTCAGGATGTTTTATGCAAATTGCTCCTGAGACGTGTTTTCGATACCCCGGAGGCAGCGTCGAAAGGAACGGAAGTACTAAGAATGGTAGGGGAGAAGGACATTCGAGTGTAGTATCTCTAGGGTATTTTGTCTCGCTGGTGCCTGGCAGTCAAAAGCCGAAAGCCAGCCATTGTAAGCCAGGAATGCAAACATGTTTTGTCGCGCGCTTGACAGTCAAGGCGCTCAGCTCTTGTGGCCGCGACCGAATTTGCCCAATGTGTGGAATTGCCCGGGGACGGCTCCCTCGAGGCGCAAGCAGGAAACAAGTTCCATAAACCTTTGGGCGAATTTGTAGATGAATTATTCACTTTGAAATGAATCAGACAAATGTAGTTGATGGCAAAGGCTGTGCAACGCCAGCCACCTCTGATCCGTCGTCGTGCAAAAGCACTGCGTTTGCCTGTGCAAATTCTTGTCTATGCACCCTGCCGTTTGTCTACAGAACAAAACACCGACACACGCACCACGCGCCGCATTCTGTCTCTGCTAATCCCTAAAGATTTCTCGAGGAACGAATTATCCGCATGTATTCAGACAATGAAGACGGCGGCATCGTGCTGGACCATGTCGACAACTTTCCCGACAAGAAGAAGAAGAAGAAACGAGGAGGGAGGAAGAAGAGAGCCGCCACTGGCTTCGAAGGTGCGCTGCTGGTCGCTTGAAATAATGTCGCATCCTCGACTCTAACCACATGTAGAATACTATGCCGATGCGCCCACCACGCCAGCAGAGGCTCTCCGTGAGCAGCAAGAGCTCTACGCCAGGTAAGCACCCGCGCTCACCAGACCATGCGCCCCCATGCTAACATCGGTCTCTCAGCTCGGTGCCATTTGAGCAGTGAGCATTCCATACCCAGCACCCATGCCGTCCTGGACGCGTCGCTAACTCATCGCCTGCAGGCGCATTCAAACATGCATCCATCGCTACCGCACTCGGCGGCACCTCGATACGGAGCTGAGCACCTACTTTCACGAGTACATGTTCATCGGGGGAATCGACATGACGACATCGAGCTTTAATGAAAACGACCTCGAGGACGGCTCGCTCATCCCGCGCCCCGACTCCGACGCGACCGCCGCCGAGGCCGACGACGAGGACGCCGCCGCCTCGCGCTTCTACAACGGCAATGCCCGCCACTGGACTGTCGACTTTGCCGGCGTCGCGGCCGGCTTCCTCTCCGTGTCCATGCCGCCGCTGACGGGCGTCGACTGGACCCTTACAGAGCGCGCCATTGGGTTCGTGGAGAACTTTCTGCGCTACGTGCTGCAGCACGACGTGTGTCCCGAGCACGCCGGGGGTGTGAATGAGGCGCTGGCCGTGTGCGCCCGCGCCCGGGACGAGTGGCCGCGGCTGTGGCGCTTCAAGGGCCTGTTGCCGGGGCGGTTCAACCTGGCGGCCGCGCACACGTTTGGCGTGCACGAGCCGGCGGACTGGTCGCTGGAGAACCAGAAGCTGGCCGAGACGGCGCTGTCGCCAGAGGTCGTGTTTTACGCGTCCATGGTCGCCGCGGGCCAGCAGGTGCCCAAGACGGCGGCTGGTCGGAGCGGCCTGCACCTGGTGCGCCAGTTTACCTGTGAGCTGGCGCTGCAGCGCGTCGAGATGCCCGACGACGACGTCACGGGCTACTTTGGCCGGCTGGCGCTCGGCGCGGACTCGCATACGCCGCTGCACCTTCAGCCGCTCGGCCGCGCCGTCTTCCGGCCGACCGTCATTGAAGACGGCTGGGTGCGCCAGGTGCCGCAGGAGCAGCTGCCAGACGACGAGGACATCGTATTCCTGTGGGAGCGGGAGCTGCTCGCGGCCATGACGGTGGGCATGAAGATGACTGCGCACGTCGGCGAGCTCAGCTCGGGGTTCCGCTTCGTCAAGGCGCTGGAGACGGTGCAGCCGTCGTTTTATACATTCTTGCCCCAACACTTGATCAAGGACTACAAGCCGCCGCGGGTTAATGACCGGCCGCCGCCGTCGATTCACGACGGAGCGCAAGCAGGGAAGATTGAGGACGAAGAGATGGGACAGGTGGAAGCGCTGGATGAGAAAACGGAGGAGACGATGGAATAAAGACGCAAGTGCGATTGCTGAGCGTTTTGATATGAAATACCTGAATTTATTGCTTTCGCTATCAGCTTCAACGAAATTATCTAATACAGGAGGTCAACAGTAAAACAGGTGCGCCATGCGGTCCGTTCGGAGGTAAACCAAGCACAGCCACGAACCATGCAAACAAAACAAAAAGTCAAGAAATAGACAGCAGACACACAATCATGCAAAGCCCACCAAACAACGATTAACCAGAGGATTTCCAACTGTAGCTGATGGCGGCAGCAAAATGCCCATCACTGTTTTGACCAGGACACAGTGCAGCCGCAGACGACGAGACTCGAGTCACGAACCGGCAAGGGCCCGCATCACTGTCTCGCCCATCCATCAAAGACACCCTAATCATGCGACTGCACCTTGTGGTCACCAGCGACGGCGGCCGCATACGACGGCGGGACCTGTCCGTCGGAGCGTCCCGCGCCATTATCATTCGCCGCCGTCACGCCCTGCTGCTGCTGGGCGCCGCCGCTGGTTCCGCCATAGTTCATGCCGCCCTGCTGCTGCGGCCGGGGTTGGTGCTGGCCGTGCGGCGACGGGACGTAGACGTATGTGACGCGGCCGCAGCCGCCCTCGCCGCCGTGGTTCAGTGTCTCGTACTCGTAGGGCGGCTCGGGGAACTTGGCGATGATGTACCAGGCGTGCAGCAGGCCGGGGACGTAGCCGAGGAGGCACAGAAGAATGTTGATGAGCGAGTCGGCGCTACAGATGCCGCACTTGACCCAGACTTGGGGGGTTTCATTAGCGACTGTTTTGTCTCTTTTTTTTTTTTTTCCAAACGGCAGAAGGGAAAGAGCTGAGGTTTGCGGTTTTTTGGAGCGCCGTCACTGGGTGGCGGGGGGGGATGACGTACCAGGCAGAGGAGGGAAGAGAATGGCGAGGACGCCGAGGAAAATGTCTGCGGAGCACATTTGCGAAGTATGCGGGGAGTGCCAGGGGAAAGAGGGCAAGATGAGAGTGCAAAAGAGAAGAAAGTTGCGGATCAGGACGAAATGGTTTGTTGATGCAAGGTTTTGAAGTAGTGTGAATGGCAGCCTGGGCTTTTGTTCTGGTCGGCCTCCAACGGCGGCTGGCGCAATCGTCACGCGGGCGGCCAACTAAGACTAATAAGGTGGGTAGTTCGCACACGAACACGCGTACATACGTACGTGGAGAAGCCCGGGCAAAGCCCAGCCCATGATACTTTAGAAATTATAGACGAACGTTTATTAATAAGGGTCAATCTATAGAGTGGCTGATTCGCGCCATGTATACCTCGCTGCTAATAGAATATTACGCTAATCGAGGGGTACCCCCTTGACTCAAATAATAATTCGCGTGCCAGTGATGCGGCTGCTAATACGATCGGAAAAGGCTAGTCATACATGGTGTACTTGGATACCAACTATGTAGAGACTGGCAGGGCTCCCTTCCCAGCCAATTCGACCTCGGCCGGCTCGTGTAGAGTTGCGTTCGGGTTCGAGAACCCGCCTCTACTCTCAGCGGTGTTGTCCGGCTTCGAAGTGCTCGATCCTGCGTTATCTTCTCTCTTGGGGCGATAATTAAGCCACCAAGGGTTCTTGGACCATGGATCATAGGAGGTTTGAGGGGCAGGGCCAACATCCACACCAAGAATACAGCTGACTTCGGCCCAACCATTCGAACGATTTGCGAACCGCTCATCAGGTGTCAAGGCCCACTCTGAATGATGGTCCAGTGCTTGAATAAGCCTTTCTACTTCCCACATGGCAGCGTACTGGTCGTCGGCCAAGCGCGCCTCCAGAAGGCGGAACCAAGACCCATCTGGTTGACCTTCTGCCATCCTCTTAACAGAAAACCATTCCCAGTAGGGAGGGAAGAAACCGCTGCACTCCATATCAATGATACCACAAACTTTCTTATCCAACACCATTATATTACTCCAGTCCAAGTCAGCATGGGTGAATACATTAGGCATGTCGTGTAATGCCGCACACCTAAGCTGAACATAATGTACAGCAGCATCACACCAGGTGTATTTCTTCATTCGCTCTATAGTGAAGTCAAAGCTGTTCTGTAGGCCTGGTCGAAGAGCCTTTCTGTTTAGAAGGGCGGCGTTGATAGAGGGAGATTGTAAACGGCGAAATTGGCTGACAAGTTGAACGACCTGGTCTGCCAAGTCTTCTCTCTCCTGAGAGGACAGGTCAGGCCAGGCATATTCAAGCGTTACTCCAGGCATCTTTTCCATGATAAGATGCTCAAATTCGTTCGTTGTATAGAAGTCGTAGACACGGGGTACCGGCACGTTTGTTTCTTTGGCGATAAGCTCAAGATTTCCCCTTTCTGCGAGGAGATCAGATTGACCAAATCGTATAGATTTTCGAATTAAGTGGTCTTGTTGGACGGAGGTCTCTCGATTTATAATGCTGCCGTCTGAAAATGGGTGTCCTATGTGACGTAGCACCTCAACAACTCCATCCGTGTTTGGACGTGGTTCATGGAACTTTGCCTTGGCTAGGTAGTCGGCTGTTGCTTGGCGACGAGTTTGAGCATTCGGCGCATTGACGAAAAACAGCTCGTCTGGCATCGTTTCATCGAGGAAATTGGTCATAGCTTTCACTGTTGCTCCGGTTGAGAGCACTATGAGCAATATGGTTTGGGGGGGAGTTGGGAAGGGTATTCGCGGACTGGTCGATTTGATATATGAGACGGTTGCCGGGCCAAATTAATAGGAAACAAAGGGGTGGAGGGACTTCTTTTATTCTGTTCACCAGACGAAGAGCAATGACCAGATGAGTAGACTCTGCAATCGAAAGCGTACATATTCACCGTTTGCCAGTTGAGGAAGCCCCCAGTGGTTACTATCTTGGGTACACAGGGGCAAACGCCCCCCTCAGCACGAGGGGTTCAGCTCCAGGCAGCTACCTAGAGCTGATAGGCTCGCTACCGATGTGGTTTACCAGGTTCAACCAGTCGTCTTAATAGAATATATGATTTTTCATCGGTATTTGATATTCAAATCGCACTAAGACATACGTGTGACTAGTAAGAGTAATCAAGGGAAATAACGGTAATGTATATTTATAACGCCTTTCATGCGTCGCCGCATAGCTACCTACCTACTTCGTAGGCAGCTAGAGATAACTATAATGCCTTGTCTACCTATAAATGCATGTAAAGCCCAAACCCACGCTGCACATGCTACCATCTCACATGGAGACAGCACAACAGGAATAATTCCCAAACCAACTAAAAAAATCAAGAAACCACCCGTTCTATTCTGCGAGTTGCTCGAAGATTTGACGTACACTACGAATACCCCTCAGCAAGTTTTCGTCAGGGCCCTGACCAGGCGTCCACTTCGCATGCGCAAAGTCAATCAGTTTTAGCGAGAAGACTCGCGGCCCATCATCCGTTGCCATATCGACACCGTCGTCGTCATCATCATCGTCGTCGCTGCCCCCTCGGATGGCCGCTTGGATTAGCTCATCATCGTCGCCCAGGAACGGCGTCTGGATCAGCTCGTCATCTTCGCCCATGGCAATGCCACTATCAGTGCGCAGGGTCGTGCGGTTGGCGAACTTGGCCTCGACAGCCGTCACGGCCTCATTATTCCTGTCGATGGCGGCGCGCAGCGCCTCGCCATCGCCCTCGAAGATACAGAGCAGCGACGACGAGTACATGCGTGTCTCATGCGCCTCAAGGATGGCCTGGAAGCGGCCGACCTCGCGCGCAAACGCCTCGCAGATGGCGCGGCCGAGCTCCTCGTCAATCCCGGCAGCCGCGTTGAAGACGAAGTTGCGGAAACCATCGAGGATATTGTCAGTATTCATCGTGTCGCGGCCATAGTCCTTGTCGTAGACGAGGTAGCCCTCGTCGTCGAGCTGCGTCGCGTCGGTCGACCCGCGATAGGCGCGCATGCCCGCGATGCGGAAACCCAGCGTACCGTGCGTCGTCTTGGACGTAATCTCGTCGAAGCGCTGTTTTTTTTCGGCGGGCGCGTCGTCCGCCCACAGCCGCGTGCCGAGTTTGAGATCAAGGATGTTGGGCTTGACAAAGCCTTTGGTTTCGTTTCCTAGCACGACGCCTAGGTCGGTCTTGAGTTTCTTGCCGTTGGTGGGGATCCAGACGTCGTTGTTGGACGTTGTCGGCTCGGCAGGCGCACGGGAGACCTGCTCTGCGATGGTTGCTTCGATTTGCGCCTTGGCGGTCTGGATGGCGCCGGTTTCTGAAATGATGCCGGTGATGGCATCATCGATTTCAAAGTCGGAGGATTTGTTGAGCGCCAATGAGCCTATATATCTGGGCATGATGTCGGCAAACTCGGGGTATTCGGTGGTAGAATTGTAAAAGTCAATCTCGGCCTGCGTGCAGGGCTTGACGAAGAATTGTCCATCCTCATCGCATAAGGTGCCAGCACTGGTTTGGTCAGTCGGGCTCTACTGCCAAACATATTTCCCTTGCGGCTACTTACTGTCCTGCGACGGCGTAGTTACAGTCGCGCAGTTCGTTGCGGTCAGGAATGCGCTTGTCCTTCATGATGGTAGAGGTGTCCAACAGCCGCTGGACGAGAAGATTCAGGTCGATGTCTCCATGTAAGATTGGAAGATTGGAAGATGCCGGTGCGATGTACTCAGGATGACGAGCGATATTTATGCTTGAAGGTTCAAAGATTGGCAGGAACGAGGCGATATCCGGCGGCGTTGCAAGAACAGGATGCAAGAGAAGCAATGCGGCGGGTTGGCAGGATATATATACAGTCGAGCAGTGCGGACGTGAAAGACCTGTTGTCGTGACCAGGTGATTTGTGCGTGGGTGATGGTGGATGAGTAGATGGACAAATGGACAATGCGACTTCGAAAAGGTGGTACAGAATGCGCGCCGGGTAGGTAGTCATTCAAAGAAATGGATTTATTAATGTGAAGCAGCCTGGCCCAAAGCCGGCCAGCAGCGCCACCTTGGGCCGCGGTGGCGTCGCGTCGCTGCGCTGGGCAAGTGGGGTGCTTGAGGCTGCCTAAGTGGTACAGAGCGTCAGTGAGTAACTCAGGCACATGCAGTTGGAGCCTGCAGGTGATTTCGCGCAGAAATTGCACGGCGATTGAGTGGTGTTTTATTTATTTGAAACCGAATTTACGCATCACCTGTTGGCCAGGTAGGTGCGAATACCTTGCGTGACCCAGCTAGATTTGTGCCTAGTGCAAGTCTACCAAGTACCTAGGTACCTACCTTGAGCCATCGCCTGACAGCTGGCGAGCACTGTTCCTTTGGCCTTTGGCGTAACGCTGGCTAACGTGGGGTCGTTGCACAGCCACAGGGTCGCCACCAGGCCGCTGCCAACCCCTTGCGTGGAGGCGGTCGCATCAACTTGCCCTCAGCCACCATCTCACAAGTCATCTCACCCAACGACGAGCTGCAGGACTCATCAGCTCGCAGTTCGCCAGCTCGCCTTGCCATTTCCAACGGCGGTTCTCCACGTTTCGCCAGCATGGTTGCCCCTGTTAGGCGGAAGAAGCCGATGCCGAAATGGTCCTGACCGTCGGGGCTGAAGACTGCCTACCAATCTGCCTTGGCAAGCTCACTCGCGTCACGCCCACATTCGGCCCTGGCCTTGTGCAACATTATTTGACATTCATGCTAGTTAGAACCATTCACATCGCAAACTACACATTATCTACTTTGACAACGCATCTCCGCAAACAGCCCGTTATCTACGCCTGCTGCTTCACCTCAAACACCGTCTTGCCCAGACCGCCCTTGCCCTTGTACGTCTGCCAGCACGCCTCACGCACCTTGTCGATATCCCCGAAGTCTACACGCAAGCCCACCACCGGCCGCAGCTCGCCTTTCTCCGCGGCGTCTCGGAGCAGCGCGAGGTCCCTGCCGTTGGGCTCCATGAAGAGGTATTTGTACTCGACGCCGTAGAACAGCGCCCGGAGCTTGCGCAGCTGGTCCGCCGCGTCGAGGAATACGCGGACTACGATGGGCAGTCGCGTCTTTTCCGGTGTGCCCATAAAACTCGAATTCTGCAGCGTCGCGCCAGAGGGAGCAGTCGATATGGACACTACCAGGCCGCTGCCCTTGACGAGAAGCGGCAGGAACTCGGTTGCTTGGCCGGTGGTGTCAAAGATGAAGTCGACGGACCCAGCGGGGATCGACTTGATAGGGTCCTCTTTGGTGTAGTCGATGACTGTGGCTATGGTTAGTAGCGTAGCGGGACGAGGCGGCGGGCAGTGCACATACTCTGATCAACAACAGTTTCCCCGAGCAGCTCGGGCACCCTGGGCATCTTGCTCGTCGAAACGGTGGTAATCACCTTGGCCGCCTTGAAGAGGTGCTTGGCAATCTGCAAGCCATATGCGCCAGTACCACTCACTGTGCAGCGTCAGCCACAGACCGGGATCAACAATTGGTCAAGACGGAAGTATATCACTCACATCCTGCGGGGATGAAGACCGTCTTGCCCTCCAGCGAGCCCTTGTATTCGCGCAGTGCCTGGAACGCCGTCAAGGCCGCCAACGGTAGCGAGGCAGCTTCGGCAAACGACAAGTTCTTGGGCTTGAGCGCGATGAAGCTCTCCGGGCACATGGCAAACTCAGCCCATGCACCTACCATGCCACATCAGCATCGCTGTCTTGCCATGTCATGCATCTCGTGCAGAATACACATACCTCTGTTAGACTCTGGCAGGCGTACATACACCTCGTCGCCTGCCTTGAATGACGTGACACCGCTGCCCACTTCCACCACCACGCCGGCAGCATCGTAACCGATCTTGTATGGAAACCTGCTTGCACATTAGTTGCCAAGGCCAGAATGGTGTGCATGAGGTCCACGTACGTGTCTTGGACGGCCATCTTCATGAGGCCGTCTGCCTTTTTTACGTCGATGGGGTTGATGCTCGCCGCGCGCACCCTGATCAGGACGTCAGTGGGCTGCGCGACGGCAGGCTTGGCCACCGTGGTGAGCTCGTAGCCCTCGGGTTTGCTGTACTTGGGCGTCGTAATCGACAGCATTGTGGTCGCCATGTTGCAGCAGAGAAGATACAGTGTTTGCCGAGAAATAGGGAAAGGCGCGATGTCTGTATATCTGTAGATAGATAATAAACATAAGGGATAGGCGCAACTATCTCAGATGTTCTTCAGGTACTTTAAATAAAAACATACAAGGAATTAAAGTTTTGCCACTGGCAACCAATGGTGGTGTCCACCACCACGCCACGTACCCCGAGTCAACCTGGTTTTCTCCGGTCTCTGCTACATGTGGCCGCGCCCTAATACAGATCGCGGATCTTCCTTTGGGCCACTTTTGGACCAAGTCCGCAGCGGACATCGCGGTCCCGTCTCCACAGGATGAATGCTTTTCGATTCGTGCCTTGCAGCCGCCTGCCGGGCCGACAGGTACGGGTGAACTGGAAATCGTGGCAGCGAAAAAAAAGGAGGAAAAGGCGACTGGCTCTCCAACTGATCGAATCGATGCCGAGCGAGCCTTGCTGTACGACGGGGAGAACTGGTTCTAGTTACGATTTACACTCACCTTGCGGAGTTGCTTTGTAATAGCCCTGGCGGAACCGAGTCTTCAATCGACAGAGCTGAGGCTGTTCACGACAAAGTCCGTCGGAGAATGAAACTGAAAAGAAAAGAAACTCTGTTAATAAGCGCATATTATTTTCAATCTTTCTTCTAGGTTAAAGGCATCCACAGGAACGTACCCAGGTACCTACCGACGTGGCTAAGGAGCAACCCACTACAGCATTCTAGTGTCTATATAAAAGACCAACAGCTAGGTAAAGAAAATATAAAAGATGAACTAATTAATCTAATAGAAAAAAGTATAGTAGTGATAGGAGAGATAGGAGAGATAGGAGAGATCCGCATCAGTTTGCTGCGCGTCTACATGTTGCCGACCCACTACTAAGTGCTCAGTGCTTGAGCTGCCCCTCCAAACTCGAACGAGGCTTCCTACATACCTACCTACACAAGATTGTTCAATGTAGCCCGGCATGTCGATTCCAGGGCTGGGGCAGATTCCTGCGCAGGTGAGCCAATTACGAGCCCAGAAACCGCAACCTCTCCGCAACCTCTCCCTCCAACTCCCATTTTCCCCTCACGCGCGGTCGTCGCCTCGTCGACTAGCCGCTCACGTCTCCTAGCATGTCGAATCCTCGACGCGAGTCGTTTCGCTCCGCAAAGCCGACGAGTGGCGCTTCCACCTCACACCAGGCGCTTCGATCCTCGTCAAGCTGCTCTCCGGTACGGCCGAAAAGGACGGCGTGGAGCTCGCGCCGCGCAGCACGTACAAGTTCACCGGTCCGCTGCGCAGCAAGCTGCTAACCTGGCACGGGTGCGATCTCGAGGTGGACGGGCGGGCCGAGCACGACAGCACAGCCACGTTCCGCACGCCCGCCGAAAACCCCGCAACCTCGCATGTCAACCTGCATGGGCGGCTAACGGAGATGCGGGCAGCGGCAGGGCGGGCGCGCCGCGAGGGCCCGCGAGTGCTGGTAGCGGGCGGGCGGGCGACGGGCAAGACGACGCTGGTGCGGACGCTGGCGAGCTACGCGACGCGGCAGGGCCAGCAGCCGCTGGTGGTGAACGCGGATCCGGGCGAGGGTGCGCTGAGCCTGGCGGGCACCCTGAGCGCGGGCGTCTTTGCGACCGTCATGGATCCGGTCGCGGTGGGCGGCGGCTGGGGCGGCACCCCGACGAGCGGGCCGAGCACGGTGCCGGTCAAGCTCCCTCTAGTGTACTACTACGGGCGCGAGTCCCCGGAGGAGGATGCGGATGTGTACAAGCGCCTGTTTGGGCGGCTGGCGGACGGCGTGAGTGGACGGCTGAGCGAGGACCCGGACGTGAAGACGGCGGGTGTCTTGGTGGATTCCATGGCCGTGGAGGCGGGCAGCGCGCGGGGCCTGGACCTGCTGGCGCACATGGTGGATGAGTTGTCAGGTAAGATGCTGCGGGAGACGGCAGAAGCGTGGTGCAAGGTGCTAACCGTGGAATAGTGAATATTGTCGTCATCGTGGGTACGAGTGGACTGAATGCAGATATTACGAACCGCTTCGCGACGGAAAGGACGAGCTTGGGCGAACCGATCCAGGTCATCACGCTGGACAAGTCGGATGGCGTAGTGGACAGGGACGAGTTGTTTATGGAGCACAGTCGCGAGGCCGTCATCAAGGAGTATTTCTTCGGGGACGCACGGCGGACGCTGAGCCCGCAGATTCAGCAAGTCGACTTTGACAGTCTCGTTATTCACCGGCTACCAGACTGTAAGCCCCCCTTTCCCCATCACCTCTTCACTGGCATGGCGCCCGTCTTTCCAAGTTTTACTAATGAGGCGCGCAGACTCCGACTACGAGACCGACACGCTGGTGCGGGAAGAGGCGTGCTCGTCCATGGAGCACTGGACGCTGGCGGTGATGCACGCATCGGTACGCGACTCGGCCGAGACGATCCGGGCGGCGGGCGTCATGGGCTTCGTGTACGTGGCCGACGTGGACGAGCAGAAGCGCAAGGTCAAGATTCTGGCGCCGGTGAGCGGGAGGCTGGGCGATCGGCCGTTGGTGTGGGGGCGGTGGCCGGAGCCGTTTATCAATTTGCTGGGCTGAGAGAGGTTTTTGGTCGTATTCTCCTTCAGAGGGGAAAATCAACTGTCCACGTCTGTTTCCTCTTTATTTATCTGTGCTATAGCGACAAAATAACTGGTATGCTTTATTAAAAATCACTGGCGGCGAGTGGCTCGTGACAATTTACCGGGATTGGTAGTGGAGAGCATGTCTCTCTATAGGTACGGATATATACTTTTAATTTGAGGTATATTAGTCGCTTCTCGGCGTGATATAGTTTGCGCACAGGGGCAATCAATCACCCAATCGTCAACGGCATTATGCGCCAATAAGCCGAGAGCGGTTCAGCTATACGAGGATGGGGGCAGCCGGAGCTAACTAACTAGAGATCCGAGTAGTTTCCTTTACCTATGTATGTAGGTATGCAAGCGACGAACCTCAGAATATACTTGCTTTGTTTCTTTTGCTGTTTGTTTCTCGGCAATCCTTTGCTGTATTTCTTTTGTTGCTGCCCAGCTTGGTTCTGCCCAATGCATGGATTGGGCGCGATGTAACGCTGCGAGATGGCGAGCTTGTGGAGGTGCGTCATTGTGCATCCTGCCCTGTCCGTGTACCCAACATGCGTGAAGAAGAAAGCTGCTAATCTGACCTAGTATATCTCCTTTTTGCTGGTTCTTGCTCAAAAGTGTCTTTTTATTCTTCTTCACTCACAATAGTGCTCAGCTTTTACAAATATGTTGACTGCAAAGCTGGCAACTCCGTTTCGCCGTTTGCGGACCGGAAGATGGACGGCGCCGCTGCCGGGCGGACCGTCGACACCAAGCCGTCAGCGCCCCCGCTAAAAAAGTTGCATTAGCTCTGCGCAAATCGCCCAGTTTCTTCTGCAAGCTCGGCACTCGCATCGAATAACACGAGGAGTAAATGCCCCAACATGAGCCTATTGCGTACAATCATGGTAAACCGAACAGCCCCCGTCATGTCTTACCAAGGTCTCATTGGGCTCGGCTGAGCTCTAGCCTCTTTGCGCTTACTATGGGGGGCAGGGACAGGGAGAGGTGGGAAATTGCCGAGTATAAAAGAATGCGACTGTCTCAATCCTTGAGCAACTCCTTTTCTGTTTGTTTTCACCCTCTTGCTGTTCATAGTGCCCATTGTTGTGTCCTTCCTCAGCTCAAGACTTGTGTCGTGTACAAACCCCAAACATACCGGCAGCAGCTGGCAAAACAAACGCACATACCCAACGGCTTCAAACACTCATCATGTGGTTCCGTTCAGCACTCGTCGCGGCCCTACCGCTGCTTTCTCTCGCTGCACCTGTAACCCAGGATAGCAGTAGCCGTGGTGGTGATGCCCTCCCCCGTACCGACTACGACGCCATCATCATCGGCGGCGGTCCCTCCGGTCTCGCCGCTCTGAGCGGTCTCGCGCGCGTCCGCCGCAACGTGCTCCTCGTCGACTCGGGCGTGTACCGCAATGCCGCTACCCGTCATCTTCACGACCTGCCCGGCAACGATGGTTCGTCTCTCCCTCTTTCTGACACATGCCTTCGTTGGCTAACAACCCCGTCTCTCCCCAGGCCAGCAGTCGGCCTACTACCGCTGGGTCGCCCGCCAGTCCATTGCCCATTACGGCACCGTGACCATGACTAACGGCACCATTACCAAGATCCAGCCCGAGCGCAACAACACCTACTTTTCCGTCACAGGCAACTACACGGGCAGTCACGAAATCACCTACACGGCGCGCAAGGTCATCCTCGGCACCGGCATCCGCGACGTCATCCCCGGCACGCCTGGCTTGCGCGAAAACTTTGGCAAGGGCATCTACTGGTGCCCGTGGTGCGACGGCCACGAGCATGCCGACCAGGCCCTCGGCATCGTCGGGCCCGTCACGGCAGCCCCCGGCACCGTCCGCGAGGTCACCACGCTCAACACCGACATTGTCGCCTTCACCAACGGCACCGCTTCCAAACAGACCCTTCTCGATGCCACCGAGAAGAGCTTCCCGCGCTGGCAAGAGTACATGGCGGCGAAGAAGGTGACTATCGACAACCGCGTCATGACGTCGGTCGAGCGCCTGCGCGACGGCGCGGATCCGGCTGCCGACCCGAGCCTGCCCACGCACCCGGAGCACGACCTCTTCCGCGTGCACTTTGCCACGGGCGAGCCCGTCCTGCGCAACGCCTTCATCATCAATGTCCCTACGGAGCAGGCGTCGACGCTGCCAAAAGACATTGGCGCCGAGGTCGTCGGCGGCAAGATCAAGGTGGACGGGACAAAGGGCCTGGTCACGACGGTGCCCGGCGTCTACGCCATTGGCGACGCCAACAATGCCGGCGCCACCAACATCCCGTTTGCGCTCTTCAGCGGCAAGCGCACCGCCGTCTATCTGCACGTGCAGATCGAGCGCGAGAACGCAGACGCCCTGCTGGCGAGCCTCAACGGCACGAGAACGGAGAACCGCCTCGGCAGCCGCAGTATTCACGAAGAGGCCCGCGCGGTCTGGGACGAGATCAACGGCCGGCCGGGCGATGTATTGTATGCTGGCGAGTTTGACCAGTAGGGTGGCATGCGAGGCAGCAGGGGAAGAAGAAGCACTCGTTGTTTTGGAGGGGAAGCTTACGAATTCAGGGCGTCCAAGTGATGTTGGTACATTTTCGCATATAATGCATAGCATAATTATAATCAGCGTATGCATTTTTATTTTATTGATAGTCAAGGCGATGCCCTGAAAAGATTTAACTTTGCGCGCGTAAATTTTGCAGGGATTGCATCAACAAGAATGTCTTCCGGGCGGCTTTGGTGTTCTGCGCGCTTTTCTTCACTCGAGTGTAGGTGGAGGTCTGATGCCGAGGAATGTGTAATGCACACCGCAATTCACGCCTGTCTCCTATCATATATGTCCTGCATATGTAGTAACAAGGCTGCGACGTGAAGAATTTCAAGCTGCATGCACCCCGCGGCTCGCGCGGCCAAGTCGCCGAAAGATCTGCGTTGCTTAACACCTATCACCGCTGCCCACCCTTGTTGGACGCCGTGCGCCGCGTGGCGCATTGCTCCCGCCGTCAAACGTCAGGGGGGTATTGCCGTAGTAAACACCGAGATTTCGGAAGTCCGTGAGACAAGTCCGCAAAGAGTATCACCGTGCAGAGATTGTCTCAGGATTTCTGTCGGGACGACTATATTTGACTCGATAGGCCGCTTCCGTCTGTGCAATTGTTGTGAAAGCATGTGGGATGTTTTTTCGGTTCCTCTAGATATACGAAATAGGAATGGGGGTTAATTAAGCCCATTTCAAGATTGCTTGTACGCTTCGTCCCAATGGAGCAGTAGTCGCGGTTTAAGCTTTGGAGCGGTTACGCCTTTACGTCATTCGCGGTCACGCTTGTGTGGGATGTATCAGGGGTAGTCTTTACTCAGTCGAGGTGAATGACAAAGAATGTGAAAACGCAACAAGAAATTGTAATCAGGAAATTGCAAGAGCGTGTTGGCACCGCCGCGGCGGAGCTAGCCTGATGGTTGATGGTTGATGGTTGGATACTGGATACGTACCTATGAGGTACTAAACATCGGTAGGTTAGGTGAGCGTGTGGTGACCCGGCCCATATATTCTCTAAGATTTCACAACGCACACCCCAAGTCTGATTTGAAATCAAAACGCAACAGCCAGATTCGCCAACTAATAGTTATCAGAGCCTGCTGGATGAAGCTCACTCTACAAGGGTGTGCCAAGCGGGTGGCGCCAATGCTCGTGCACAATAGTAAGGCTTGTAAATGCGAGTGATAATAGCACGGCATACGATTTGTGACCAAGGGTCCGGCAAGCTTCTTGGGGTAGACCGCAGGCTCGGCTGCAAGTCTTGACCCATGTTTCATAATGCATTTACCACTGCGGAGTACATAGCTTTCTGTGGGCAGATCACGTCCCCTCGTTTCGGTCAGTGACTGTTGACCAGATGAGTTGATAAATAAAACCAGAGATGAAGAGGGCCATGGATAGCTAGCGACACGCGCTTCGTCGCTGTTCTAATCCCTTTCCAGGGCGAATCGTCGCTTTATTATTCCCGGCCTAGTTAGCATTAGTTAGTCAAAAAGAGGTATTAGCCAAAGAAGGATTCCCCACAATGAATCATTCAACTTCAGCCGCGGTCGGTTGACAGAGTCAGGCTTGGGTGCAGCACAGCAAACGCCGAGCCAATGTGGGTGGCATAACCCCGTTATCGCCCCAAGGGCCGTGGTCGAGAAACGAGAAACGTGCTCAACGGATATACAATTATTAATAATGGGCATGGGCCCGAGAAAGTCTCCGGAGCGGTCAACAGAAGCAAAGAAGGTCAAGGTCAAATGTGTCCGCCATCAGTCTCCACACAACTTTGTCCGTCCAAAATTACCAACCCGTCGCAACAAGGAACAAGCCGCACCCAGAACTAGAACCAAGTTGCTACTAGTTAGCCTGTGGTATGTAGTACTTTCAACACGCACGCCCCGGAGATTAGAAATACAATCTCCAGGCAGGTTGTACCACCAATCTGGTGGGCCAGGTAAGAGGACGCTGCGTCATTCCACGGGCTTGCCACGGATCCGAACGAGAGCGAGACTAAAAAAAATTGTTGAAAAGGATCCGACCTTGCTGTGGGCATGGTCCGTGGCTCCAAACTCCATATAAGTGTGCCCATCCCACAGCTGAGCTGACCGGTCAGGAACAGCAACGGACTCGTCGACATCCTGATGCGACACGCAACTACAACTACCAACACTCAGAATTGAGTTTGTTTATTCGTACCCAAGAGCGAGGGTCAAACTGGCAATAACACACTCCACAATGGCTGCTGAAGAGCAGCAGACGGTGCCAACCACGGCCACCGCCGGAGCAACTGATGCCGTCACCACCGCCAATCCAATCACCACCACCACCTCGGCCGACACCTCTTCGAGCAACGCCTCCTTTGAGGGCTACTGGGGCGATGCCGACGCTGGCGGTCCTGTCCGCCGGGAATCAGCCCGCCAGGGCTACAACGACCTCCAGCGGGAGCTGAGCCGGCATGCCAGCAACACGTCCGGCGTATCCAAAGCCAAGAGCCACACCGCCGCTGGTCGCAGTGGTGGTCTGTTGTCGGCGCTGCGCAAACGGCCGAGCCGCGCGCCCGACGTCGAGGCTGACAGCCAGGCGACCAAGCACCACGACGACGACTTTCAGCTCGACGAGTTTATGCGCCAGGGTCACCTCGAGAAGCGGCACCCAGAGAGCGGCGAGTCGACCAAAAAGGTCGGCGTCGTCTTCAAGAACCTGACGGTCCAGGGCGCCGCCATGAGCGCCATGACGGTCCGCACGCTGCCGCAGGCTATCCTCGGCACCTTTGGCCCAGACCTGTACGGCCACCTCACGAAGCTCATTCCGGCGCTCAACTTCGGCAAGGGGAGCGGTCCCGAGATTCGCGACCTGATCCACGACTTTACCGGCGTCGTCCGCCCGGGCGAGATGATGCTCGTGCTTGGCCGCCCCGGCGCTGGCTGCACCACCTTCCTCAAGGCCATTGCCAACAACCGACAGGGCTATGTCGCCGTGACGGGCGACGTGCGCTACGGCGGCATCGACGCGGCCGAGATGGACCGCCGGTACCGCGGCGAGGTCGTCTACAACCCGGAAAACGACCGCCACCTGCCGTCCCTCACCGTCGGCCAGACGCTCGAGTTCTCCCTGCGCACCAAGACGAAAAAGGCTGACAGCGGCCGCATCGGCCTCATCGTCGACGCGTTTCTGCAGATGTTTGCCATTGCCCACACCAAGAATACAAACGTCGGCGACGAGTACACGCGCGGCGTGTCGGGCGGCGAGCGCAAGCGCGTGTCCATTGCCGAGACGCTGGCGACCAAGTCGACCGTCACCTGCTGGGACAATTCGACGCGCGGGCTCGACGCCTCGACGGCGCTCAACTATGCACGCTCGCTGCGCGTCATGACGGACGTGTCAGATCGCACCACGCTCACCACACTGTACCAGGCCGGCGAGGGCATCTACGAGCTCATGGACAAGGTGCTCGTGTTGGACCAGGGCCGCATGCTCTACCAGGGCCCCGCGACAGAGGCCCGCCAGTACTTCGTCGACCTCGGCTTCTTCGCGCCCCCGCGCCAGACCACGGCCGACTTCTTGACGTCCGTCTGCGACGTCAATGCCCGCCGCTTCCGCGACGGCTGGGCGGACCGCTGCCCCAAGACGCCCGTCGAGCTCGAGGCCGCGTTTCGCGCCAGCGCGGCGTACAAGAGCGTTCTGGCCGACGTCGCCGACTACGAGCGCCACCTGGCTGCGACCAGCCACGTCGACGCCGAGACATTTCAGCAGTCCGTCCAGGAAGCCAAGTCGCGCACCGTCCTGCAACGCTCCAACTACACCGTCAGCTACTGGCGCCAGGTGCTCGCGTGCACCCGCCGCGAGTTTTGGCTGCTCTGGGGCGACAAACAGACCCTGTACACCAAGTTTGGCATCATCATCAGCATGGGCCTCATTGTCGGCTCCCTCTTTTACGATATCCCCAGCGACACCTCTGGCCTCTTCCTGCGCGGCGGCGCCGCCTTCTTCTCCATCCTCTTCCTCGGCTGGCTCCAGCTGTCGGAGCTCATCCGCGCCATTGCTGGCCGCGACGTCATTGAGCGCCACAAAGAGTATGCCTTTTACCGCCCCTCGGCTGTCAATTTTGCCCGTATCCTCGCCGACTTTCCGCTCCTATTTGTTGAGGTTGTGGTATTTGGTGTCATTCTGTACTTTATGTGCAATTTCGATCTCGACGCTGGCAAGTTCTTCATCTACTTGCTGTACATCTACACGACGACTATTTGCATCACGGCGCTGTACCGCATGTTTGCCGCCCTCAGCCCTTCCATTGACGATGCCGTTCGCTTCTCCGGTATCACGTTTAACCTGCTCCTCATCTTTACCGGCTATGCCATCAGCAAGCCGACGCTAATCAGCAAAAAGATTTGGTTTGGTTGGTTTTACTACATCAATCCCGTGTCGTACGCCTTTGAGGGTGTCATCTCCAATGAATTGTCCAGCCGCAATATGCAGTGCGCTCCCAGCCAGCTTGTGCCGCAGGGCCCCAACATCCTGCCCGAGAACCAGGGTTGTGCTGTTCCCGGTTCAGCCGCCGGCGCCGCCACTGTCAATGGTGCCGACTACCTCAGTGCAAACTACGACTATCACCGCTCCAACCTCTGGCGCAACTGGGCCGTTCTGATTGCCTTTTCGGTCCTATACATTCTCGTCACCGTCTTGGCGACCGAGACCATTTCGTTTGCCACGTCTGGCATGGGTATCCTCGTCTTCAAGAAATCCAAGGCTGGTGCCGCTGCCGCCAAGAAGACGAAAGAAGGCGACGAAGAGTCTGGCAAGAAGGAGGCACAAGGCAGTGACAATCTCCGGCGCCAAATCACAACCCCCGACGAGATTCTGCAAGAGTTCCAGCGCAGCGAAAAGATTTTTACGTGGGAAAACGTCAACTACACCGTTCCCAGCGCTGATGGCCCCAAGAAGCTTCTCAACAACGTGCAAGGTTATGCCAAGCCCGGGGTCATGGTTGCGCTCATGGGCGCTTCCGGCGCGGGCAAGACGACGCTCCTCAACACGCTATCGCAGCGGCAGACGGTCGGCGTCGTCGAAGGCAGCATGCTTGTCGACGGCACCGCGCTGCCGACCGACTTCCAGCGCGGCACCGGCTTCGTCGAGCAGATGGACCTGCACGAAGAGTCGACCACAGTCCGCGAGGCGCTCGAATTTTCCGCCCTCCTCCGCCAGAGCAAGGAGACGCCGCGCGCCGACAAGATTGCCTACGTCGACAAGATTATCGACCTACTCGAGATGCAGCCCCTTGAAGACGCCATTGTCTTTTCCCTCGGCGTCGAGCAGAAGAAGCGGCTGACGATTGGCGTCGAGCTCGCCGCCAAGCCGTCCCTGCTGCTCTTCCTCGACGAGCCCACGTCCGGGCTCGACTCCCAGTCGGCCTTTTCCATCATCCGCTTCCTGCGCAAGCTGTGCGCCGCCGGCCAGGCCATCATCTGCACCATTCACCAGCCCTCGTCGGAGCTCATTGAGCAGTTTGACCAGATCCTCGCGCTGAACCCGGGCGGCAACGTCTTTTACTTTGGTCCCGTTGGCGAGAATGGCAGCGCCGTCGTCGACTATTTTGCCGCACGCGGCTCGCAGTGCCCCGACGGCAAGAATGTCGCCGAGTTTCTGATTGAGCAGGGTGCCAAGCCAGCAGGCCGCGCATTCTGGAACGAGCAGTGGCTGCAGTCGGACCAGAACAAGACGCTGACCGAGGAGATTGCGCGCATCAAGCGCGACCGCAGTGCGGCCGCGGCCCAGTTGCAACACGCGTCGGGCGGCGCGGCCAGGCAGGACGAGTTTGCCGCGTCAGTGTATGAGCAGACGACGCTCCTGACCAAGCGCATGTTTATCAAGCAGTGGCGGCAGCCCTCGTACGTGTACGGCAAGTTCTTCGTCGCTGTTCTCATTGGCATCTTCAACGGCTTCACCTTCTGGCAACTCGGCAACACGGTCGAAGACATGCAGAGCCGCATGTTCACGTCCTTTCTCGTCCTCCTCTTTTTGCCGGCCACCATGAACGCCGTGCTGCCCAAGTTCTTCATGGACCGCGCGCTCTGGGAGGCGCGCGAGTACCCCTCGCGCATCTACGGCTGGGTCGCCTTTTGCTCCGCCTCTATCCTCTCCGAGATTCCCAGCGCCGTCATCTCGGCCGTGCTCTACTGGATTCTCTGGTACTACCCGACCGGCCTGCCGACCGACAGCTCCACGGCCGGCTACGTGTTTTTGATGACGCTCCTCTTCTTCCTTTTCCAGACGAGCTGGGCGCAGTGGATCTGCGCCTTTGCGCCGTCCTTTACCGTCATCAGCAACGTGCTGCCCTTTTTCCTCGTCATGTTTTCCGTCTTCAACGGCGTCTTTGTGCCGTACGAGCAGCTCGCCGTCTTCTGGCGCTACTGGATGTACTATGTCAACCCGTCGACGTACTTTGTCGGCGGCGTTCTCTCGAGCACCCTCGCCCACCAGCAAGTGCGCTGCGCCGACAGCGAAGCGGCGCACTTTACGCCGCCGTCGGGCAAGACGTGCGCAGAGTTTGCCGGCGACTTCGTCGTCAAGGCCGGCCGCGGCTACTTGATTGACCCCAATGCCACCGACATGTGCGGCTACTGCCCGTACGCCGACGGTACCCAGTACCTGGCATCTCTTCACATCGAGCCCAGCCAGAAATGGCGCGATTTTGGCATTTTTCTTGCTTTTTGTATCAGCAACTGGGCGCTGGTCTACTTCTTCATCTACACGGTGCGCGTTCGTCGCTGGTCGTTTGGGTTTAACTACTTATTTAAATGGTTTTAAAAAAGCCATAGTTACAGTTTACTTGGAGGAATAGATTCATAGATATCAAATTAGAAACATCTAAATATCCAACAAATATTGAAGAATAAGAACGATGAATAACATAGTGGCTTCAAGTACGCTGAGGCTAGGTACTCGTGGCGCACGCCCACTGGTTACTTAGGGTTGGGGTGTTGCATGTGTACCTAAACAATTAGGATGCGCGCCAGAAGATGCATGAGGGCCCTGGTTATAGCGATGGTGTAGAAATTACTTGATTATAAACAGTTCCCTTGTAAATTTAGAGGACAAACCCGCCATGAATTACTTGTAAAACTCCGAAAATTCGTTTACAACCTATTCAGGCTATGAAAAAAATAAAAAAAAGTGCATGGCTAATTCCACTTCGCCTACTAATGTATTAGAGGGCTACTACTGCCTGTTCTGCCTGTTACGCGAGTCGGCATAATGTGGTTCCGCTCGCGCTTGCACGCCTCGTGCAGGGGGCGTCGCTTCCTTGAACAGGACGAGGGGCAACAACACAACCAACCTCCCTCACAACCAACCTCCCTCCCCTCTCTTTTGTCCTGCTCCATCACAGCTATTCCAACCAGCGGCAACAGTTATAGTTATAGAGAAACTACCTTGCCACACGCTCTCAGCTGAGCAAGTCGCGGAATCCTTCAGCACCAACCCCAGCGATGGATTGACTTGTGATGACGCTGCCGATCGCCTTCGAAATGGCCGCCCAAACGTCATCAGGCCTGCCAGAGGACGATCCCTCTTCTCGATCTTCCTGCAACAACTGGCCAACGCGATGACTGTCGTCCTCGTTTTCGTCATCGCCATATCGTTCGTCCTGAACGAGAAAATCGAGGGGTCAACCGTCGCAACAGTTATTGCGGTAAATACTGTCATCGGGTAAGTGCATTATTCTATCCCCAACCACCTCTATCCGTAATCATCTCTTCTATCAGTCTCCTGCTAACAGTGCAATTCCCAGGTTGATTCAGGAGTACCGGGCCGAAAAGGCCATTCAATCCCTCAGTGCTCTGACCACCCCGAAGTGCAAGGTCATCCGTGATGGCCGTGGACACTCTGTCAAAGCTACAACTCTGGTCAAAGGAGACCTGGTTTCCCTTGTCGCTGGCGATATAGTTCCAGCAGATCTGCGTCTCGTCCAAGCCATCAATCTCTCTACGGATGAGGCCCATCTGACGGGTGAAGCTGGTGCCATCGCCAAGAAGCACGACGCCATCTTTGATGATGCTGATATACCCGTCGGCGACCGTGTCAACCTAGTTTTCTCTGGTAGCACTGTCATATCTGGTCGTGCCACTGGCATTGTTGTTTCTACTGGCATGGAAACCCAAGTCGGACAGATCGCGGAACTTTTGAGCCAAAAGAAACGGCCCCCTCCTGGTATGAACCGCATGCGAACGATGATGCACTGCGTCCTCGGTTTCATTCGAACCATTCTCGGCCTCACGGGAACCCCATTGCTAGTTTCTCTCAACAAGCTTGCGCTAGTTCTCTTCGGCTTAGCCATCGTCCTTGTGCTCGTCGTGTTTTCGATCTGCAAATGGGAAATCAACGATGACGTCTTGCTCTACGGCATTTATGTCGGCGTTGCCATCATTCCCGAATCACTGAGTGCAGTTCTTACCATTTGTTTGGCTGTTGCAGCCCGAGCCATGGCCAAAGGCAATGTTGTTGTCCGCCATCTGGCTGCTCTCGAAGCTGTCGGTGCGACCACTCACGTCTGCTCCGACAAGACTGGAACAATCACTCAAGGTCGCATGGTCACTCGCAAGGTTTGGTTACGTGATGGCCTCACGGGAGTTACACAGGACATATCAGACCCCTACGATCCCAATAGCGGCAGTCTTACCTGGTCTGGCTCTCTTGCCCCTGGTCTTTTCAGCGCTTTCCTCAAAACGATCAATCTATGCAATAATGCCACGGTCACGCACGGCAACAAAAGCAGTGATTGGTGCGCCATGGGCGAGCCCACAGAGATCGCTTTAAAGGTATTCGCAATGCGTCACGTTCAGGACAAAAGCAAAGACGGCAATCTCATTGCGGAGCATCCTTTTGATTCTACATGCAAGCTTATGACTGTGGTCTACGGCACTGAGGTCGACCCGTGTCACTATGTTCATACCAAAGGAGCTGTGGAAGTCCTGCTTCCAATCCTGGACGAGACGGAACAATTCAAGGCCGAGATCACTGCCAAAGCAGAGTTACTTGCTGCCGAAGGTCTTCGTGTGCTTTGCATCGCGGATAAGGTGGTAGAAAACTCACCTAAGGACGCCCAGGATCGTCAAAAATGTGAATCTCGCCTGCGTTTCCTCGGCCTGGTTGGGATGTACGACCCTCCCCGCCTAGAAGCCGCCGGTGCTGTGACGCAGCTCCATCAAGCCGGCCTTTCAGTACACATGCTTACCGGGGATCACATTCAAACGGCAACTGCCATTGCCAAAGAGGTCGGCATATTGTCTCACGAAAGCCCTCTGCCCCCGAGCGCTGTCATGGCAGCCTCCGATTTCGCCAAACTCAGTGATGATGAGGTTGATGCGTTGGACAACATCCCCTTTGTGATCGCACGGTGTACACCGGAGACAAAAGTCAAAGTTATTGAGGCGATACATCGACGGAATGGCTTCTGTATTATGACGGGTGACGGAGCTAACGACGCTCCCGCCTTGAAAAAGGCGGATGTCGGAATTGCTATGGGTGAGCGGGGCAGCGATGTTGCCAAGGAGGCAGCAGACATGATCCTGACAGACGACAATTTTTCATCAATTGTCACGGCCATTCGAGAAGGCCGTCGACTGACGGACAATATCCAAAAGGTATGTACAAGGTAGTCATGCTCGGTCGTTTCGTTTCACTAATATTTTGCAGTTCTTGTTACACCTACAAGTCGCGAATATCGGTCAAATTATCCTGTTATTAGTCGGTCTCACGTTCCTAGATTTCGAAGGCGACCTAGTCTTCGCCTTATCGGGGCTAGCAGTTCTGTGGGTAAATCTAGTTACCTCGTCGCCCCTCGCAATTGGTCTTGGGCTCGAAGAGGCTCAAGATAATATCTTGCGCCGGCCTCCTCGGAGTCGACGTATGGGTATATTCAGTGTGGAGCTGATTTGTGATCAATTTGTGTACGGCATCTCCATGGGTGCCCTTTCCCTCGCTGCATTCATGATTGTCGCCTACGGCGATATTGGTTACCACCTCTTAGAAAAAAACTGCGCTAAATCCCCTGCCTCGGGATGCGGCCGCGTTTTACGCGCGCGGGGCGCAACATTCGCAACATTGAGCTTCCTGTTTATGGTCATGGCGTGGGAGGTGAAGCACTCGCTTCGCAGTCTCTTCACTCAAACAGAGAGGGGGTCTCTTACCGTATTCTACACGGTATACCGCAACCGCTTCCTGTTCTGGTCGGTCATCGCCGGGATCGTCGCCACTATTCTTGTCATCCACATCCCTCATGTCAACAATCGTGTGTTCGAGCACAGGAGCCTCGGCTAGGAGTGGGGTGTAGTTCTTGCCTGCGTGGTTGTTTTTGTCGCTATTGTGGAGATTTGGAAGGCGGTTAAACGGAGATATCGTATTGGCATGACTGGTACTGTATCCCCCATCGTGGCTTAACTGCTAAATATTCAGTCTTGGCTTCTTTAGTTTAGTATCCCTATACTATCTTTAGTTTAGTATCCCTATACAACATCTACCTCTTCCTATAATACTTGTTCTTGGTTGTATTATTTTGTTGATGTATTACGTGACATGACGAAGTTGCCATCTCGGCGTCCATGCTCCAGACACGCGAGTCGCTGGCGAAAGCTAGGAAACAAGATGGCAGATTCCCCTTTTCTCGCTCCTCTCCTCCGCATTTTATTGTCCGGGAACATGCAGGTCCCCCCTCCTTTTCTTTGTCGCCATCGTGACACCCCCCAGCTTTTTTTCTCTCCTGTCGTCGTCATTGCGCCAGATTTGCGCACCTTGATGGGCAGAGAGACCTTGATAGCGCGCTCTTTTTTTTTCGGCCCTGGCTGCAACGTGCACACACGCCCCGTCTGGCAAATCGAGAGACCATTTTCTGTATGGATGGACGGGGGAGAAGAAGAATAAATGAATTTATCAAATAAAATAAAATAAAATAAAATAAAATACAATACAAAAACGTGGCAACAAGCCCCCAAGATATGTTTTGCTCTACTGCGAGGGAGGGTTCTTGTCGGATGTATAAAAAGGTCATGATGCGGCTTCTTCTTTTCCCTTTTTCTCCTCTTTGGGTCTGTTCTGTGCGCTTCTTTCCTTCTTCCTCTTTTGGAGAGCGAGTTTTTTCCACGATTACGGAGGAAGATGGCCGTGGGCTGACGAGAACGATGGCGGCCACGAGCGGCTTTCACGATGCGGGTTGACGATACTCGGTCCCTTTGGCCACGGTCTGCGCCTTCAACTCTCCTTCTCGAGGATTGATTCACACACTCTCTCGCTCTCTCTTTCTCTTCTACGCCTGCGACGGAGAACAAAATGAACGACGAGTCTCGCGGGACGTCGACTTGGCAGGGGACCAGCCTACTCCCTGAAACCCGGCTCTCTCCAGTTGAGTCTTCTTCTCGCCTCAACCTTCTTCTTGCTGTTCTTGCCTGGACCTGCGTTTTCCTCGCTCTTCCCTCGCCTTTTCGTTTCTTGTCTCTTTTGGTCGAGGCTACCAGCAAGCTGAGTCCCCTCCCCCAGCCACGTACCGACGGGGGCTGAAACCTGATCTCCCGATGGCCCTTTTTTTTTTCATTCTACCTTGGCTCTATCAAGGATCCGCCTCGTTCAACCCCCATGTCTGGTCTACCTTGTTCCGCCGTCGCATAGCGAGAGACCGGTCCGTTGGTTCCTTGGCCCGACTTTGGGTATTGACGGCAAAGGACTTGCCTCCCTCCGCTCCTCTGTGCCAGCTCGGGGCAAGCCGGTCTGTCTGTTCCTGTTGGGCATCTTCATCCTTCAGTCCGTCCCTTCCAAGGACAGTCCCCGTCCTCCCACACACCCGACCCTCGACGTTGCGTTCTCGCTCCCACTTGGTCTGGAATTCTCCTGTTCCTTGCCAACGCATCACCTGCCCACACACACAGACACACACAGACACACACACACAGACACACCATCTGTCCTTGGACGATCCACACCAAGCAACACGGGCAGCTGCGGCCATACCCGCAAGCTAGTGGTGCGGGCTTATTGGATGCAACCGCGGGTGCCGCCACACACGTTTACGTTTATGCATGCCCAGCATGGCCAGAGTCACGCTTCCCTCCCATACCAGCTCCACCAGCCATGGCATGTCTGTTGTCTATTACGCAAAAACAGCGCAGGCAGAGCCGAGGAGAGAGAGGCTAGTGTTGCCGTTTTGTTTTGTTTGCCATGCGCCGTCTGCTGGGTTAGGAAGGTTTATCCTTTTTTGCACGCCACTACCCACACCTCTCTTTTTCTTACAAGTTCCTTCGATATCGGCTCGTCTCCTATTGGCCTGGGCTTCAAGTCATGGGAAACTCATTGTCGTTGGCTACGGCGGCCTTGGCCGGACCTTTTTTCTTCATTGCTATTGCTATTGCTAACTAGTGCCGCATGCACCTACCCAGCCGGAACCACAGCTCTCCCCGCTTTCCTTGATGCCTGTCGTCGCTTGGTTGGGCGTCCTCCGAATCGAGTATCCCGTCACTGGCGGCCGTGACTGGCAGGCGTCGTCGTCCGTCAAGCCCTCCGGCCCATCCCACATGGGCTGATGCCTATGTGGCAGCCGCCTGCATGTATCATTGCTCTCTGGTTTGCCGAATTCTGCGACCCCCCTCCCCGGTCCCACGTTGCGAGCTGCATAAGCTCAGAAAGTTTGCGCGGCGATGCAGCTCACACGGGACCACCAACCCTCTCACTCGCAGTCGCAGTCGCAGTCGCAGATCCATATTGGCAACTGTGGAGCGGATCAAGGCGCACCCATCTGCTTTGGAGCTTGGTCTCCTCTTTTGGAGGTTCCTCCGTGCCTGACGGACAGGCTATCAGATGCTGCGGGGTCACGTCACGGCGTTGGCGTGCGGAATTGTGTCGTCGGCGTTGGATTTCCGCGGCCACTTATATTGTTACACAGATGATGGATCCTTGGAAGCTCCAAGCCGGCGACCTAGAGGATCCTCACGGCCCCTTGCCTGTCGGTCTTTGCTCCTACTGGGTGGAGGCTGGATGCTGCCCGTCTGAGCTAGAGCGTCGTGTGTGTCGTGACCCTCGGACTCGCGGATCCAACAACAGAGAGGCCGGGTCGTCGGTGGCGTGGTGATGAGGATGTGAAGAGGCTTGGGGACCGTCTTCCGCGTGGCGCGTTTAGACCAGGACCAGGAGGCTTTCACGGAGGGGGCCGATGGCAAGGAAGCTTGTTGTGAGCGATCAGAACGGTGTTGTGGCGCGACACCGTGGGAATCCGTTGCCCGGTCCAATAGTTGTGAGGCTCTACCCCGCTGGTACATGCGGCATGAGGTGGAGGCAACGTTCGTATGCGACTACGGCAAACGGGTCATGGACGTGGCGGGCGCGCGCATCACTTGTGCTTTGCCTTATTTCGAAGCTGCTCTATTGGTGTAGCTCTGCCGAGCTGGACGAGAAGCTGAGGAGGGGTTGATCTACATGGCCGTCTATAAAAGACGTTGCATCCCGCCCTCATCTCTGCTTTTCCTTTCCTCCATCAGACACTACAACACTACAACACTACAACACTACAAGACACCTTTTTCACAAACCAACCGTTTTTTAAAACACCCCCAACTTCTACAATGGATCCCTGGTACGTTTCCCCCATCAACCTGCCTCCCCGCCCGTCATGGCGAAGAAATGAGCAGCCAAGAACCAAGTTGTTCTGGGACGACTTATCTCTACGCGATCCAGCTCTCCCGACGGATCCGAGAAAGAGACGCTTCGGCTGACCACATTAGCAACTGCTCCTCCTGCAACTGCTCCGGCGCCTGCGACAGCTGCAAGTGCGATAGCTGCGGCCACTAAGCCGTCACCACCGCCGCCGCCGCCACAGCAACCGGTGCGGATGAGCACAGCTCGCTTCAGCGGCAGCCGCCCCGACTTTGAAACGAAACGCAAGCAACGATCGATTTCGGTGACAAGATATGTCGGGGCGGACTGAACAGGGTCGGGGGAGGGGAAACTTGGGGAGATGAGGATTCTGCTTCTTTTCGGATCTGGAGAGGGCGATGCTGTTGTTTCTTCCTCTTTTTTTTGGCCTTTCCGATATTTTTTCCATTTTAGGCTGATAGCTGCAACTTGTCTGATCTTGGTTGAGACATGCTTCTTTTTGCTCCTATTGTGATGTGACGGGGCGGGCCGCAATCTGTGCTTCCTGTCATGTGCGTATGCCGTGCTGCCCGTGATGAACGGGCACAGTGCGCCGACGAGTGGCGTTTTTCGTAAAGTGTGGCAGGCCGTTCGTTCTCCAGATCGGCCCAACGCCGGCTTTGCCAAAAAAAATCGATTTCAGCCCAAGACATTGATCAATCTATCGGACCGAGCTGCTGCAGCTGGCACGCAGCCGTGGGGATCTCGTTTCGATCTACGGTAGCGGCCTGCCTGCCTGCCTGCCTGCCTGCCATGATGTACCTTGGTGCAACAAAACATCAGCGGTCTTGAATCTTTGACAGTGAAATGGCTCACCTAACCTGATTCCTGCCGCATGCCAACTTTCAGGCTGTGAAGCGGCGCCAACCAGAACTAATGGTCGGCTGACCGTGAAAAGGCGAACGGAGCCAGGCCAGCGCATTCGAGGATCGCACCAAGTGGAGATGGAACCGCCGACGTCATGGTGCAAGGGTCGGTGAATGCCGAAGAGAGCTTTGTTGTCATTGAGGGTTTGGGTTGTCGAGGGATTGTGTTGAAGCCCAAGTACGGATCCGAGGGTGCGGAATTTTTCGTCGATGGAGGGCGAGAGCGGCTTTGTGTAACCGTTGATGAATGACTCTTTTTCAAACAGACGAGAGAAAAATTATTGCATGAACATATGGACGTACCTACTGCTTTGTTCCTGCGAGGCCCAGCTAACCTTGTCCTGTCACTGGCTGGCAGCCTCAATCCCCATCGTACAGATGGACGTGTTCGTTCACGCAACAGCCACCAAGCCCACCAAGGAAGGTATTGTGTACTTGAAACAAAAATGTAAATCGAGGATTTATTACAAGTGAGTAGTCAATCTGATGGCTTGCGTGGCTCCACACGTTGTGATGACCACCCACCTGTGCTGCAATATGTTTCTAGCTACCCTATACTATATTGGGTTTTCCTCATCAACCTAGTCTCTTCTGCAACTACAAGTCTTGCTTGAACCTGCCATAAAAGGTGCCGTACTTGCGCAAAATCGTGCCGCACGTGTCGCCCTTTACCGCGAGGTAGAACCGCGCGCACGAGGCGACGAGGCCGTCTTGCGTCGGGCTGGGACCCGGCGGCCCCGTCGGCTGCGGCGATGACGAGGACGTCGTGCTGGTCGGCGCGACGCCGTCGGCCGCGACGCAGTAGTAGTAGCCCGCCTAGAAGGGGTTGCAGTCCCTGTCCACGGCCGGATTCCATCCGGTCAGCAGGTCCATGCTGATGCCGTACCTGCTCGCCACCTTGGCGCACGTGTCGCCCTTGACGGCCATGGTGCGGCGACGGGACGTGCAACGGCGGCGGAGGGGTGGTGGGTGTGGACGACGAGGTGGACGTCGAAACGCCATTGTGTATGAAGAGCCAACCTTGATGCCGCTGCAATCCTCCTTGACAGAAGGGTTCTGCGTAACAAAGACGGTTAGAAAGACGGCCGTTCTTTGTCTTGTTGCAAAAGCTTAACGTACCCAGGTACAAAGTCCTGGTGGGACACGCCCAGGCCGCCTCAATCGACGCGCAGGTGTCGGCCTTGGATACGTCGTCGTACCAGTACGTGCACTGCTTGGTCGTGTCGGGCAGCACCGTGCCGCTCGGCTGGCTGTCGAGCCGCTGCGAGGGCGGCGACGCAAGCCAAGGCTGCGCCTATCGAGAATTTCATAATGCTGCCGTTGCTAAGAACAAAAGTATGGCCGGCACGGATGGGCAGACTGCAATAGCTTGTGCTCTCTCCGGAGCTGCTGCTACGTTCCAGAGTATATATTCCCACCACGGCCGTAACAGCATGTTGCCCTTTCAAAGCTCCACGGCAGTTGCAATTATAATCAATAGTTTGGCTATAAAATATAGGCACCTCTATCCTAAAGGCGTTTCTTACCCGAAGGAGTAAATAACTCGCCTGCGTAGACACAAGGGGCAAATTCCATACTTTACTTCGGAATTAGGTAATATCTATAACCCTATTATTATAGCCTGATTAGCACTTCTCACCCTATTTACGCCGAAAAGTAATCAGGCTATATAACAATAGCAAGATATTATATAAAGCAATATATAAAAAAATAATAAATAAAAAAATAGCTAATTAGGAAGTTTATATTTTAGTTATATCTATAGAAGTTACTAACTTTTTAGCCTTATATATATATATATCTTTTATTAATTAGTATTTATATAATAGCTTATAAGTAAGTTATTATTATAACTTATAAAATTATTATATATATTACTAAAAAGAATTAATTCTATTAAAGCTTTTATAAAAGCTCCTAAAAATAAAATAGCAATACTAATATTAGCTTACTTTAAAAAGTAAAAGAGTTATTAGCAAAAGTAGGATTTTATATAAAGTATTAACTTTATTATCGGTTAGGTTAGCAAAAGTTAAGCCCTAGCGGCTTCTAGTCGTGGCGGGTCGTACAGCCCGGGGCTGGCCGGCCTTTACGACCCGCCTAGAAGCTGCCCTACTGACGCAAGGTGGACTGCGCCCCTACTGACGCAAGGTGGACTGCGCCCCTACTGACGCAAGGTGGACTGCGGGTTAAGAAAAGGCGACCCTGGCTGGATTCGAACCAACCGCCTCTATGGAATCCATAGAGGCTGCCTGCGACGGTTAACCACTCCGCCACCAGGGCCGCTGTATGTAACTAAAAAGCACAATAACCTACTTATATAACTACACACAGGGTGTGAACTGAGTTTCGGCGACATCAGATCACAAGCTGCGGGGTTTGCCAAACAGCACCTGTTTTTCTCCTCTCCCGCAACAACAGCGTTCATTTGCGCATCACATTTGACTTGTTTCGGTGCATCGAACTATTTCGGAACCCAGCGTGCATTATTTCCTCATCTGACGACGGGCGCTCAGGAATGCCATCCTCCCAATCAACAGAGCCTCCTCGTTGGGGCGCATTTCCTTCAGAACAATACCTTCTTGTACGCCAGCCACCTAGCCATTGCGGTCGCTCATCATTCTCTGACACAAACCTCTAGCAAAACTGGAATTCCGCGTCGGAAGAGACAGACACGGACCAAAGGCGACGACTCATTCGCGACTTTGTCCGGAAACTCGACGCCATCCCCGAGGAATGGGACACCGTCTTCGATCCTGACCGGCGGGACCAGGGCATGGTCGTGCCGCCGTCCGAGGCGCAAATCAGCACCATCCTCGCGCCCTGGCGAGCGCCCAGCCTACGACTCGCCGCTGCCAAAATAGGGAGCGCACCGCCCGTGGATCAGCTCGTCTGGCTGCGCACACATTACGCCAAGGACCGGGCTGCACGGGACCGCGACGACCAGACTCTGCGTCGGTGGGTGGAGACGGCCCGCGACGAGGACCCGACGGCGCCGTGCGACACGTTTGAGGAAGCCTGGAGCTGCCTGGTTCTGAACAATGACCGTCTTTTCGACGTTGGCGAGGACTGGTCTGCCGTCTTTGACCTCGTGCCCGAAATCCTCGGACCGTTTGCAGACGCGGGCCAAGACTCGCGCAGAATCCCGTGCGACGGAGCGTACGACGGAGCCGGCAGCGACACCGTGGCGACGAGGCGACGCCGGCTGCGCGAGAACCTGGCCGTCATCGACGGGTACGCGGCGCGCGCCCGCTTCGTCGACCGTGAGCCGTGGCTCAAGTCGCTCTGCGTGCGCACGGCCCTGGTCGTCGTCGATGAGCGCGCGTTTGCGACGGGCGGCCTGCTCCGGATCGTCTTTGTCGATCCCAGAGGCAACGAGGTGCGCTCGTCGCGCAGCATGTACGACGACAACTGGTGGACGCTCAAGGCGGACCTGTGCGGAGGCGGGCTGGGGACCAATACGTGGTGGGAGTACGACAGCGACGACGACGAGGAAGAGGCGGACGACTGGCACGACGGCGAAAAGTACCGCGCCGGGGGCGAGATTGGAAAGGTCCTGTACGGCGTCCAAGACATGCTGCAAGAGGCAAGACTGTCAGCGCCAGACAGTTGAGCACGGCGCTCACCGCAATCTCATGGAGGACACAAATCTACAATGGTCTGAATAATGAGCTAATGGAATACGGCACAATCTCCAAATTTAGTTTCTGCATCCATCGAGGATAAGCTAAGACTGGTCTTGGTGGGAGCTACATCGTGCCCTAAACCCGGACCGAGCCGTGGCCGTCGAGTCAAAGCCGTCTTAAAGGAAGCAGCGTAGTGCAAGAGAAGGTACTGGTTCTGGCGGCAAAGTGCAAGAATTATAGTACAGAGCTAATACATGACGAGTAGAAGACTGATCCTAGTGTATTCGACCTGTCCTCGCCCACTTCGAGCATCCAAAAGGCCAGAAAACTCAGCACCAGGGAAGAAACTCAGCGACAAAGAAAAGAAGGAAAAAAGGCCCCGGACCTACTCCAAAACGGCATCGTCAATATCCGCAACATCATCCACCGTCTCTACAGGAATGAACACTTGTTCTTCTTCGTCGTCCTCATACCGCTCTACCTCTGATACGCGAACATGGTCAGCCCTTTTTGCTCCTGGTTTGCCTCGGCACCTGCAACACTTACTGGTAATCGTCCACCTCTTTTCCGACGATGCGCTACCAGAGCCCATGGACTCATCATCCGAGTCGCTATCCGTGTCCTGATGGGAAAACGTGACTTTGCACTTGCCTAAGTGCCAGGCCATGACGCCCTTGCGGTTGACCTGCGGCCCGTACAGACAGTACGCGTTGTAGTCGTCGACCCAGCCGTAGTAGCGGTCCTGGTCAAAGAGGTTGATGGCGCAGGCCACGCCCTTCCACCCGTCGACCTTGTTCGCGTCGTGCGACGACGTCTTGAACTCGCGCGCGGTCGCTCCCCACCAGCCGTGCTCGTCGTTGGGGCTCCAGTTGAGCGACCAGGTGTAGTTGCGCCGAAAGACCCACGAGATCTTGTCGCTGTCCCGCCGCTTGATGCCGTCCGGCAGCGGCATGTCCTCCGGGTACTCGGTACGGCGCTGGCTGTTCTCCCCGCTGCCCTTTTTCGTCCATGCCGCGTTGGACTTCCAATTCACCCACTTGTCTGTGCGGCCGGTGCTCGGCGGTTCTGGTTCCATGTTGCCCCAGTTCGATTTGATGTTTCGGACCAGCTCTGCATGTGTCCCCCATCTCGTTAGCTCATGCTTGCCGCAGTTGAAGCTTGTTCTTGGTTTTGCACTTACGCTGGCAGGTGCTGCCTCCGTAGTCCTTGTTCTGCACCTTGAGGGTACATAGCTCGGAGCGCTGGGCGGCGGGCAGAAAAATGCCGCCCTCCTCGGTCGACGCTGGAGGCGTCTCGTCGCAGTCGAGTTCCATTTTGCGGCGTTTGGTAATCTGTCGGTAATTATCCTGAATATCTTGGCAGTACGACTTTTTACCCGCCGGCACTATACACGTGTCTTTCCGCCGGTCTGATTTGGCGTCCGCGTCGGCGGAAAACGTCAAGGGATTTGGGAGCGGATTGAGAGTGCGCCATGCGCTGCACATGCCAGGCACGACCACGGCCTGCCCAGTGGGTGTCCCGGGAACTTGCGTGTCTCCAAAGACTTCGCAATTGTCTTGCAACCATGTTAGCTCCGCCGGGGCTTCGTTCCGAAGAAAGGTTGTGACTTACACCGCAGCTCGGGGAGCCGCCAACCAGCTGCACCGGCAGGGCAGGTAATGGGAGTGCTAAACTGAGAGCTAGAATCTAAACGACCAACGTGTTAGATGACGGGATGCCCGCATTGAAAAAAGTTGGAGTTGTTCTGCTTACCAGTGTCCATGGGGTCTGAATCGGAACGCAAATCGAACAGATTCATCGAGCTGTTGTTTGCACTGAACGGCTGCTCTTCTCCTGCCCCAATCTCAGCGCGTTTGGCCTTTGATCCCAGCGGAATAGTGTACTCAAACGGCCCGTAAACGTCAATCTTCTTGTCCGGCGTGTACGCCAAGCGGTCTCCAGTGGCCCAGTCGGTGATGCCCAGTATGACGGCCTTGGCCGAGTACCCAATGTTGTACAGGAAGTGGACGCCGTACGAAAATGTAAAGTTCTGGCTGCCCGTGTCCGCCTTTGCCCGGGCCTGGAAGGAGAGCGTGCCGGCCAGGAAGCCGGACAGCTGGGCGTCCATGATGGTGGCGCCGCCGACGAGCTTGCCGCCGCCAATCTTGACGCCCATATTGGCCTGCGGCTGCACGACGATGTCGAGCTGGGCGTCGACGCGCACGCCGGCCTCGAAGCGCGGCTCCACGCTCTTGCGCTCCGGCGCGCGGGCCGTGCCGTCGAGGCCGAGCAGCCGCTCGTACTTTTGGCTGGCCGCGTCGTCCTGCGGCCAGAACACGGCCGCCTTGCCAAAATTGACCTGCGCCCCCGCCCGCATCTCCCCGTGCACCCGCACGTGGCCGCGGATCTGCCCGTACACGTCGAGCGTCGGGCCGACGGCGGCGATGCCCTTGACCGCGAGGCCCGGGTACGAGAGCGTGTCGATGAGCTTCTTCTTCTTGGACGTGTACTGTAGCTGCGCGTCGCCCGTCACCTTGAGCCCCAGGTAGGCGTGCGGGTCCATGCCGAAGTAGGCGTACACGTCCGGCTTGGACGGCGGGATAAACGTCCCGGACAGGTAGTAGGCGTATGTCGCGTCCATGCTGACCTCGGCCTCCAAGTCGACCTTGAGACTTGCAAAGTAGGACCGGCCTGGGCAACTATGAAAACGTTAGCTGGGGAAGATAGCTCTTGAAAGCAGTGTGGCTCATACCCTGTTTTGGCAGAGAAGAGGTTGATCTTGTCCGAGTAGTAGAGAGGCAGCTCTCCCACCTCGCTTTTGGTCACCGTTGTCTATGTTGTTCCCCATTAGCCGGATTCTGCTATATCGGTTTGATTGAAGCTTACCAGACGGGCAAGCCAGCTTGTAAACGTCCCCCACCAGCGCTTATTCAACTGTTTGCCTGTATCGTCCCATTCAGCCATCGCCGCTTCGTCAAGGTCCATAGGGACCGTCACATTGATAGGCCCAGACCGTTTCCGCAACACGTCATCTCGAGAGACTGCTCTCCTCACGCGCTCGTGCCAGCCAAACGAGGCATCGCGCTTCCCAGACGTTCCCTTCTTGTCCGGCTCCGCCTCGTCCATCTCATCCCAGTAGCCGTGCAAGTTAGTAAAGTCGACACGCATCCGCACGGGCTTGTTTGCATCCTTGGGTACGATTTCGTGAAAGGCGTAGTCAATTTTGACTTCGTAGACGGGTCCGTGCAAGGACGCGGCAGCCCGGTGCTCGAGGTGGTGCCGGGGCAGGCGCTGGTGCGTCTCGGCGTCCAGCTCCTTGATGTACACCAGGCGCGCAAAGGGGCCCTCGCCAATGTGACTGGGGAGTCGGAGGATTGTGTTTTCAGGGCCGTCGATCCAGAGCCGTCTGCATTCCTCGGCGCCCTCCGGGAAGTTGCAGTAGATCTGAAAAACCTCCTCGGCGTGGTCAAAGACCGAGTCCAGCGTGGTCTGGTTGCTGGTGAGATAACTCCGCTTCTTGAGAGGGACATCGCGCTTTTTCCGCACCACCGAGTAGGTCGTGCTGAAGCTGTGGTCAATGGAGCCCTCGGGACCGTCGAGCATAACAAACCCATAGGCTTCGTCGCCGTAGCCGCCGCCGCCGCCAGACGGGTTCTTGCGGTCGTTATTGCTCCCCTCGGCGCTGTAGGACCACACCACGTCCGAGTTGTTGGGCTGGTTGTAGTAAATCTCAAACAGCTTCTCCGGGTCGACGGGCCACTTTGAGTTGTAGCGCCCGGGCGGGTCGCAGCAGTACGGAAAGTGCGCGTCGAGGCCCGGCGGCAGCTGGTAGGTGTCGCAGTTGTGGATGCGCCTCTGCGTGTCAAAGTAGTTGCTCGGCGGCGGGTTCAGCGCGTTGGCCACCTCGATCTCGCCCGCGGGACAGGCGTTGGGACGGCAGACGTCCTCGATGGACGCGACCGGCACCGGGGTCCCGCCCGGCGGCACCGGGGTCTCGGTCCTGACCTCGTTGGACCAGTGGCAGTTGGCGAAGCCCTCGTTGGTGGGACAGCAGAGGGCGCTCCAGTACAGGTCGTGCTTTGCGTCGCCAAAGCTCTCGGCGCACCAGGGCTGGCCGATGGCGTTGTCCATGCGGTGCGTCTGGTACTGGTAGCCGTCCGGGCACTTGAGGTCCTTTCTGGGCTCGCTGGTCGGGCCCTGGCAGTAGCTCCAGCGGCACTGGGCGAGGTACTTGTTGGCGTCGCAGCAGATGGACAGGCGGCCGCTGGCGCACTGCTTCTCGCCGCGGTGGTCGATGGTGTTGTCCGTGTTGAGGAGGAACTTGCCGACGGGGCAGTAGATGTCGCACCGGGCGTACGGGCTGTTGCCGTACGTGGTCGGCTTGGACCACTCGCAGTGCTTGGGCAGCGCGTCCTTGGGACAGCAAATGTGCCGGTACCAGCCCTTGGCGCAGTCGCCAAAGTACGCGTGGCCGGGCGCCTGCTTCGGGTCGTGCGACGTGGCCATGGACTGGTAGCCGCCGGGGCAGACCTGCTCGGGGCCCTGCTCCTTGGCCGAGCCGTCGGTGCACCGGGGCGTGACGAAGCAGTCCTGCCCCGTGTACGGCGCGAACTCGTGTGCCAGCTTCCTCTGCGCGTCCTTGCTCAGGTGCCCGCCGCTGAGCTCGAGCCCGGAGACGTCGCCCATGAGGCCGTACAGGGCGTCGAACTGGTCGTCGTCCTGGTCGAGCGACCACACCATGAGGCCGCCGAAGCACTGCTCGGACAGGAACTTCTTCTTGTCCGTCCACGACTGCGCGTCGTCGTACGAGATCCACTGGTCCGTCTCGAACACGTTGAACTTGACCGTCGTCGTCGCGTTGTAGTGCGTCGACACGTCGAGGCTGGTGTTGCGCGCCGAAATCTCCCCGTACGTCAGGATGCCGGACTGCCCGGAGCAGCTGCCCGGTCGGCCGCCGGTGGCAAACTCGCAGATCCCGTTGGGCTCGATGCAGTTAGGCTTGCTGACGGTGAAGGAACGGCCGTAAAAGGCCATGCCCATGACGACATTCTTCATGTCAATGTCATTTCTGCGCAAAATGTCCAGGCCAATCTGGATTTCGCTGATATCGGTATGGCCGCGCAGAAAAGGCCCTGTGAAGTGGTTGTCATGGTCCCAGACACCGTGCTACAGGCTCGCAGTCAGATACATCTATTTCGAAAAGAGGATCGACTTTACTTACCAAGTCATACGACATCAGATTGAGCCACGAAGCCTTTTCTTGCATACCCTTCAAATCGAAGCCGCGAAGGTACCAGTAGCTGGTGGGAATGGTGGCAGAAATAGTCCAAGACGGGTTCTCAGCATCAAAGCCATCTCGCATCTCGCCCAGGAGCGAAACAAAGTTGGCGGCATCTTCCGGTTTGCCTCCTCTGTCGGGTGCTGAGGGATACTCCCAGTCTTGGGTTTTGGCAGCATTAGTGAAGTGTGTCCGTCGCCATAGGAAGCTGGGTCCTTACCAAGGTCAACGCCATCCAGTCCAAACTTTTTCAAGACACCGACCACGGAGTCAATGAATGTCTTTCTATTCTCCTTGGTACTAGCCACTAGCAACCAGAGTCAGTCGTGAGTCTCAAAAAAGGCGGATGGGACGACATACTGTTGGACCAAGCAGCCGAGTTGGGGGGGTCGCTGAACGTCCAGCCGCCAACAGCAATCGCTACGCTCAGGGTAGGGTAGTTTTTCTTAAGAAGCGCTGCATGCAGCAATGCGCCGTCGTAGTTGTTGTTCAACTTGTAATCAGCGCCGAAATTCACAAAGGCGAGGTTCAAGTCCGTCCATGCGCCGAGAGGAATGTTGTCGAAATTCACTCGGTTGCACCAGCTGACCAGGTTATCGAGGTTAAAGTAGCCGATGCGTCGCTTGAGATCGAGAACCTCCGTGTCGGTCCCGCACGATTTTCGGCTGTGAGGCACCATGTTATTCCACAGGCATGCAGAGTGCTGGGTGGGTGTACTCACTCGGGCTTGCCGCATCCTCCGCCTCTGGAGTTCTTTTGGCAGCCATCACCACAAAAATCACTCAAGTCAATGTAAGCCTAGTTCCTCTTGCGAGTCAACTTTGATACTCACTCGGTCGTTCCACAGAACCCGTACTGACTACCAGCAGGTCAGTTCGGTGAGGCCAAGGCAAGAGAGAGGTGACGCGTAGATACCTGCAGCATACGTTGATCGGACAGTCCTCACTGCCCTTGATGGCGTATGTTCCGCATTCTGCTGTGGCATTACATGTTCCCTTGCAGCCAGTACCGCAGTAGTTTGGTCCAAAGCCACAACTGCCAGAAGAGCTACAGCCTATGCGACGATGAGTATGCGTGCAGCTGGCCAGGTACGGGGGCATCTTACATCCAGATTTACAATTCTTTGTCTCGGAGCAGGTAGCGTCTTGCTGCGCCAAACTTGTCTGCGCCAAAAGTAAAGCGAAGAAGATGAGAAACAGACACAGCGACCTTGACGGGCCTCGGAAAGCTGGCCGAGGTCGTCGATGAAGCATGATGGACAACAACGACGACAAGCGAAGAGGGAAAAAAAAAGTAAGTTGTAGATACCGAACAACCTGCTACGTTGATGAAAGTTCAAGCGATCGAGACGTCCTTTTGGGGGCCCGTGGATATCACGACAGGCCGGGAATCTTCCATATTGGAACATATGCCCCTGATAGGCATCAACGCCATTCATAATGAGACATCCGGTCAGATGTCTGTTCCTGCGGAAATATCCCGATCAAGTTATACGCCGTAGCGTAAGAGTCATACGATGCATGCAGCACTTGCAGCATGTCTGCATGGCGCTGCAATTGCCGATGCGTAGCGAGGTGCTCGGCACTGGACAGAACCAGTCATATATAGCGATGATTGCATGTAGAGATCACTTTATCTCGTACGCTTCCTCGTGTAACAAGTACGGCGCCTGCTCGACTGGGAATTTCATCACCCACTTGGGAAATTTCGCCGATGCTGTGTGATGCACTGGAATGCAGCCTGATTGTATAGTTTCAGGTAAATTTTTCCGTGGATGATTTCCGATGCCGATAATAAAATGAGATGCTCAAAAGAAGAAGTCGCCGTGTCTCGGTCAGCTGGTGCCAAAGGATGTGGTGCTAAGCTGAGATACTGCAGCCTCCAGCTCGGCGTACACGAGAAGGTCTTGCTTCTTACTACCATAATTCGCTTTTTGCTTTGTGACTTACATTGTCGAGGATAAGAAACTGGTAACTTCTGTCCTTGTTTGCTTGTACGAGATGTCCTCCCAAACTAAATCGTTAGCCAGCTCCGCGATGAAGCTGCTCGGAATACGTGTCGCGCTCCTCGGGCTTTTCCAGGCGCACATTGCTTCTGCCATTCATCTCTGGGAGGCGCCAGGCTCTATTCCCAACTCGGTTCCTGCCAGATGCCGCGCGCAGCTGGCCAGGAACATTGACTGCGCTCAGAATCTCACGACGCCGCGGGACGTGCTCAACGGCGGCGCCCTCTCGCCCCAGCTTGCCCAAGCATACTGCACATCGGGATGCCGCGATTCTCTCCTTGACTTCCAGAAAAACGTACAGGATGGCTGCGGCGATGTCTTGTATAACTTTTACGACGACGGCGGCTTCAAGCAGTCTGGATCTGTGCTCGCTGCTGGGTTTATCTGGGCGTACCAGGCCACTTGCATCAAAGACTCGTATGTCTCTCCTCGCTGGAAGAAAATTCAGCCTCGTAATTATTTTAACTTTGTTTCTGTCTAGTTCTGGGTTCTGTCTGCAAGATCTCAACAATGGTACAAAAGATCTATGCTCTGACTGCGCGCTCAAGTACGGTGCCGTCATGGCCAGCTCCGATTGGGGCAATGACAAGATGAATCCTGCTCAGTTTTCTTCTCTTCTTAAATACTGCAGCGCCGATCCGTCGAGCTATCCATACTCGCATGCAACGCTGCCAATCGGTACAGTAACACCATCAAGGTAAGTAGTGGCGGTGTCGCGCTCCAAAATCAACACTGACCGGCGCAGCACCGTGTCCGTCCCTACTGTGATGCCTACTTGCACCGGGGCTTTGTATACAGCAAAGAACGGGGATACTTGTCAGTCGATTTCAAAAGACAAGAAAATGTCGACGGATGGGCTGATCAACATCAACCATCTCGACTACAATTGCACTATGCTCACGGCAGGTCAGACCCTGTGCATTCAGGGCATCTGCAAGACTTACACCGTCGCCCAAAACGATACATGCGATTCAATTGTCAAGGGTCAGATCTTTTCGACCGTTCAGCTGTTTTCTTGGAACCCGTGAGTAAATCTTGGGATTTCCGAGAGTAGAGACTAACAGGTCCAGAACTCTGGGAAGCAACTGTGGGAATATTGACACCATGGTCGGAAAAGAAATTTGCCTCTCGTGAGCGGAAGAAAACACCATGAAACACATGCCGATATCAGCAGCTAATTGGGATAGACCCCCGGATGGCGAACTCAATCCCAACATGACCATGCCCACACGCACTCGGCCCAGTCTGCAAGTACCCCAATGCTTCCACGGCAGCTACTCATCCCATCCCGCCACGAATCTAATGCTTCTTTTGCCCACCCATAGAACAAGCCCCCTGTTTTCATCCTGGGTCCCCGCCACGCCCGTCAGCTCCTACAGCGCGACGACGACGACGTGGTACTCGGCCACGTTCCAGCCCAACCGGACGGTGCCGACATCGACCATGACGTTCAACGCCACGTCCGACTCCCTGGTGGCCGAGATTACAAAGTACTGCTGGATCACCGACGAGATGTGGGACTCTGGCTTCAACGAGGACGACTTTCCCCCCGGCTGCCAGGCGCTCTTCAGCACCTACTGCTTCCCGGCCTCGGCCGACGCCCCGGTGCCCACGTCGCCGGCGCACATCCCCCAGGTCTGCGTGCCGACCGTCGACACCTACACGCCGCCGCCGCCGCCCGTGCCGACGCCGACGCCGATCCAGCCGGGCGGCATGGTCGATCACTGCCGCAAGTTTTACCGTGTCGAAAAGGGCGACTTTTGCCAAAAGATTGCCGACGCGCAAAACATCACGCTGGACAATGCAAGTTGAACCCGCGGCCCAGCGTTGTTGTGTCTTGTATGCTGACCTTTGCTTCCTTAGTTTGAGGGATGGAACCCGGGTGTCGGAGCGGACTGCAGCAAGCTCCAGTTACATGTATACGTGTGTATTGGTGTCTGAAGCGGCTTCATATCGTATATGTTAAATTTAAATTATAATTTTCTTTATTTTCATTATCAATCTTGCTTATATTTCTTATTTTTACTTATACTTATATTGATTCCTTTTATTTATTTCTTCGTTTTGATAGAGTATATAATCATATAGCGAGAAATTACCATCTACAACCCATTCCGCAGTCTGGCCATTCCAAGCCGTACCATACTATCAGGTGCTTCCCCGTGCAGCCTCTGCCGTTGTCTGCTGTCCCAATGACCAGCTTCAACCAGGGTAAATGCCATGCACGCCCGGCTTTTTGAACAGCTTGCCGCCTTTCCACACATGAGTCACGTTCTCCGGGTCCGAAAGCACCTTGATATCCCGCAGCGGATCACAGGCCACGGCGATAAAATCCGCGTCATACCCAGCCCGGAGCTGCCCGCTCTTGGGCGCCATGCCGCCCAGCGTCTCGGGCGGGATCGCCGTCGCGCTCTCAATCGCCTGCAGCGGCGTCATGCCCAGCTCGACGGCGTACGCCAGCTCGCGCGCGTTGTTCCCGTGCGACAGGGCCGATGCGCGATCGCTGCTCAGTATGTCGGTGCCGAGCGCCATCTTGACGCCCCTCTTGACGGCCAGCGCGTACGACTTGTTGGCCTCGGCGCCGACCTGGAGCACCTTGGCGCGGGACGGCGCCGGCAGGGCGTCGAGGTACTCGGGGGTCGTCAAGGTGCGCACAATGTGCTGGGTGCCGACGAGGATGGCGTCCTGCGCGAGCATGGCGTCCGCGACCTCGTCGTCGAGGTACATGCCGTGCTCGATGGACTTGACGCCGGCGCGCAGGGCGGCCATGATGCCGGCCTTGCCGATGGCGTGGGCGGCCACGGCGCGGCGGCTGCGCGCCGCCTCCTGCACCATGGCCGCCAGCTCGGCGTCGGAGAACTGGCGGTCCTCGGGGTCGTCGTGCAGGCTGAGCACGCCGCCCGAGGAGCACACCTTGATGACGCGCGCGCCGCGGCGCACCATCTGCCGCACCGTCTGCACGCAGTTGTCCGGGCCGTCGCAGACGGCGAGCGGCGCGGGGCCGCAGCACATGGCCGCGCGCACCACGTACGACGGCGACGTCTGCACGTCCCCGTGGCCGCCGGTGATGGAGATGGCCGCGACGGAGGAGTAGATGTTGGGGCCCGGGATGGCGCCCGACTGCACGGCCGGCCAGATGTCGCCGCCGTACCCGCCGAGCTCGCGCACCGTCGTGTAGCCCGCCAGCAGCGTCGCCACGAGGTCGTGCGCCGTCAAGGCGCCGGCGAGCGCTGCCTGGCCGGTCGGGATGCCAAAGGCGGCCTCGAGATTGTTGAGGCTGCTGATGCCGAAGAAGTGCACGTGGCAGTCCCAGAGGCCGGGGAGCAGCACGGGGACACGGGTATGCGGCGATTGGCGGTAGGTCGCCGGTAGGTCGCCCGTGGGGCCGACCCATGCAATGACGCCGGACTGGACGGCGATGGAGCCGTGGAGGAGTGGCTCCCCGCGACCGGGGATGAGTAGCGCGGCGCTGACGACAAAGGCGGTCTCGTCGCCATCGGAAGCGGACTGGGTGGTGGAACGGTTGGCGGCGGCTTCCCGCGGGGTGACAGAGCCGGAGCCTCGGCTGGGTAATCGCATGCTGTAGTTATTTTCTTTTGGTGTCGTGTCGTGGTCGTCTTGGTATGAGTGTAATGTAATCGCCGAGTGCCACCAAGATATGTTTGCTCTTGTATAGATTTAAAGTGGCTGCGGGGTAGAGAGCGAAGATGGTAGAAGAGTGCGGGGAGAAGATCTATTTAACTCGGCTACAGCGGCAGGACGGACCCTGTACCCGCCTTGTAATCCTGGGCAAAGCTGACATTTTTCCGAGTCTTGTGATGTCGATCCAATCACTGCTTTGGTAGGAAGTCTTGAACAGGCCGTTGATGATAGAGGACAGCGCTGTTAGCGACACTACTCCAGCACGGCCCGCCAGTCATTGTCTCCAGCGCGGATGTTATTTAGAAACATCGGCCGAGAAGAACGATGGAAGAAAAATCGGGGAAATATAAACTGTGTTCTAGCCTGATGAATGTCAAGTCATAATCCGAATTTGCACAATTACTGGTCGATCAATAATGCTTGTCTCACAACGGAACCGGATTAAATGTCGGAGCTTCGCGGTTCCCTGGAATATCTGCCCCAGAGCCGCTCGTACCTGGCCCTGCGGTGTCGGAGCGGTAAATGAAATTACCTGCGCCTGCATGGTTGCAGTCTCTGGGGAGCCTCTGCATTGCGTTTTGAGGGAAGAAGTTCCAATCAGCCAAATACCGATAGAAAACACAAAGCTGATGCCCAGAAACTCCATACCTTTATGCTCTGCCTCATTGACTTGTTCCAGCGTGGGGTCAACTAAAAAACAACGAAATGCAGTTATCTTTGGGACGGTGAGCCCACTGGCCCGATAGCCGCTCCACAAGCCCTCCGATAGCTCTCCGCCATTCTTTTTTTGTCACGCCCGCCCATTGACTCAGCACGCTCATCTGCCTTTTTCCAGATCCATCACCAATTGCCGACCCAACAGCAACAACCAACCTTCTCGGTCCCTACCATCCTCACCCTCCGTGTCCATCGGAGCTCCCCCTTTTTCTCGCCTCACCACTGCTAGGGAAAAAGCAAAAAAAAAGACAGAACCTCCAATGGCCGCCCTGCGATCCTTTGGAGCGCCGCTCCGCTGGGCCGCCTCGTCGGCGCGCACCGCCGTCCGCTACAACTCGTCGAGCAGCTCGTCGACGTCGGCGATTGCGTACAAGGCGCTGCGGCGGCGATCGGCGCCGCTGCCGCTGACCGAGGCGCCGCCGTCGTGGTCGGCGCAGGCGGCCGTGTCCAACATCCTGTACGAGACGCCGACGCCGAGCATGGCGCCGCCGAAGCGGCACATCCTCAACTGCCTGGTGCAGAACGAGCCGGGCGTGCTGTCGCGGCTGTCGGGCATCCTCGCCGCGCGCGGCTTCAACATTGACTCGCTCGTCGTCTGCAACACCGAGGTCGAGGACCTGTCCCGCATGACCATTGTGCTCACCGGCCAGGACGGCGTCGTCGAGCAGGCCCGCCGCCAGCTCGAGGACCTCGTCCCCGTCTGGGCCGTCCTCGACTACTCGGGCGCCGCCCTCGTCCAGCGCGAGCTGCTCCTCGCCAAGATCAACATCCTCGGCCCCGAGTACTTTGAGGAGCTGCTCGCCCACCACCGCGAAATCACCACCGGCGACCACCACGCCGCCGCCGCCGACCCCGAGCTCACCCACGAGAACCAGCAGACGCTCGAGGAGAGCGCCGCCCGCGACTTCCACCCCAGCAAGCTGGCTGCCTCCGAGGCCCTCCGCCACAAGCACGAGCATCTCAAGACCATTACCTACTTTACCCACCAGTTTGGCGGCAAGGTCCTCGACATTAGCACCGTCAGCTGCATTGTTGAAGTGTAAGCCATTGCAAGCCCCAGCAAGAAGACGCAAATTCTTTTTACTAACTACATGTGCAACTTAGTTCTGCCAAACCCTCCAGAATCGACTCCTTCCTCAAGCTCGTCGCTCCTTTCGGTATCCTCGAGTCCGCCCGTACCGGTCTCATGGCCCTGCCCCGATCCCCCCTCAAGGGACCCAACGAGGAGCAATTGACTCTCGAGGCTGACGAGATTGTCGACGCCAGCCAGCTCCCCCCTGGTTAAACGAGACAGGACAAGAGATGGATGCACAACAGTGGCGTGCACAGTCAAGTGGATAATGGCGTAATTGGTTGGATTGGATAGCTTCTTCTTATTCCACTACTGGTCTTTATCTAGATCTTGTTTAAAATGTAAATTCTGACATGTTGCTTATACCCAACTCGCTTTAAACAAAAAGGTGACTCATTTCACAAGCTAAAACTTGCCCTTGTTGACAACAAAGCCTTCCAAAACGGCTAAAATGGGTTGTTAATATGATAGAGATCAGCTGGCTATGCGTTTGGAGCTCTTACCGAGTGCAGCCCAGAGTCGGTTCTCGGCTTCGGGGAATACTAGAGACCTCGGACCGTAAAACACTTCGTCGGCGACCTCTTCCTGGTGTCGCGGCAGGCAGTGCATAAACTTCCAGCCCTCCTTCGCGCCGCCGCGTTTGGCCAGGTCGTTTGTGATTTGGTATCCGGCAAAAGCCTGTAGACGTGCTTTTGTCTCGGCCTCCTGGCCCATGGAAATCCAAGTGTCCGTCACCAGCACGTCAGCGTCCTTGATGGCCTCTTCCAGCACCGTCGTCTCCGTCAGCTTGCCGGGCGCGGCCACGCCCTGCGCGGCGGCGTGTATGACAGTTCTCATGGCGTCGGGGATCCCGTAGCCCCTGGGCGCGGCGACGGCAATGTCGACACCCATCTTGACGCAGCCTACGGCCAGGTCGAATAGCACGTTGTTGGAGTCGCCCACCCAGGCGACCTTGAGGCCCTCGACGCCCAGGCTGCCACCAGATGCGGCGCGCGACGAGGGAAACGCCTCGTGGATGGTGAGGAAATCAGCAATCGTCTGCAGAGGGTGGAAGTCATCGGACAGGGCGTTTATGACGGGCACGCTCGAGCCGGCGGCCAGTCCCGTAACGTCGGAGTGCGGGCCGACACGGGCGACCATGCACGATGTCATGGAGGAGATGACCTTGGCCGTGTCGTACAGCGACTCATTGACCTACATCCCAACAAACACGCTGTTAGCAACGACCAGAGACGTAACGGATGGGGCGGACGCTCGCGAGCAACATACGCCGAGTTGAATGTCGTCCTTGCCCAGAAACATGGGGTGGCCGCCCAGCAGGGTGACGGCCGCCTCGGTCGACACGCGCGTGCGGGTGCTGCGCTTGCTAAACATCATGGCGACCGTCTGGCCGGCCATGCCGGCGCGGAGCGCGGGCGGCGCCTGGTCCGTTTTGACCAGTGTCTTGAGCGCGGCGCCGTTGCGCACGAGACTGGCAAACTCGGTCGGCGAGAGGTCGGCAATCGACATGAGATGTCTGGGCGCTGCCGCGGCCGCCGAGGACGAGTAGGCGCGCTGCGGCAGACGGCGGGCGGCACCGCGGGCGACGCTGCGCAGAGCTGGAGAGGCGCTCATGGCTGAGGGTGGCGGCGAGGTGGAAGAAGGGAGATTAGGAGAGGAGGAGAAGCAATTGACGTCCTGCGGAGGCCCAGTTGAGTGATTCGATGGGCCAGAGTGATGATGCGGAAGACGGGAAACGTTGTAGAGAGAGGACGAGTGCGCCAGAAGAGGGGCAGAGATGCTGTGAATAATTAGATGTAGTGGTGCGTACAATGTATGACCTGAGATTTTGACTCTTGTGTCGCCGGCAATCGGACAGGGCGGTGGGCCCAATCACGCTAAACTGGGCTGTCTAGGTAGGTGCTGCGATAAGGTGGTTGTAACCAAAGCTTGGGAAACAATATTCAAGTAAATGATATGTCATTGGCTAGTTCATGGATATCTATATAGGAGCCATCCGTGTGAATCCACATTAGCACGGTTCTCGATATATCGGGATTGACTGCATGACTTACACCGAGTCAGAGCGCGCTCAACCCCAGCTTTACCAAGGAACTTGCTTAGCACTGGAGCCTATAGCGATGTTCCGTGATCAACAGGAGTGACATGCATTCTAGCATAAAAAAGTTGTGAAGTTATCGACAGCGAGAATAACGGTTACGGTACAGGCCAACGCCTACGTTATCCACTGTTGGACGACACAGGACAACATTGGTTGTAAAATTCATTCAAATTGAAGAAACACTTTTAGTCCAAGCCCGCCACGTTCACACTCGTCCACTGATCCAATTTCGCGACTTCACTCTTCCTGAGCACCGAATGCCTTTTCACAGCTATGATCCTTCCAGGCCTTTTCAAAAGTGGCCGCCGCGGCCTCGCACGCCGCCGAGTCGGCTCTCTTGGCCACGCCCTCGTCCCCGTCCTCCACCACGTCGCAGTCGTCGTCGAGCATGGCCACCTGGAACTCGGCGCTCGCCTTCTTGCACGCCGTCGCTTCTTCGGGGCTCAGTGTCGAGCCCGTCTCGGCGGGCAGCTCGTCGTCGCCCGCGCCCTCGGAAATCACCTTTTCGATGATGCAGTCGTGCACGGCCTGGTCCGCGTCCTCTTCCGCGCCAAAGTCGGCGAGGCACTTCTCGACCGCCTGGGAGCAGGGCGAGGCCGCGTCCTTGATGCACGCGGGGTGCTCGTCGCGGATGCAGTCTTCAATGATCTTGCCCCCGTCCTGGCATGTGGCAATCGCGTCCTCGCACTCTGGCTTGGTGTAGTCGATGCAAAAGTTGGCGCGCAGAGTCAAGAGCTGGTCCGCGTCGGCCACTACTTCTGTCTCCTGACGGGGGGACAGGCGGGTGGCCGCGGCCAAGACGGAGGGGATGATGAGGATGCAAAAGTATCTCATGATGAAGCTTCTTGTGTAGCAGTATGGTAGAAGTAGAAAGACTCCTTATAACAACAAGGGGAACAAGGGTATAGCCAGAAGATGTAAGCTGAATGGCAAGACGTTTTGGCCAGTTAAAAAATGTAGAAGGATATAGCCAGTAGATGTCAGGTGAATGAGATGTAAAAAACTTGACCTAGGATAGTACATCCTAAATAAATATATAGAGAGCGACAGACGGATAGTAGAGCCAGATCTGGTAAGACTTAAGTGCTATTATATAACACGGCGCATAATACGATTGAGTCGTGTCAAAATGAGAGCTTTGTTCGTCGCTGCTGGAATACTAAGATCCAGCCAGGCACGACTATGCACTGTCGAGGGGATTGCCAGCTAAACCGGCCACGCGAAATTACGAAACCGGCAAAAGCCTGAGTCGAGCCGACCCGTTGTGGATATATAAAGCAAGGCATTCAATTATAGAAGCGCGTGACACGAACCTTAAGTGGTACTGCAGTAATCAATAACATGAGAGCTATAACCCTATTCAGCCGAGAATGCATATCAATCGAGTCAGCATGCAGGGCATATGACCGGAATGGCCCCGCGGGTATGGTCATGCTGGTAAACGCCGTAAATCAGTTCATCCGAAGGCGCCATGGCAAGCGAGTCAGGATCAACCATCGTAAAATACCATCACACATGAATAACCCGGCGCGTATATTCTATGCTCGTAAAAGCCCATGAAAATGGTTCAGGTACAAGCCTCGAGTCATACCAAAGTTAAATTGCATTTGCGATTGCGTGTGCTCTCTGCGCCGGCTCATAGAAGCGCAAAATGGCCTCTGTAGCTGGATTATTTAAAGTCGCCCATTTGCTTTCATCATAACTTCATACTTCCAACAAGCTTTCTATTCCTTCTCATCAACGTCCAGACACCCTCTTCGTTTCTTGTGTCACACACAACATGAAGATTGCAATCCTCCATCTTGCCCTTCTCGGGCTGAGCTCTGCCCATGTCGCCATTTTGGGTAGAGCACCGCAGGCCCCGACGCCGCCAGGCCCGGGCAAGCAAATTGTTGATGCAATCAAGGGCGGTATCAAGGACTGGGGGCCGGCCGGGTCGCTGAAGCCGCCGTCGAGCCCCAAGCCACCCCTGCGACAGATGCCTGGCTCGCCTCAGCCGTACCACAAGCCCTCGGATCCCAACATCAAGCCTGGCGTGACGAGAATCCCGGGCCAGCCTCTTGGTCCTCAAAAAAAGTGCAAGCCATGCCTCCGGAAGCGGGACATCTGCTGTGACAGCTCGGGCAAGCCTGTCAAGGCGGCCAAGCCATCCAAGACGCCGGCGAAAGGGCCGTCCAAGGTGACCAAGCCCTACAAGATGGCGCGGTTCTCGGTGCCCAAGTCGGCCGGCAAGGCGGCCATCTTCAACGTGCTCGTGGCGCCCTACGCGCACAGCGCGCTCGAGTCGATCATGCAGTGGGACAACCCCATCGGGCAGGCCGTCAAGTGGTTCGACGGCGCCATGGCCAGCCTGCAGGAGGCCATTGGCGGCCCGCAGCGCGACGACATTTACGGCAACGAGCTCAAGTACAAGATGATCAAGGGCATCGGCAGCGCGCTGCAGCTCGGGTTCGAGACGGACTGGGACAAGAGCAAGCGCCTCCAGGCCGAGGCGGCGGCCAAGGAGAAGGCGCGCAAGCAGGAGGAGGACAAGGAGAAGCAGCGCGTCAAGGGCCTGGAAGAACTGGCCGTCGTGTGCGAGAAGATGGGGACGGAGCGCCCCGACGACGCGAAGCTGACGACGCAGATCCAGCAGAGCTGCACCAAGCTGGCGGACGCGGTCAAGCGCGTGCAGGCCCGGGAGGCGGCTGAGGCGAAGAAGAAGATCAAGCGCGAGCCGATTTACTGGTTCGGAAAGTGCAAGGTGAGCCTGAAGCAGAACCTACTGTGACGTCGTCGTTGTCAAAAGCTAAACATGGACATGCAGTGCAACAAAAATAAGCTCCCCAAGTATGGCACCAAGTGCGCCAACGAGTGCCGTGCCATGCTCTCCTTGCTCGGCGGGTCCTGAGAAGGTCATGATGGGGAATGCGTTATCACGGTGTTGTGTTGACAAGGGTTCGCAATAACTCATGGTTCTAGATGCTCTGGCCTGTCTGCCTGCCTATTTATAGCTTTCCCTTGGTGCCTTAAAAGTAAAAGTATAGGAAGAATATGTCGCAGTTTTTGCAGTTTTTGCATATTTTCAAATTTTTCAATATAGCTATTCAAGCTATCCTTAGTAAATTGTCTGCCATAAAACAGAGGTAATCAGCCGCCACAGATTCGGCAGTGTCTAGACATGAAATGTGCGATGATATAATCTCATTTTAGCCACCCACTGATACATACGGCCATAGGCAGTAGAAAATATCGCGTCCCGTCCGCTCCGCTGAAATCAAGCTATTGACCGGCAGATTAGTAGTTGGGTCGGTGACGACCAGCGAACACCGGCTGCTGTATGTTTTTTTTTGGTTTTTTTTGGTTTTTGTTTCTCCCCTGATTTTCGTGTGTTCTGTTAGATCCCGCGGCTACTACCTAGCGCGGAAGGGTGCCTGACATATCAGGCATCAAAGGGTCCCTCCCACAGAATTGGCTGGACCATCTCCGCCGCTGCAGCCGCCTCATAACTTGTCGCTAACAATCAATAAAAAAGTTGGCATAACATCGACTTTGCTTCTCCTCCCCGCCACAGCTACACCGCGTATATATATGCGCTGCATTCTTTGCTCTGGTTCTCACTCTTTTTCTATCGAAACTCTTTTTTTGGTCAACTTCTCCCACCTCTCTCGCGCCTCTTCACCTTCACCAAGGACGACACTCTACGCGATCGGGATCGTCAGACAAGCACCGAGCTGCCATGGCCGACGCAGAGCCGCGCAAGCGTTCACGCTTCGATCAAAAGGAACCCGAGCCCAAAAGGGCCTCGCGATTCGACCGCCGCTCGCGCTCCCCGACGACGAGCCGAACATCAGAGACGCGAGAGCGCAGTCCGATTGGCAGCAGCGAAAGCGCTGTCGACCCGGCCACCGCAGCTGGTACGTCGCACCAGGCGCCATGAAACCACCGTCATGAAAAATTTGCGCCATACTAACCTGTGCCTTTCCCAGCCGCCGCCGCCGCCAAGATCAACGCGCAGCTCCAGGCTCGCAAGGGCATTCAGCACGTCGACGTTCCCCCCATCCTCGGCGCCACCAGTAATGGCACGCCCGAGGCCAGCTCGACGGCCCCTGAATCGGGGAAAGGCGCACCTGGCGCCCCGGGCGAGATGTATGTGTCGGACGGCGACTACATCCAGGACATTGAAGTCAATGATCTGCGAAATCGCTACATGCTCATGAAGGCGCAGACGCAACAATCGGTACGCCGACAGAACCTCGTGGTATTTTGATTGTTCCGCTAACATGGGTTGCAGATCCAAAAAGACACTGGAGCTGGTAATGGATGCCGATAACGCAAGTCTGTTTATCCCCACTAACTTCATTTAGATCTCACGGTTCGCGGCAAATACTATCCCAACAAGAGCATGGCTACCGCTGCCGTAAGCATTCAAAGTCGCCGCGCACTGGCCAAAGCTAATTGTATAGGAACCCCCTCTGTACCTCCATATAACCGCCAGAACAAAAGAGGTGCTGGAAGCTGCTGTCGCCAAGGTCAACGAGTTGATCGAGCAGGAGCTCCCCCAGCTTGTCGACGAACGCAGGTTCAAGCGTCGTGAGCGAGACCAGCCGGAAGGTGGTGAAGAGAATGGCCGAGTAAGAGAATATATACCCCGCGAAGACCAACGTGTGCTAATGTGACGCAGCGCAACAAGTGGCCGGAAGAGAGCATACCCGTTGGTCTCGAGCCGGTCCCCGGTTTCAACCTGCGTGCCCAGATTGTCGGTGCAGGCGGGTCCTATGTTAAGCACATCCAGCAAGAAACGGGATGCCGTGTACAAATCAAAGGTCGTGGCTCAGGGTACATTGAACGAGACACTAACTTGGAAAGCGAGGAAGAAATGTTTCTGCACGTTGCGTAAGTCACCATCCGCCTGCACTCGCCCTCGTTTGCTAATTCCTCTTGCACAGCGGTCCCGATCCCGCCATGGTAGAAAGGGGCAGAGAACTCTGCCAAGACTTGATTGACAACGTCCGTGAGCAGTATGAAGAGTTTAGAAGCCGCCCGCCGCGCCAGCATGGCGATCGTTACGGCGGTGACCGCGGTGACCGTGGCGACCGCGGCTACGGCGGCGACAGACGCGGTGGCTACAACGACCGTGGCGGTGACCACTACAGCGGCCGGGGTGGCGGCGGCGGCGACTCGTACTCCAGCTATGGCAGGCAAAACTCGGAGAGCGGCCCTGCCAACGCCGCTGTTAGCACAGACACGACGGCCAACGCGGACTACAACGCGCAGTATGCTCAATACTATGCCCAGGCGGCTGCTAACGGTCAAGATCCGTATGCTGCCTATGGTGGCTACGCCAAGTAAGACCAGTACCGATCTTCGAACATGACTAGTCGTTGCTAACAGAGTATAGCTATCTTGTCATGTACCAACAGTATTACGCTCAGTATCAACAAGGGCAAGGTGGTGCAGCTCAGTCGCCAACACAAGCTCCCGGCGCATCACCGCCTCCTCCACCCAGCGACTCGGCGCCGCCCCCTCCTCCTTCCAACGCCGCTCCTCCGCCACCACCGTCCGCATCGCCTCCCGGCGCTCCCGGTAGCTACAGTGCTGTCAGTACATCCCCGTAGAAAGCTTTTCTTACCGGACCTTGAACTAACCAGATAGCAGGTCCCTCCTCCTCCCGGTTTGTAGAGGAGACAGTCTGTATTTTTGTAAGGAAAAGAAAAAGTGCACTGTTTATGTACATGACATTCAAGACGTTTTTACTTTGCTCACTGACTTGTGCGGTATTGCGTGCCATTGGCTTTTAGGGTCAGAAGCCCAGCTACCTAACCTGTTAGTTGCTCTTTGGGCCAAAAGGGAAGAAGCAAAGAAGAAAGAAAGAGTTGTCCGTCGTCGCGAGCCACATCGAGCTCATGATCTAAGTATTTGAAAAATGGTGCCGAGATCAAACTAATACCAATTATGCACAGTTGTGCTGCAGATAAAATTTTACTTGTCCGTTTTTTTTTTTGAGAAAGAGAGAGAGAGATGCTGAATTCTAAACAGGCTTCAAAAGCTCGAGCGACCAATCAAAAGTCAAGCAATCCTGTGAATTTGCTAATGTTGGCAGATTTCTCAATGCTTAACGGTCGAGCCCAGACGGTCAAGCTGCTGGCGGTGAAAGTCTGTAATGCTGTGTTACTAATACATAAAATATAGGAGTCCTTGGCCTTGGGAATGTAAACGTTGTAGCCTCACATCAATATAGCTCCTAATACAAATTAGACTGCTTCTATGGTTCCCCTTGTGCAACAATTGCCGTGCCCCTTTGTCTTGGGTCACACATCTCTCTCTGCGCCGAGGATATCACGACGACTTGTATGGTTGTTTCGCAATCCTCAGCGCGTTCTGTTCCCCGGCTATACCAGGATTGTATGCAGTCCTAACAGGGTTTCTTCAAAGATTGCCAGTACTGGGGTACTTGAAGTCTACATTGATGCCCTAACACACAGCCATGAACGCGCCGTCGTTTCTCATCGAGCAACATGTCCTGCCCAACAACTCGTCGACGTCTAGAGAGCTAGGTTACTAGTAGGATGATGTCTTGGAACACCACGGCCGTCCTCGTCGCCAACATTCTTACGTGTAGATCTGGGATCTTCTATAAGAGGAATCGTTATTTCGAGTCACGATGCCGAGTCCCAGGAGCATCAATGACGCGTGCGACTTGACCAACCACCACGACAAGCCTTCTCGAATATTTTTGTATACAATATTCTTCAGCCACCAGAAGATACCGGGATGAGGCCGGGTAGCTTTCCGCCGTACACATGTCAGCTTCATTCTACACGACGTTTCACATTCAGGAGAAGGGGTCAGCCCAAGTCCCCCTCCCCGCCGAGAGGACATTTGAGTCTATCCATCCCACTTTTGCAAGGCAGGGAAAGTACAGACTATTAAATTATCTATTTCCTTCGTCCTGTCTGACATGGTCGGTTCCTGGGGAGTTGCTTCACGGGGTGCAAGGGGCCAGCTTCCCGATGACGATGGCGACTGACGGTGGGCTGTAAGCGCATAGAGAGTTGTCACTGGAGCGGAAGAATCGCCTGGCAAAACATATGTACAACATGTTGAGCATAAGCAACACCATCACTCACAGCATTTAAAGAATTGTGCTGCAACGAATCACACTGGCTGAGTTTTCAGCTACTTTGACGCAAAAAGTACCAGAGTGAGGCCAATCACGAGAAAGAACAAAGAAGACGCAAAAAGATTGGATTCGAAAATGAAGAAAATCGATAACTAGAACCTGAAGACTCAAGGACACCATAATAATACCTACCATGCTTACAGTAGTTACAACACGAAACTGGCTACTATAGGACTACTGGACAGTTGCCAAGCAATCCGGTCATATTTGTTGCCCTTGTCGGTTAAAATTCCGGGGTCCCATGGTTGGGAAATTACCCTCGGATTGTATATTCATCTAGTGAGTACGAATTAATTTATACAGATAATATATTCGAAAACGTAAAATGCTGCCAAGATCGGCAACTCCCTTGCAGGGTAAGCGTCACCCGCCAGCGGCCCACTTGGACTTGTGAAGCTCCAACATCTTCCCGACATCACAAGCTACATACAACCTTGGACATAACCACAACACAGAATCACACAAAAATTACGATAAAACCCCGCGCGGGACGCGAATCGCAGCCGAGCCATGAGTCACCAAAAATATCTCTCCCACGATCCCGTAAAAGAACCCCATTCAGTCTCCGTCAAAGTCCTTCGGTACGGTTAGCCCTCCCTTCCCCCGCACAATGAGCGCTCCCTGCCTCTCTACTCTCGCCGACTAACCGCACGTCTTCCTTCCCAGCTTATCATGTCCCTCTCTCGTATCGCAATACCCCGTCGAGCCGCCCTTTCAGCCTCCCAACACGCATCCCGCGCCGCTTCCCGCATCACTCGCCTACCGCCCCGGCGCGTCCTCACCACCCACAACGAGCAACCCGTCTCCGTTTCTTCTCAGCCCCGTCCTGAACCTACCCGTGTCCTTTGGCTCCGCATACGTCGGCGAGACGTTTCGCTGCACGCTGTGCGCCAACAATGACCTCACCCACGACGACGGCGGTGACACGCCCGCGGTCAAGAAGATTCGCGACGTGCGCATCGAGGCCGAGATGAAGACGCCCGGGCTGGGCCACCAGGCGGCGCAGCAGCTAGAACTCGGACCGCCGCTGCCAGCAGACGAGGGCGCCAGCGGCGCCGGCGCGGACCTCGCACCGGGTGCCACCCTGCAAAGAGTGGTCTCGTTTGACCTCAAGGAAGAGGGCAACCACGTGCTCGCCGTTACGGTGAGCTATTCCGAGTCCACCGAGACGAGCGGCCGCACGCGCACCTTTCGCAAGCTCTACCAGTTCATCTGCAAGCCGTCGCTCATCGTGCGCACCAAAGTGGGCGTGCTGCCGTGCCCGTCCGCCTCCAAGCAAGGACGGCGGCCACCGCGCCGCCGCTGGGTCCTCGAGGCGCAACTGGAAAATTGCAGCGACGACACCATGCAGCTCGAACGCGTCGTCGTCGAGCCCGCGCCGGGACTGGCCTACCGCGACTGCAACTGGACGGCAGCGGACGGCCCGACGGCGGTAAAGCCGGTGCTGCGCCCGGGCGAGGTCGAGCAGGTGTGCTTTGTGGTCGAGGCGCTGTCGCGGGCCGCGCAGGTGGCGCGAGGCGGCGTCGAGGCGGACGAGGCGGTTGATGTCGTGGCGGAGGCGGAGGCGGGCGGGCCAGACGCGCGCATCGTATTTGGCGTCTTGGGGATAGGGTGGCGCGGCGAGATGGGCAGCCGCGGGTTCTTGTCGACGGGTAAGCTGGGCACGCGGCTCGTGCGGTGAAGTCGTCGGACGGGACGGGGCGGCAGTGAATGATGGGGAGATGATCTTGGTGCGGTGCACGCAACACGGGTAAAAGGGCATGGAAAGCGGGCTTCCCTGACGTGACACGCTCGATGGAGCCGGCGATTACATTGTACAGTATCGTATTGATTACCGGTTCCATTTTCCATTCTACGAAGTGTGTTCTCGATAACCTCTTTATGCCAGAGACTACAGTGTGTGCTGCCATCGAGTTGAAAATGGTACGGACATGTTGATCTGACTCGATTTCGATGACAAGTCGGCCACCATGTCGAGCACGTCTGCCTGTACAGCCACAGTATGGGGGCTATTACTAGTTACAAGACAAGACCCGTCTGGATACATCGGCCCAGCCTCCCGCCCCAGTGTCTTCCAATGTCTTGGCGCGGCCATGACCGCTCCGAGGGAACCACACAGGCGGTACAAGCCGATCGTCCCCGCTGCTGTACGTCGGCGTTTTGTAAACTGGGTGTTGTGTAACGGACAGCCATGTGGCACAGTCTATTGACCTATTTTGTTTCCAATATTGGCTGATGTAGCGGGAAGGCCTTCAGGTCGCACATCGATATCGGAAACAGTTCCGCACCCACTCGCAGGTCTAGGGAAGGTGTTGTGCAACGGACGTATCCGTCGGTAGTGTAATCAGGGGGGGGGGGGGGGGGGGATATAAAACATGGCTGTCTACGGGTAACTGGTACTGCTAACCCTATGCGGTCTTAGGCGGCGAGTGACGCAAGGGCCTACTGTTTGTTGGTCGATACAGCAAGCCGTGGCGTTGGACAGCTGATGGCGGCACGGATAAAGTTTATTAATCTGGGGATACGAGAATATGGGTCGCTTGAGTCGTGATAACTCAAATCTCGGTGTTTGAGCGGTGAGTGTTGATGGATATGTTTAGTTTGCGGAGCGGATTGCCGATCTCTTTACCCGTACTCGGTGGAACGGCTTTCGACTTTTCGAGTCGCATTCGTCGAGTCGCACCCCCACCCTTCCTTGCATTGTATGTAGATGCGGCGAACCACCGGTCGTTTCAAGTAGAGGAACCGGGCGGGGGGCGGAAAGGGCCTTGATTCTCAGTTCGTCGGCTGTGGGATCGTTGGCGAATCTCGGCGACCCCCATCGGTAAATTGATCGTCGGTCATGTTGCGACTTGCCTCGGCAGCGACGTCTTGTTCCTCAGGTTTCAGTCTGACGCCTCCTCTGATTTCGCTTATTTTGCTTTCCACGGCGGTGCTGTCCGTGTAGTTGCAGGGACTGCCGCATATCGCGGCACCACACACCCTGGTGGTCCATTCTGTTGGCGGAGTCAGTGAGCGACTCCCAAACCCGCGCTTCAGCTGAGAGAGCTAAGGTGTGGTACATCAGCGGTAGTTGGAGAGGTCCTTTTCGGGTCTGCGTTTGCGTGTTGTATCCCACGCCATCGCGGCTTGCACCAGTGGTTAGGCTACAGTACTTCGCCAATTCAGTATTGGTATCCAGCCAGCAGCAGTGAAAGGTGATGGACAGGTAGAGACGGGAAGGGCATAGAGTGGTGGCTTGCAATATGTGCGAGGATAATGTAGTATCCCCAGTGGAAGAAAGACTGTGCTTCACTGAAAACACGCGCCGTGCTACGTCAAGATCGATAGGGTCTCATGAATAACCATGAGCATGTCGGATTGAAATGATGGGGACAACATTGCGTTGCTTCGTGTCTGATATTGCCAGTAGGTCGCGAGAGTTACGATGTGGATCTCCAGCGACGCCCGCTTAACAAAAACCGGATCTCTGGATGGTTGACGGGCACGACGGCTCACAGACTTTGAGAAAACAAGTTGGCGTTGATATTACAGGCGCCGGGTAGGGCGCGTCTGTTCCTCGGTGCCGGAGCATGGGTCACGCTGCGTCGGTGCAGCGAGCAGGCGACAAAGCCCACAAGCAAAGATGGAAAAGAAGAAGAAGAAAAAAAAATCGATCGCGTCAGGGCTCTGGTGTGGGCGTGGCGTGCAGGGTTGCATCGGTGTTTATGTGAAACAGGGAGCCAGGCCCGCCCGTCCAACTTGGCTGACGCAGGAACACGCCAGCTGTCATAGGAGAATTGACTTTGGCTAACAAGCCTGAACGCGTGTCGGAGCTTGGCAGCGGTGGCAACGGCTCGCACATGGGTAGGCTGGCAAACCCCTGACCGGTGCATGGGTGAGAGGCTAGGCATGGATGAGAGGCTAGACCACAAAAAAGGCCTGTTCTCAGAGGACGAGACGAACTTTTGGTGTCTCTGTGTCGATGGTTGTGTGGTGTTTTGGTGTTTTGCGGCTGGTGTCCTGCAAAGGGTAATGGAGACAGAGTTGCAGCGACATCTTGGAATGCTGGTCGGTCCAGCCTCACTCTCGAGTATGTCCGAAGCTCTCTGCTCTGTGGACAGGCAATTCAGTTCGCGACAAGGCAGCCCGTCTGGTGGGATGGATCTGTGGCGTCGGGTTGGTGGGTTGGGCATGCTCCATCCTCCGGCATGAGCAGGAGCAATACGGAGGAATAGTGCCCTGCCTTGATTGACACGTCCCGTGGCGGCTGTTGTGATTGCGGTGGCGGCGGTTGATGCCCAACAAGTTGCAACGTTGTGGGTGGCAGGGCTATTACTGATAACAGTACCGAGTACTACGAAGGCGGTTAGCCAGATTGCAGAGCATGCCTCGACACAAACGGACAGCGCGGGATCAAAACTCACGGCAGAGACTGGTGGAAGCTGACAAAAACGCTAGGCCGAGCTACTGAGATGCTAGCTTGGCCATTCTCCAGAGACTCCAGAGTTGAGCCAAGACCCTGGGGGAGTTGGATGAATGCTGAGCGAATGCAGTAGAGTTGGGATGAGGATGGTGACTTTGGTGGACTGTGAGTGGGAATCTCAGCGGGTCTGGTAACAAGCTCTGTCTGTGGTGGATCGCTGCGTCAGGTACCGACTGCCTCTCGTCTGCACTTTATTTCCTTGCTTGCAGCAATACTGCGTGGCCAATGCAATGCAATGCAGTTACAGGTGATGGCAGGTGGCTTGGGACGATAATTCCGCGCAGGACGGGCGACGAGATAAGCCGGGTACCTACGCAGTCATACCCCATCTGCTTGCAATACTTGAATACGCATCCTGAAAACGACTTGGGAAAATATTAAAAGCGATTTGGTATATTAACCCGTTGGCCGTGTATGTTCTTTTTATCCAATACTTGCAACTGGGGCTCGCAGTGTGCCCCCCCTCGCCAATCACGCCCAAAATAGCACCCATGTCGCTGTAACTGCCCCGCTGGCGGACTATGTCCACTGAAGAAGACGCCGGCTAATACTGCTACCAGGTACACCTGTTAATAGTACCTAGTACCCTACCTAGGTAGTACGGTAAAGCATCACCTCCAGCTGCTCCAGGCGCCAGAAGGGTTTCGGATCGACGCCGCCTCCATCACCACCCCTCTCTCTCACCAGTGACCACTCACCACTCAACCATTCACGTCAATGCAAGCCTCAACTAGGCTGTTTGCTAGCGCCTCACCAACCTGTCATCAAAAGGGGTTTGCTAGGATTTTCCTCTAGTGAAAGCGACCATCTTTGCGTCTCAGGAACCAGCTGTTCTCATCTTGGCTTACTTGCCCTAGTTATGTTGCTGTCCTCCAGTTTCCGGGCCGAGCTCACCGTGACTGACTGCAAACACCCGCGCGTCCTCGTCGGCTCACAACCTCTGCCTTTCTGCCTCGTTCATCTTCTTTGTCCCTTTTCCTCTCATTCCTTCACCCTATCCGGTTAAATCTTTTTTTTTTCTCTCTTCTTTCAACCTCGTTCCAGTCAAACTACGCCTCTAGCTGCGTCCAAGACGCGTACCATCAACTTTAAGCTCGCCTCTACCCACTCAAACGAAACTTGGAAACCTTTTGCCCGCCCCTCCCCCTCGGGCCCCTTCCCCCCTTGTCCCGCCTTTCAGCCTTTGACTTGCATCTGATGGCCTGTATGCTCCTACCAAGGCCCATCCATTTCGCTTCTTCCTCGACCGACAAACTCATCCTGCTTGACACCATCTTGACCTGCTCGTCACCGACCTCAATCTCGCCATCCACCTCCTCTCTCTACCATTTCATCCGCTGGTCGGCCATCAAGCCTTGCGCCTCTCATTACACTTGCCCCGATCTGCTTCCGCGACCATCCTCCTCTCTGATCAGCTCCTCAGAGGCCGCCTCGACACATCGAATCCACGATACTTCACAGGAGCCGTTCAACGTCTTGCCGACCATTGGCGAGCGTCCACGCACGCCCAACCAGCCTAACGGCCACAAATTTCTCTTGTGCAGCCTCCAACCCGCACACACGGACATGCAATAATGGACTCCACCTCGGTTCCTTTGGCTCACTACTTCTGGATTGCTGGTGTAGAGTCAATATCCTACGACGATGCTTCTCAGCCAGCCTTGGCTGTTGATGACACCATTGCCGAGGATGGTGAGCCTGATAACCGCGTAATTGTCAACGGCCAGCATCGCGCCAATGCCGCCCGTCACTCGCGCCAAAACTCGGCCAACCGCCTCTCAAAACTCTCCTTCGACGCCCATTCAACAGCTAGCACACCCGAAGACATCGACACTCGCAGTAATCGCAGCAGTGCAACCATTCGCCCAAGCAGTAAACTGCCTCCTCCAAATGCCTCCGATGCCGCTACAACGCCCGACGAGGAGCCAACCCCCGCTCTTCGTATGGGTGACGTCGACTTTGACAGAGCCTTGCTCAAATTTGCTGCTGAGCGGGAAAATTTTCTCGAGGACTTGTCATTCACCGCTGGTGCTAGAGTTCAGGCCAGAGCTCCCATGGTTAACCCTCGAGCGGAGCGCATCAAGGCTGACGAGGTCCCTAGCGGCCGACTGAGTCCGCTACGCAGCCTCAAAGGCAGCATTCGCCGAAAAATCAGCTTCAGAGAAATGAGCAGCACAAAGCGGCAGGGCAACATCAACCGGAGCAGCAACATCAATGGAGCTGGTTCGTTTCGTCCATCTCGCGTGAAAAAATTCCACTAACGCGTCGATAGCTTCTGTTCGTACCGCCAAGCGCCTCAGCAATTACAATTCGGTCATCCCCCCACCCGAGCCGCTCAATACCGATCCCGATATGCACCCGCTCAAGCGTCGATTCGAACCTGTCCTGTTGGACCGATATCCCCCCAAAAGTGCCACCGAAGAGGTTCCACGACGAGGCCGATTTCCCGACTATGTACCCATGTTCGCCTTCCCCAATGATATCCAAATTGTTTCCTCGGACGAACGCCCGCGCTCCACATGGCACGGGTTTACAATGACCTCTGAGGATAGCAGTAAACTCTACGGCATCTCCATCATCATCTGGACAGCACTCTCTGCTGACGTGGCTGATGAGGTAGAAATCAAATGCGAGCAGTGGCGCCAGAGCCACATGTCAAACGAAGAACGTGAGCTCGCCGCGAGCTTGGGTATCAGGCTGGCTGGTGAGCGCACCCATCTTTCACAACTTCTTGCAAAGCTGCCTACGATACCCTCTGGGTCATCCGCTCGTGACAGGCTCGAAGACGAAATCAGTACTGTCGAGGAAAAGATTGCGCTTATGACGGACATGCTGCGTCCCCTTCGCCACGGCGCCGCGTCCAAGATTGAAGGATTAACGGCCGGTGAGAGCGGATTGTGGATTCCTCGTGCCTATGGTGTTTTAGGTAAAGACGCCGCCAACATGTCTTTCTGGAAGGAATGGCTCAAGGCCATCGTCGTTCCAATGACTGACGGCGCTGTCCTGCGGATACCACCGAGCTCACCCAGGGTCGGCCGCTGGCAGCCTCTCGAGCGCTATATCGTCAACATGTGTACCGAGGCGTTCAGTCCTCTGGGGTCCAAAACGCAGGTCGAGCTGGGAATCCGAGAACTGAAGCTTTATGCTCGTAAAGAGGCCGCCAACGAGATCCCTGGATCTCGAACCATTGATTTGTACGCTCTGTTCCGGTGCCTGTCGTTGGAGAATATCGTCGCGCTCTACGAATACGCCATGTCGGAATCTCGCATAATCTTTCTTTCCTCGCACACCAGCATGCTGCATTTAGCTTGCCACGCATTGGCCAACCTGCTCTACCCTCTGAAGTGGGCCAGCATTTTCATTCCCATCCTTCCCGCCAGACTTATTTCGGCTCTCGAGGCACCTTGCCCATATATTGTTGGTGTCGAGCGACGATACGACCGCATTGATCTGCCTGATGACGACTACGTTCTCGTTGACCTTGACAAGGATACCATTGACGCTACAGCGCAACCTCACCGACTGCCTCGCCAACAAAGACGAAAGCTCATGTCGCTTCTTCAGGTGGCCGCCCCTCACCGCATTCGCTATGGCGTTGTTGAAGGCCCGCCTCCATATGCCGTCGAGTCATTCCCCTACGATGCCTTCTCGACTGAGAACGGATCCATCTTCAACTCGAGAGCCAGCGAGAGCACGCTAGGAAAGTGGGTGTCGCAGAACTCCTCAAGCTTTGGCGAGCCTCTGCCTGCCTCTGCCCTTCAGCCTCCTGTGTTCAATGCCTTCGCAGAGGCTGTCACTGACAGTGGCAAATCAGATCGTCCCGCCACAAGCAAGTCGAGCCGGACGAGCCCCAAGTCTTCAGTGTCGCCCGAATCTAGTCATTTCCCTCCTATCCCTACAACCCCAACAACACCCATCTCTAGCAGCGATTCTGGGTTCGCGCTGACGGCAACCCTGCGGGAGAAACGCTCTGGCCATTTCGGCGAAGAAAAGACGCGACGCAGTTCTTCGTTTGGCATGGATAAGTTCCAGCCAATGCATCGACCTAGCCATCCCTTGCTCAATGGCCATCAGCAAAACTTTAGCATCTCGGGAATATCCATCGATTCGCAAGCCACTGGGTACGGAGGCAGCGGTGGCGGTTATGCACCATCAACGTATGCACAGTCCACTTTGGCGGCCTCTACCATTATGCCCAGCATGCAAATTCAGCCTGTTCGCAATACCGAGACGACAGTATGGGTAGAGGGTCACTGCTTTAACCTCGAACGTCAAGATGCCAGTTCGACGTGCACAATTTGCGCGGAGAAGGCAGACGCCGAGGGTATGTACCACTGCTCCGCATGCAAGACCATTTCGCATGGCCGTTGCCTGGGCGTCGCTTCGCTGGTCTGCCCCCAAGCATTCCATCCGGACCGTGTTCGTGCCGCCTTTGTCCGCTGCCAAGCTAGTTTGCTCTATACGTATCGCAAGCAACTGGGCCGCCCGTCGAAACAACAACGCTCCAACGGACAGATTTATGCGTTTGACATGGACGGGTTTATTAAGAGCCTCCCCCATGACCAGCAAGACTATGCCGTTATGATGCGCGACACGCAGCTATTTAATGAGTTTATCCACGAACGGGAACTGATAGCACCGACCGAGCCCTCGATTCGACTGTTTGACGAAGTCATCATGGCCAAGAAGGCGCGTGGCCGTCCCGGTCTTTCGGCTGGCCTGTCGACGCTCTCGCGCCTCTCTTCCATTCGCGTATCCCACGGGGCGTCTGCGAACGCCTTTGGCCTCGCGCCGCCGCGTGGTAGCAGTAAACCAGCGAGCTACCTTAACGACACATACGACCACATCTGGCGGACAGCGGCCGTGCCGGTGCCCAAGGGCAACTTTACCGGCGAGTACCGCTCTGTGGTCACGCGCGTGCCCGCTCGCCTGGACCGCGGTTTGATGCGAGAGCCGCGTGCGATTCAGGGTGTCCCGCGCGCGGAACAGCGCGGCTCGCGGGGTCTCGTGCGAAAGCAAGTCGCGAGCATGCTGGGCACAACGCCGCCACCTTGATTGGCGTATGACATCGCGTCTTCTCCTTCTTCATTGTATACTTGAAACACGAACAAGGCAAAACATTATTCCTGGAAAGCTTTTCAGACTCATACTCTAGTCGTTTACATCAACAGGGGTGCCTGCAAAGCTACTGTACATTATTCGCCAAGAGGGGAGATTTCCAAAAAGTTTGCTATTTCTTCATTTCATTCCGTGTTATTTTTTTTTTCTTGTTGTATTTGTTGTATTTGTTGTATTTGTTGTATTTGGTTTTCATTGGCTTTTATTGGCTTTTATTATTTCGCAGTCTCGCGAGAGTTTTATCAAGGGCAAGTCGGTTTCCATGTGTGTGTGTGTGTGTGTGTGTGTGTGTGTGTGTACTCGAGGTAGAAGAAAGGGGAACAAAGGAAGATTGTTGTTAGGTACAAGAGCAATACATTTGGACATATGGGTGAAAACAGCACCCGTCGGATACAAGAGGATTCCATTCATATATATTTTTTGGGAGAGTGGTTGGTCAAAGTATAAATTCAATGTGATTTCTCGCCCTACAGTGCGTCAAATCCTCCAGCGGCCGTGTCCAGATGGTGATGTCGTCGTACGTGTAGGTGAGCCACGACACTACATGGAAATTGCAACAAAATGGCAGCGCTCCGAGGAACATTCAAACAACCGAGAATCATGATTGGATGCGGTAAAAGGCTAAAATAGCAAAGCTGATGTAAGTGGACCTGCCAACCGGGTAGCAAACGACGTAGTGAGTGCATCAACAAGTGGCGTGCCACGTAAAAACTAACAAGATGCTGGAAGCAAATCAATCCCAAGCCATAACAAGATGAATACAGCAACATTTGCTTCGAGCGGGTATAGTGGGATGTTCTCCCTTCTTCCTTTCCTCCTCCCCCCTCCCCTTTTCCTCTCCCCTTTGACTTATTATTCACTGTCAAGCCGTACTTTACACTGTGGTAAAGGAGTCGTGCTCCCAACCAACGTCCTTCAAAATCTGGGCGGCCAAATGTTGATAGGACAAATGGCCATTTGCTAGATGCTTGACGTGGTGGTTTTCGACACCACCAGCGCCCTGAATCTCCTGCAGGCCGGCAATTCCAGAATGGGTGTTTGAGGTTCGATACAGGAAACCAAGAAGGTAGTCTTGTTCCGTGTATGCGTTGATCAAACGACCGGAGACAACACTCTTCATCGCCATCCACACCTTGCTATCCGAAGGTGCGGGGGTACCCATCATGACGACCGAATCAACCAGGCCAAACTGACGACGCTCAGCAAGAACCATGAGACACATGTATATTGCTCTTGCGGCAAGGCTATAGCCGACAAGAGATACAGAGCGCTCTCCGTGGAACTTGTGGCGTACAATGGCATCAGCAAGAAGAGTCCCGAGTTTCTCAGCACGCACCATGCCAAGACTCCAGGGATTGTCAATAATCTTGCTGATTTTGAGCAAGGGCTCGGGCCATTTCGAGTTCAGCAGGCAGTGGAAGACTGTAGTACCGTAAGGATATGCCACGTTTTGAAAAGATACAAACCTACTTGAGTCCTTTCGTATCTGCTCCCTGGCGGCAAGCCACGCGCTACTGCCAACAACAGTCTCAAGGGCATTACCAAGGCTTGCAACGGTCGCGAGGTCCCACTGTACCACATATACTTCTGTTTGCCGGCCCAAGGAACTCCACGGGGTAGTCACGGCGTCCCCCTTTAGCATGAATCCCCCGAGTGCAATCACAATGCGTAGTCTTCGCTCGCTAGGTAACGGCCGTCTGGGATCCATGTACTCGGCGTCTCCGTCGTCGGTGACGGAGAGAAAAGAAAAGTCCTGAATTTCGCGGAGAAAGCCTTCCACCATCTTCTCGACTGGCTTTGCTGGATTCATTCCAAACAGGGATCCCATAAGCAAGCCATTCTCTGACATGATGCCCAGGAGAGCCGCGGCAGCTGATGTCGTCAGGCCACTACCCTCAGAGCCGACACCTACACCGATCAGAGCTCCGGCTAGGCCAGTGCCTATGTTGGCGCTGCCAAGGCTAAACTTCCATCTTTTGGAGAGTTTGTTTTCTTCTTTTTGCGCCGCGGCCTTCTCGGGGCTGACTTCCATTGCGGCGGCTGCCAGACCTTTGGCGATTCGCACTTCATCCTGGTTGTGCAGTTTGAGAGGCAGATTCAAGGACGAAGTTAGGTTGACAAGAAGCAGGCGTGCATTGGCATTGTAGTCATGAAGGGACAAGATGACGAGTAGCATAATATGCAGCAGTAGCTTTCGCCTCTCGTAGGGCAGCGGCCACAGATTGTTCGGCACAGCAGGATACAGGCGGAGGAGAACAGGGTCGACATGAGCAACTGGCGTTTGAGGGAAAGCTATAATTGAGCAGGTCAGTTGATGTTTGAATCTATAAGCATATTAAAAAGGGACGCTATTACCATTAGGTACAACTGTGCTGGTGGCGGAGATGCCGCCACGGCCGTTCTGTCTTCCAGCACGCCCAGAGCGCCCGGCACGCCCGCGAGGTGCTCCTCGGGCGCCTCTTCCACGACCTCGACGAGAAACATCCTCTTCTATGGTGGCAACAGCCAAGTCCCGGAGACGCTGGACGACGGAAGCCTGCCACTTGCGAAAGAATGCAACAGCCTCATTTCTCAGCTCTTGCAACTGTGGTGGCGTCTCTTCGTCCTGATCTTGCAGGTGAGGAGAAGGCTTCCGTACTGTCGACCCGACCGGTCTGTTGGCAAAAGACCTGGGGGGTTCCATGTTCTCCTTGTCGTTGGTCTCTTGCTCGCGGAGAGCCAGAGCCAGCCAGTTGCGGTCTGGGCCTTCCCCATCCATGAGAGGAATCTGGGGAGAATCGAAGAGACCATTGATGTCTCGAAACATCTTTTCGGTAATGGCCGTGACGAGAAGAACCAGGTCCGACTTCTCGGTACTGGTGATGATGCCGGTGAGATCAACAACGCGCCTGGGAGGTGCGCTCCCTCCTCTCCCTCCACGTGCCATGCTGAGATTGCGATGCAGATCAAAACCAACTCGACAGCATATGAAGGGGTGGCACCAATGCTGAGGTGCCGGGCGAGGTTGTCTGCGCCGGCGAGCGAGTGCAAACAGAGAGCAAGTAAGGTGCTGTGGTGATGAGCGTTTGCAGGCGTTTGTAGTGTGTAGATGGTGCAAGTGCAGAGGCGGCCGTGAGGACGAGGGCGGAACGGCTCGATCTAAATAGTACGACTGGTTCAGATTTGTTCCGTGGTAGCCTCGTCAAGATGGAACAGCGATCTGGGCACCTGATGAAACTAGGTGCGACTATTGTACGCTTTGTGCGACCAAGTGATGACGATACACGGGCGTGCACTTTACTGCGTGGCGGAGGGACGCGGAGGGAGGGCTGCTGCGGTGAATGGCACGACTCCAGGATCGATGATGCAGGAGAGGGTGAAGAGGGCAAGCAGGACAGAATGTCAATGTTGCTTGCTTGTTTTAGAAGACGGGTCCCGGCAGAGGCCAGAAAACAAAGGTTCAGAGTGAAGACGAGGGAAGAAACGAGTTGCAGCCGCGAGGGCAGGGTGTTGTGAGGCGTTGGGCCAAAACTGCCTGCCACCTGCCACAAGAGTGATTGCCAAGTGTCACGGCAGCTGGCAACACGAGCGGCAGGTTTAGGTGCCCAACAGAGGGAAGACGGGAATACCATGGGATGGGAAATGGGATTTTGGGGCGAGAGAGAGAGAGAGAGAGGAGGGAGAGAGGGGAAGATTATTGGCTCGAGGGCAATGACGGAAGAGCGAGACAAGGAAGAGAGAGCCGTGTGATTCTCTGTTTTCTAGAATGATGCGCCATTATATCTCTATCTAGAACGGCTGCTGCCGCACGCCCGATGTGGAAGGACGGAGAGTTTGTGTGCTGCTGCTGCTGCTGCTGCTGCTGCTGCTGCTGCTGCTTTCTGCTGCTGCTTGGCCTATGCATATCGCCGCACAGTCTATTTTGTCTCACGTAGTTTGGGAAAAGAAAGGCAAGAAAAATAGAAAGAAAACAAAGGGGAGATGAGCGGGGGGGCCGCGGGAAAGGCCTGTCCGGGTCCATGTGCAGCTTCCCGTTTGTACGTGGACGGGCCACAGAGAGTAGAAAGGAAGAATAACGGGTTGTGGAATGAAGCCATGATGGCGCTCGTGGCACAATGCAGCATCGTAGCCGAGCGAGGAAGCGAGGTGTGGTTTGGCAAAAGAGGGAATAGAATGAAATAGAAGAATAGAAGAAGAAGAGGGAGGGGGGAAAAACGAATAAATTAATTGAACACAATAAACAAAATAAACAAAAAATACCTCTGCAGGTCAAACGCGCGCAGTCGGAAATTGGAGCTGACGGACCGCAAGGCTGCACAACAACGTCATTTGGCTTTCTTTCATTGTTTGCACACCATCTCCCTCCCCCTGGCGGCCGTGCACAACAACGCCAGATTCGATCAAAGAGAAGAAAAAAAAAGAAGAGGGTTCCTGCTTGGCGAGAAAGATAAGCCATGTGTTCTCAGCTACGTTTTCATGAGGCCTTTTTGTCCGTGTGTCCTCTTTGGAGTTATCCTCGGCTGGGTACATACATGGCTTCGTGCTGCCTGCCGGGTCACAACAGGATGGCTGCCTACTATGCGTTTGCTTTTCGCCCTTTTGCCACGATACTTGCTTGCCCTTGTCCTGTCTGTCCTGCCTGTATTGTTGTGCCCATTCTGCCCGTCCTGCCCGTCCTGCCTATAATGATCCATCCGCACACCCGCCGGCCCAGGAACAGCCTCCCTCCACCGCCGCCCTCCCCTCGTGCACGGAAACCAGCGTGTGTGTGTCCCGTGTTGGTCATGTGGTGGTGGCTGGCTCCAGGGAAAGACGGATGATGATGCACGCCGAGACAAGACACTCCGCGACCTTCTCTGCCATTCTGCCATGAAATGGGGGAAACGCGGAAAGCCAAAAAAAGGTGGTGGGCGCTGCCAATTAATATGTAGACCAATCTACAATCTACCGTTCTCGGCCCTTGCCTTGCTACCCCGGATTTTTCTATACGCTGCATGCCCCATGGCTGAGAGACATGTGTGTATAGAAATTCCCGCCCCCATGACCCCCTCCCCCTTCCATCATTCTTATTTGCAGCGCCCATCTTGCCGTTTACAAAAGGAGCCAAGCCATGAGAGATGACGCCTAGGACTACAGGGGTGGCGGCGGCACAAAGGGGATGCCAGGCCCAGCTACCTACCTAGGTAGGTAGGCAGGTACCTACAGGAGCAAATCGCTATCCCTACGGGCATGGCTATTTATAGATACGCTAAATAAAAGCTTATCTAGACCTTATTTATAGGTTTATACTAATGCAGATATATAATATATATGTATATTATAATATTGTAATAAAACACTCTTTATAACTATATAAATAAAAGAGCTTCTCGCTCTCTCGTACCTGTTATTTTCGAGTCTTCTTTATATCAGAACCTGAATATTAACTATAATACATACAAATATCCCAAGGCTAATCTGCAACAAAAAAATATAATTCAAGTACAGAATTAGGAAACTACCCATAACAAACCAATTATTGCTTCCTGGGAAGGACTGGCCTTGATATATGAGGCGAATGGGTTTGACTTGCTAGTGAATGAGGCGGGCGAGAAGAGGGTAGTACAAGCTGAATTTTCCCGCTTTCAAGTACCTATACACTGTCTACAACTCCAGGCAGTCGAGTAGACCGGTATAATTATTTTTCAACGGCTGTCGTCCGTGGCAATCGTCAGCAATTACACGGTAGCAACCACGGCGCCGCCTCACTCAAAGCTTGTTGGTCGCCACCGCGAAGCCACACCTCACTCACTAGGCTTGTTGGTCTACGCGCTAATTGTCGACTTGTAGAAAAAAAATCAACTTTTCCTAGTGAAAGCATTCTAGCGCAGCTTTATTGTCATTGTCTTGCAATCGTCGTGACAGATAGGCCTTGCGTCGCTGACAGAACCGCCGATTGCGGGCGCATTACTAGTGAAGGGGAATGAAAGCTACCTCCATGTTCAATTGTTGGCGGGGCTCACCATGCTGCGAGGCAACGTGACGGTGCTGTACGTTCATGTTCATAAATACGTATTGGAATTAACTACAGGTACGAGCTTTAGAAGCTCATCAACCTTTCCATATACAGAGGTCTATCAAGCCAGAATGATACCGGGTCGTCGAGAAACGTCGTCCAGTCTGCATGCGCGCAACTCGTGTCGGCTTGAGCAAGGGAGTCTTGCGTAGCTGCCTGGTTAACAGCGGCCTGCGACGTCATACCATCTGCATCTGGGCAACGTTGAGTCCGTTTTTCCGACGAAATCGTTTCTAGTATTGCAAACGTCTATATGGACTTGAAGGGGTCCGGAAGCAGGTTGTCAGCAGCGCTGTAGAGGCGTCGTCGTGCTCAGCGTCTTCGTGACGCGTTGAAGAAGTACTGGACCAACAAGCGTCTAGGGCTTCCTCGTGCGAAGAAACACATTCGAAGGAAGCGGCAGGCTGCTGAGCGACGCATCCACATTGTATTCAATATCGGCGCCCTCCTGCTCAAATCCGAGCTTGAGGTACACGCGGCGGCCCATGACGGACGCTTCCGTCACGGCCTCGAGGTCTCCTCTGGCCTTTGCCTCTTGCAGGCCCCATTCGACCAGCTTCTGCCCGATGCCGCGTCCCTGGAAGCGGGGATCGACGGCGCAGATGTCGAGCGCCATGATGGCGGGCGGGCACTCGGCGGCCTTGGACCGCGCCACCTCCCAGCGCCGGCTGTGCATGGCGCGCAGAATGGCCGTCCAGTACTGCTGCTGCGCGGGGTCGTCCGGGTAGACGTCGGCCATGCCCGCGCCCTCGGTCGGCACGTTGCCGTGGCCCGGCACGCTCGAGCACTGCTCCCACACGGCCATGCCGGCCACCACCCGGTCACCCGTCGACGCGCCGGGGTCCGCCGCCGCCGTGGCGAGCAGAAAGACCGTGTTGGGCTTGCCGGCGAGGTTGGTCGTCGTGTTGGCAAACCGGGCGCCGAGACGCGCCGCGCACCTTTGCCTTCCGACCGGCGTGTCCCAGCCCGGACAGGTGCCGATGAAGATGGTATCCTGCGTCTGGACGCCGAATGCCTGGCACATGGGCCCAAAGGCCTGGGAGGCCTCGTCGGCCGATTTGGCGACGTGGATTTGCAGGTCAATGTCTGGTTTCGTGGTCGACATTTTTTTTTGGGTGAGTTTGGATCAAGGTAATTGTAGTGTTCTTATTAGGTAACCCGAACAAATGAGTAGGCGGTTTGGAAGCGTTAAATACCTAGCTCGACTTCCAGTGGAGCTGGAGCTGCCAATGGGGCGACATGATGAGTCGTGTTCGCTCAACAAGAATCCGGAAACGTGGAATTTTACTCCATCACCGACGCCCTTCGAGCTGTCATCCGTTTCAGGCCCGAGATGTGAAGTTGCTTGATGTGACTAAACCTCATGAAATGGCTACAAATACAAACTGCGCAAATGCTTCCCGTTTCATACAATTTCATCATCACCCCAGTGATATATTTCTTTTTTCCCTTCTTTTTCCAAGTCCGACAGAATCGCCCAGGCCAGATCAACACAATCAACTGAAAAAGAGATTGGGCGATGTTCATCTGTGTACACATCTAACGCCACTAACTAAAATATAATATAGTTTTCCTCCTCATCCTCCTCAGCGATGAGATTAAAAGACCCAATAAATGCCGACGGAGCCCCCCCAGTCCCTGTCGGGACATCGCGACGGAGCATGGAAGTTCCGCTGACGGGCCGAAAGTACTGCGCGGTCTGGGCAGGGCGGCTCCAGTGCGGTCGGCAGTAGTAGTTGCAGCAGTGCTGGTTGAAGAACGAGCTGATGCCGGGGGGGCCGAGATCTGTGACGCCAAACTGCCGCGTACGGGAGAGGATGACGGGGTCGGAGAGGACAACCTCTCTGGCGTAGATGCCGCCCTGGATATCGCACAAGACGTAGAAGCCGCCGCTGACGTGGTAGCTAAAGTGGCTGAGGGCCTGCATGACCTCTGCCCAGCCGCCGTCGTCGTTTGTCCAGCCGCTATTGCTGTTGAACTTTTGGTAGTTTTGGATGAACGGCTCGACGAGGATTTTCTCGCCCTCACGACTTCCGGATGTATAGCGCCAGACCGCGGGTATGTTGAGCTTGATAGTTTTCGCGACGATTCCAAGTTCATTGAATTTGTCAATAAACTCCAGTGCCTTGTCCACGGCCTTGATATCGAGGGTGAAGAAGTCGTCGGAGAAGACGCTGCCCGATTTGAACCATTTGCGGACGCAAGGCTGACCAGAGCGAGGGCCAGACGCGTACGTACCCTTGCCCACCCAGCGAAATGTACCTTCGGCAAATGGCTCGTCTGTGGTAGCAGTGCCATTTGTTGACAAATTATGACGACCGCTTCCACCCCGCGGGTCTTGCGGTCGGTCAGAGTGGTGGCCATGAACGCAGCCAGCACATCTTGAAATGCCGCGGCCCCTAGACCATTGGTTTGTGGTGTAGGATGTGCGGGGGAGTTCACGGTCGCAGTCCGCGCATGTACGCTCCATTGACCACGACGCTATGGATGAAACGAATCAATGGGCAACAAAGATGGATTTAAACGCCGAGCCTTTATACAAGTTGGCAAAGAAGCTGAGCATCAGAGAGTGGAACCGGCTCGTTGATCCGAAGCCGGAGCGACGTGAGGGAAGTGCCCTGTCAATGTCAAACAGGGGTGGACATTTACTCCGAGGTGGACCCTACCTTCATTCAGATCAATCCCCCTGATTGTTTCCCATCTTCGTCTGTAACTATTTAGAATGATAGTCACGACCTAAAACGACCCTTCCAGGTTTTTTCATACGTGAAGTAGATCAATCTATATTCACTGAATCGGTTCTTCCTTAATATCTCGCTATGTCCTTGCCTTTTCTCGATAGTAAAGGCAGTACAATCCCGGAAGAGTGGATACTAGGAAATGGTGCCACGGCCGTCGTGATCCTCCAGAACGGCGTCGCCGTCAAGATTCCGCTGCGGTTACCCTGGTCTTGCGCCTACAATATCCAGAGCAGCATCGACAGTATCCGGCGCGAGCAAGATGTCTATCGCCGCCTACAGCAGCCACCCGACGACGATCCTCGCGCGAGCGGTGTGGTGCGCTGCGTCGAGTTCGCCTCCGAGGCCACCCACCTTGCGCACATGGTGAACGGCGATCTGCAGAGATATCTGGAAAAGTCGAGGCCTTCCGCCGAGCTCCAACTACAGTGGTGTCTCGAGATGGCACAGGCGCTCGACTATGTCCACGACAGGCGCGTTCTCGTCGCCGATATTGCTAGCCGCAACCTCCTCCTCGACGCCCGTCTGTCTATCAAGATTTGCGACTTTTCAGAAGCCACCCTCCTGCCGCTCAACACAGACATGCTCAGCGCGGATGATAAAGGCTACACCACACAGATCGATATTGGCCTGCTCGGTGCTGTCATGTACGAGATCGCGACGGGCGTCCGGTGCAAGGTCGATCTGTACATGGACAGCGAAACACATGCGTCCTGGCCCGCGCGGGACGTGCTGCCGGACACGGGGGGCCTTGCCCTCGGTGGCATCATCGAGGGTTGCTGGAGCCGACGTTTTCCGAGCGCAGGCCATCTGTCGCAAGCTTTGCACGCTCTGCATTGCCCTGCGCCTAGCGCCCTCGCTGGCATATACAACTCCATCATACAACGACCGGTTGTGGCTGTTATCGGGGCGCTCGGCCTGACCATGTATATACTCATGGCTCGAAGGCAGCGCTTTTGACGAGGAAAACTTTGGTTGTTGAGAAGTACTGTATCGTCAAGAGTGTTCCAGGTTGCACACTCTAATTTGTAACAGATATCTCTGCTGCCACGGCACAGGGCAAAACATCAAGCATTAATCGCAATCTAGGTTACCAATGTAGGCGCATTGTAAGTCTATATCGTGTTCAAGGAGCCATTTGTAACGTCTCAGCCCTGGACCATATGAGCTTCAAGCGAACTGCACCGCAGACCACGCGCGGCCAATGACGCTCATGTTTGGCTCGTTGCAGCCGCTGATGACGCTCTTCTCGATCGCGGCCTTGCTGTCCCGGGCCAACGTGCGGAGCATGGCCGTCACTGCGCCTGGCGCCGCTATCGAGCTGGTGGGCGAAACCCCCAAGGACTCGGCTGCATCCCTCAAGCCAGTCGATTTGAATGTGCGCTTCATGTATAGTTCGACTACCGATGGGAGCGATTCGTTCCAGTTTTTTTCGCCGTTCAACTCCGGCAGTGGCTGTGACTGGCATGTTAGTACTTGGGTAGAGGGAGTACATCAGCAGAGTTGTACGCCAGCAGCGTCAATCCATCGTGGTGATGGCCACCCAAAACTTTTTAAGCGCAACGTCGGTCATCCGGGGGTCCTTATACTGGTGTAGAGGCCTCCTTGTTTCGCGGATAAAGTTGGTCGGCATAGTGGGCCGTCGCGGCCGCGGCTCTGGACGGCGAGATCGGAATATGTCTTATGATGATGATGAGGAAGAGGGCTCAGGTTGCGGAGCTATTTGCAAACACTCTCTTTGAAGCGCTGCCTCTGAGCTCGCGCAGCTTGGAGCCGTCAGGTTCTTGTAGTAGATTCGAGCCTAGCGGCTGCTTGTTCCGTTCAGAGTTCGAATGAATAAAGCGTATTGGGGAGCAATGGCTTTGATTGGCTGATGTTTTCCGGATGCTGAGACTCAAGCATGATGCTTGGCGATGCTGGTGGGGTGACCTGACAAGGCTGGCACTGAACATCCCGCCTGTTGGACCCATGTAAAGTCGGCGCAAAAACTAGGCAGATTCATTTGAAATCTAGAGCAGAAGGATGAATAATTCCCTCCATATCAAGTATGAGGTCATCTCACTTGTTCATCTCATGATATCGGAAATGTGCCGTTGCGGCAAACGTCGGGATTGCCAGTCCGCAGATACTGCACTGGTCACCCGTCGTCCCCCTCCATGAGCCGTCAGTATCCAGCCCGTCCATCTCCTCCTCCTCCTCCTCCTCCTCCTCCATGCCATCTTGCTCACCCTGTGCCGCCTCCCCCACCACCTTCCATGGCCGCAGCACCTCGTCCTGCTTCTTAAACATGTTGCCAATGTCCCGGCCCGCTCCGTGCCGGTCCTCTGCCGCCCCTGCAACCATGTTTGCCACACAAATGTTTATCAGCTGTAAATTCCACCCACCACCACCACCACCACCACCACCACTTTCCTTATCCGTGCCGTCGAAGCGCCGCAGCAGGGGCAGCAGCGCCTCCGACACGAGCCGCTCCGCCACCTCTTCAATCCCGGCTCCGAGGTCCAGCAAGAAGCTGGGCGCCGCCGCCGACCGCGACACCCGACTGAAGCTGCGCGCCTGCCCTGATCCGGGGGTTTTCGGCCATGAGCGGACGGACAGGCGGAGCGTGCGCGGCCAGGCTGCCCATTTCTGCGGCTCGTCCGCGTTGTCCACGCCTGGGCAGACCAAGTCGACGCGCATCCGCCGCACCAGCGAGCACGACAGCTTGAACAGTTCCTCGGTAATCTGCGCCATGTTGTCCAGTCCCTTGTATGTATCTTCAATGCTCAGCTGGGAAGGCACCTCCGTGCCTGCTTTAACCTGCGTGGCGTCAACACCGTGAAGCAGGCCCCAGATGCGGGCACCGACGCCGCGCTCGGCACCAGGGCCTGCCAGCAGCGTTTCCAGCGAGGCTGCGGAAATGGCCGGGTGCAAACGCGCTGTTTGCACGGTGACGACGGACTGGAATGTGTGGGAGTCGGCATCCGTGGCGACGCCGGTGACGGCCGTCTCGATTAGTTGCGCCATCTTGAAACCAACACCTGGCACGTGGCGCAGCAGATGCGTATCCATAAAGGCGATGACATCGTCGTCGGTCCAGGCGAGCAGAGTCGTCTGGTTCCTGGGCTTGTGGCGGCCGCCGCAGAGCTTGCTGAGCACCTTGTTTGTGGCGATACCGCAGGTCGACGTGTAACCAAAGTCGGCCTCCATTTTGCTTCGGAGGTACAAGGCTAGATGCGAGCCGAGCGCCAGGCGAACCAGTGTCGTGTTGTCTGGGTCCACGCTGGCGGGATACGGTCCTAGGACTGGTCCCGCCACGGTGCGCAAGTCGCACGGAAAGCCAATCTCGGGGTCACTCTTGGACAGTTGGAAAAAGGTCTGCGCCAGCGCGCTCTTGCTGAGGCACGACACGTTGTAGTCGACAATATCGCTCACGTCCAAAAACACCTCGTCAAACCCGAGCCGCTCCGCTCTCCCGTTCCATACATGCGACTTGAGGAAGCCGTAGAGGGTCTTGCTAACGTCGCGAAAGGGCGCAAGGTCCTCGCCGTCCATGAGGACGAGGTCGGGGCACACTTTTCTAGCCTCGGTGATGAGCATCAGCTTCTTGACGCCCTTGGCGCGGGCGTGGTAGTTGCATGTGGCGAGAATGTTCTTCTGGCGGATGCCGAGAGGCTTGCTCTTGAGATGCGGGTGCTTGTTCTCGATGACTTGGGCGTAGAAGCAGTCGTAGTCCTGAGGTCGGTTAGACGCGTCGATGGTGTTGGCGTGCGGGGTCGCCTACAAATTGCAGAATGATTCGGTCCTCTTTTCGTTTAGGCCGTCTCTTTACCAGAGACTCCATCTTGGCGACTTTGGACGGCCTCGCAGCGGGATACTGGCGTAGCTAGACGGCATTGCCAATGGGTGTACCGCGCACGACTCTTTGCGTGGCCACGGCGATGCGAGGCTCAACTGTCCATGGCAGATGAATTGATTTCGCGATGCAGGTTTTGGAAGCTCGGCTTTGCTAATTCGATAACAAACATATATTCATCAAGATGAAGCAGCACGGGGATTGTTGGTGCGTTTGTATTGGAGACATGTGTTTGGGAAAGGCGGAGTGTGAAGATTTATTAGTAGCCCCAGCTGCGGCTGACAAAGTAATAGGCCAACAAATAGACTGTAGGAATACGGGTCATACTATAGCCATAAGCGCCAATTCATGATGATAAACAAAAGGACGAGGAAATGAGCGGCTGGTTATTCCATCTCGTGTCCTACATTTATCTAAAGAAAAAAAAAACATTGGAAACCGCAGATTGACCTTATCAGGTTGCACTGCTCAAGCTCCGATGACCGCTTCTAATCATGGTGGGGGAGTTGCGCCGCTGCCGAACCAGCGGCGCTAGCAGAGGTCCCTGGCGCCACCACCACCACCACTATGATTTCTTGACTCATTTTTTGACAAACGGCTTCGCAATCTACAACCTATTTTTCTTCCCACCGTTTTCTTCACCCGTCCCTGCAACCGGCCAAACTGCTCTAGCTACACCCAACTCCCCATCACCATGGCCGGCGCTGTAAGCTTCCCCCTCCCTCCTCTCCAGCCTTGACCAAAAACCTAACCCCTCCATCCTTTCAGAGCGCAACGGTGCCTTCCCTGGACGTTGTCCGGGACATCCTCCTCCAACCGACCCCCTCCGGCCTCGTCCCTACGCTCGTGCCCATCTACCGCCAAATCTCCTCAGACCTCATCACGCCATCCGCCGCGTACCTCAAAGTCTCCGCCCACGCCGCCGCCCACCCCTCCTCCTCGTCCTCCTCCGCATCGTACTCCTTCCTCTTTGAATCCGCCGCGACCGAACAAGTCGGCCGGTACAGCTTCGTCGGAGCCCGTCCGCGCGCCGTCCTCACCACAGGCCCGGGCCACGGCGCCGGCGCCCTCGACCCCCTCCCGCAGCTCGAGGCCGAACTCGCGCGGCAAGTCGTCGCGCACGTGCCCGGCTTGCAGCTGCCGCCGCTGACGGGCGGCGCCATCGGGTACATTGGCTACGACTGCGTGCGCTACTTTGAGCCCAAGACGGCGCGTCCGCTCGAGGACGTGCTCAAGATCCCCGAGTCGCTCTTTATGCTCTTTGACACCATTGTCGCGTTTGACCGGTTCTACGGCGTCATCAAGGTCATCAGCTACGTGCAGCTGCCCTCGGGGGGCGGCGCGGACAAGGAGGCCGGCGCCGCCCTCGCCGCCGCGTACGACGACGCCGTCGCCTCCATTGACGAGCTCGTCGCCGTGCTCGACGCGCCCGAGGTGCCGATGCCGCCGCAGCGCGCCGTGCGGCTCGGCCACGAGGCCACGTCCAACATTGGCCGCGCCGGCTACGAGGCGCACGTCAGCACGCTCAAGACGCACATCCTGCAGGGCGACATCTTCCAGGCCGTGCCGTCGCAGCGCTTCGCGCGCCCGACCGACCTGCACCCGTTCAACATCTACCGCCACCTGCGCACCGTCAACCCCTCGCCGTACCTCTTCTACCTCGACTGCCGCGACTTCCAAATCATTGGCGCCTCGCCCGAGCTGCTCGTCAAGAGCGAGGACGGCCGCATCATCACGCACCCCATTGCCGGCACCGTCACCCGCGGCCGCACGCCCGCCGAGGACGAGCGCCTCGCCGACCAGCTCCGCGCCTCCCTCAAGGACCGCGCCGAGCACGTCATGCTCGTCGACCTCGCGCGCAACGACGTCAACCGCGTCGGCGACCCCCACACCGTGCGCGTCGACCGCCTGCTCGGCGTCGAAAAGTTTAGCCACGTCCAGCACCTCGTCTCCCAGGTCTCGGGCGTCCTGCGCCCCGGCCAGACGCGCTTCGACGCCTTCCGCTCCATCTTTCCCGCCGGCACCGTCTCGGGCGCGCCCAAGGTCCGCGCCATGGAGCTCATTGCCGAGCTCGAGCGCGAGAAGCGCGGCGTCTACGCCGGCGCCGTCGGCTACTTTGGCTACGGCGGCGTCGATGCCGACGGCAACCCCGTCGAGGGCGCCATGGACACGTGCATCGCGCTCCGCACCATGCTGTACAAGGAGGGCGTCGCGTACTTGCAGGCCGGCGGCGGCATCGTGCTCGACTCGGACGAGTATGAGGAGTGGATGGAGACGATAAATAAGCTGGGCGCGAGCATGCACTGCATCAAGTCGGCTGAGGAAATGTACCATGCGCAGCAGAATGCGACAAAATAGATTTTTTTTTAAATATGATGAACAAAATGAACAACTTAGATACCTGCGTGTGCGTGTGGAATGAAAAAGCCATCTTGTGTCATCGTATTGAAAATGGTATTGCTATCAAAGCAAGTATGCTGTGTTGTTATGAAATGTCATACATCGTAAAAGTGCTATACAAAATGTCCCTTGCCTTATTCTGTGTTGGGATTTCCCATATGTGTAATGTCCCGAGTTTCCCAATGCAATATAGAAAAAGAAATGCGCCGTCATCATGTGCCCGTATATATATATCCTTACATGTCCTTTATACTTCATTCACGTCATGACGACATTTCCACATCTCCCTTGCCAGCGTCCAGCTTGGCCTCTGGTTTCGGTACACTCAGCACCGGCGCCGGCGTGACTCTCTCTTCCCCAGCCGCCGCCGCCGCCGCCGCCGCTCTCGCCGCAGCCACGACGGCGCCACCGAGCTGCTCTTCATCCTCTTCCGCGTCCTCTTCTCTGCCAATGGTCCAGACCCAGCGCCTCTTCTTCTCGCTTCGCGGGGGCGGCGCAGTCGTCGTCCCGCGGTCGGCGCTGCGCAGGGCCGCGCCGAGCCGTCTGTTCTCGTCCTCAAAGGGGCCTGGTGTCTGGCCGCCGTCTTGGATCTCGTTGGCGGAGAAGGCGCGGGACAGGTCGACGGGCAGGCCGCGGGGCGAGGTAGTCATGGTGCTGGCCTCGTCGACGAGGAGGTCAATGTGGGACTTGGTGTACGTGTTGGTGATGATTTCCTGCTCAATGGGGCTGTGGTAGCACACGCGCTTGGCGGCGCGTTGCACGTCCGGGGTTTGTATGCGCACGGTGGGCGCGAGACCGCGCGGTGAGGAGGTGGCGGCGGCGTTTGGCCGGCGGGAGGGCAGGGGCGAGTTGCGGAGGATGCTCCGGAGGGCCTTGGCGTGCGTGTACGGAGGTGGTGAGGCGGAGAGGGTGGTGCGAGGGGGTGCCGATTGCTGCTTCGGCGGCGTGATCACGGGCGAAGAGGGTGTTGTTGTTGTTGTCGTCGTCGTCGTAGCAGCAGCGGCGGCGGCGGCGGCAGCGTGGAGGGCCTGCTCGAGGGAGTGTCTACCTGCCGCCGCGTCACGCGGGGAGAAACTAAACACACGACTGCCCATCTCCACGGCCCCCGCTGATACAGGCGGCGTCGGGGACATGACGCTGGGCAGCAGCAGCAGCAGGGGCAGCATCGGCTTGCTCGGCGACGACGAGGGGTACGCGGACAGCGGCGTCGCAGGAAACGAGCTGCGAGCGGGCGCCGGGCCGAGAGTGGGCGAGCACAGAGAGATGGCCTGCATATTGCGAATGGCCGTGAGAGGCTCGCCGACGGGCGAGGCGACGGGGGTGGCGGCGCGCTCAATAGCGGTCACGTAGGCGTTGGAGAGGGTGTTGAAGGCGGTCGGGTCCGAGGGGTTGAGGGAGCAGGGGCGCGTAGCGGTGGTGATGGCGGGCCGCTGGGCGAAATGTGTCGTCGAGGCTGGGTTGTTGGTCTTGATCTGGAGAGAGAGGCGCGGGCGCTTGGAGGGCATGCCGCTTCCACCGGCGGCGGCGGGCATGGAGGGCGGACGCGAGGCCATGACCGACATGGCTGTTTGTGTCAAGTTTGTGTGTGTAAGTTGTGTTTTGGAGGGGAGAAAGGGTGTTGATCCCCTTGCGTTGATCTTGCTTGCGGTGTGGGCGAGAAAAGGGCAGGTCGTAAAAGCATGAACCCGAGGCGCGGGAGAGCAGGAAAGGGTTCCTTTATGCAACGGAAGGAAAGGGTGGGCAATCAAAGAACCGATAGTTTATAACAAGGAACACACTATAGAGTGATGCGAGGGGAGGGGGACCAGGAGCGGGGAAACACAGAAAAAAAGACGGAAAGTGCTGAAACCGGTAGGTTGGGCCAACGTGTGACAGAACCCCCAATGTTAGATTTCTTTTTTTCTCAAACGTCGAGGATGAAACAGCGCCGAGTCGGATGACCAAGTATCCGCGAGCGATGAGGATGGTTGTTCAAGAGAGCCAAGAAACAAGTTGAATCCAAGAGATAAAAAAAAGTATACTTTAAACGACGACGGGTTGAAGACGAGGATGAAATCGGGGCTGGCTTCTTTTTTGGGCTTTTGCCGCCGAACCGGGTGAGGGGGGGAGGTATAAAGAAGACAGAAGGAGGAGGAGGAGGGGGTTTCTGCCACGGCGGCTAAAATGGAGCCCAATAAATAATGTACCTCACTCAGCACGAGCACGGAGTACCCTATGCGAGCAAAGCCTTGGTTTCTGCGATGCAGGCTTGCATATGCCTCTCAGCCCGCCTGCCTTGTCGGATAGGGTCGCAAGGTGGGGGTTGAAAAAGCACAATGAAGCGGTATTCAGTTGCTTTTTTTGTGTGTGCGTGAATAAGAAATAGAAACCGCATGACTGCCGAGATGCTATTTATTGCCACACACACACGCACACACATACGCACACAATGAACAATAGTTCAACGTCGCTTGGACGGACAGACAGGAACAAGAGAAGAGAGAGACCATCTCGGGCGGGGCAAAAGCCCGTGTAAGCGCCCGCCCAAAAATGGCCGGCTGCCCAATCACATCCCGGAACTGGGGACCCCGTCCCGAGCGTGCCCAGCTGCCGTTCTATTGTTAGTACAGCTAAAAATACAGCAAAGAGAGCCATAGTTGCCATTCCTGCGAATCTCTTTTTTGCCTCGACTTTTTCTTTAGGGCAATACCAAACCTATACCCCATTCTTCTTTCTTTCTTCGTAGGCGTTTGTTGAACCATAAAATTGTTTCCATCCCCTTTCTTCTTTCCTCCCGTGTCCCTCTGTACCACCCCAACGCAAGCATCACACAGCAAACGCCACCGCCATCATTGTTTATTTTCACGTGGCTGACCTTGATTGCCTCCCCAAAAGTGCCCGTTGCGTGGCGATTGAAAAAAAAAAAAAAAAAAAAAAAAAAAAACCGAACAAAAACAGGGAACCCGGTTCGGTAAGTTCCAGTACGCTGGTCCCGGTAAGGGTTGGGCCACCGTCTCTACCTACACCTCGCAACCGTGGGCGGCTAAATTTAGAAAGCTCCCCGTTATTCGTCCGCCACTTCCAGTCCAGCCCCGGATTTGTCTCGCGCATCCCTTGGCCCATGCCCATGCACACTATTCATCGTTATTCACTGTGAATGATGAATCCCACATTGTTCTCCTTGGTTATGCCCGTGCATCGCCGCACTTTTCCAGGAACACACGAACCAAACCCAAGCCATCGAAACCAGGCTCCGAAAACCAGGCTCCGCCATCGAGTACCCTGGTCCTGCTGAGGATAGCGGCAGCTGGGACATCAGCACGCATCCAGCCTGTTGTGATTTAAGTGGAGATCACGGTGCGCATAATCAGCTAGAGACCCACTTATAGTAGAAAGCTAGAAAGGGATAGTAGTATATAGATAAAGGAGTTAGGTTTAAAGAAACTAATCCTAATTACTAATAGAATTAAATAATAAAAAGATATACTAAAGGAGTATAATTAGGCTAATTAGCTAGGCTAGAAAATAAATATAAAAAAAAAAGAATTTCCTTTTTTAATTAAAAAAGAATAAAGTAAAAATAGCTATAAATTCTAATATATATTATTTTTTAATTTTACTATATAAAATTACTTTTAATTATAACTAGTTATTTAATATTTATATTAGCTTATTTATATAATTTATAAGAGTTATAAGTTTAAAAGGTAAATAATAAAAGATACTTTTTATTATTTAAAATTTCTATTTTACTTATAAACTTATTTAAAATATATAAAAATATTTTTAATTTTTTTTTCTTCTTTTTTTAATATATTAACTTAAAAAATAATAACTACTTTAGCTTATTCTAGCCTTAAGCTTAAAGAATTAAAATAATAATATAAATAAAAACTCTACCTTAAAACCTATATATTTTTAAAATAAGTTTAAGGTTATATAGACTTAAACTAGCCTTATTTTAATAGTAATTTATACCTAAAGCCTTATAGGTTTATTTAGTTTTAATATAAAGATAAATATTTAAATATTAACTATATTAACCTAAAAATTACTTATAAAGAAGTAATAGATTTCTAAAAAAAAATAGTAATTATAGTTAAAAAGAGGTAAGAAAATATTAGTTTAGTTTAGGTTTAGGTTAGTATTATTATAAACTTTAAGCTTTTTTTAAAAGCTTAAAAAACTATTAAAATAAGGGTAGTAGAATTAAAAGTTATTTATAATTAATATACTTTTAAGAATATTCTTAAAGAATTAAAGGTTATTATTACCTTAAATTCTAAAAAAATAAGGTAAAAGGTAAGAAAAGAGTATAGGTAAATTATAACTATTAAAAAGATAGTATTAAATAGACTAAGTTAGATCTAGATATAGGAAAAAATATACTAAATAGTATTATTTTATTAAATTCTTAATATAAAAGGATTAATAGCTATTATTAATTTCTTAGATATAATTAAGGAGAAAATAATACTTAAATAGGCTATATCTTTAAAAAGGGATTTTATTAATATAAATACTTTATTAAGAAATAATTTAATATTAAATTAGACTTTATAAACTACTATAGATATATTTAAGGAAAATATAAAGGAATTAAAGTATAAGAAGTTAACTAAGAATATTTTCCCTATATTAGATAATAAATAAGGGAAGAAATCTAAAAAGTAAGGATATAACTACCTTTATTAAAAAAAAGATTAGACTTATTTATAGAAGCTAAAGGAATACTATATTATCTAAAAGGTATACTTAGGTTCTTTTAAACTAGATATAACTATAAATAAATTCTAAACTAAGAAAATTAAGGAAATTATAAATAAACCTAAATAAGCTACCTTTAAAGTATCTATAAGTAAAGGAAAGTAGCTATAAAAAGAATATAATATATATATTCTATCTAAAAGTACTTTTAAACCTATAAAGAATATATTCTTTACTATCTATAGAAACTACTACTTATACTATAAAAGTATACTTTTAGATAATTATAGCTTATACTATATTATAAATAATAAAAGCCTTTTTAAGCTAGATTCTTATAAGGAGTTATAAAATATCTTAGTTAAGGCTAAAGATTACTAATTTACTATTATTAGTATAGGAATAAGAATTATAAAATATATCTTAACTACCTTTAATAAGCTAAGAATTAACCTTTATCTAATAAATATCTATTATATTCCTAGCTTCTATATAAATTTAATCTTAGCTAGTATCCTAAAAGCTAAAACTAGGCTTTAAATTAATAGCTATAATAATACTTTAAGAGAAGGTATACCTAAGAATAATTACTATATAGCTTAATTATATAAGAAGGATAATATTCTATTCTTTAAATATAAACTAATTTAATAACTAGAGAAGCTAGTATTTTAGAAAATAGTCTTAAGTACCTTTAGATATAGTCTTAATTATATATTAAAAGGAATATTTCTCTTTAAAAAGGGGGATAGTTATTTATAGTATTTATAATTAAGATACTTTAAAAAAGAATTACTTAAAGCCTTAATTTAAGAATTAACTAGTAACTAAATTATTAAAATATAATATTTAGATTATAAGGTATATAATACTACTTTAATAGAAAATATTATTAATAAAGAAACTAATAATATATTTACTATTTAACCTTTTAAGAGAATTAAGTAGGATTTATAGGAATACCCTTTAAGTTATAATAAAATAAGTTTTCTTTTTATAATATAAGATAAATATACTAGTTTAATCTATTCTATTTTAACTACTTTTAAAAATATTAAAACCTTTTTCTCTATAATTAAGAACTTTATAATATAGATTAAGAGGTAATTTAACCTTAAGGTCTTTATTATAAGATATAATAATAAAAAGGTTATAATTTATAAAGATACTTTTATAAAATATTAGAAATAGGTAAAGGAATTAAGAATTAAGATTAAAGCTATATTAGTATATATTTATAAGCTAAATAAGTTAAATAAGAGGTTTAGAAGGATAGTTATTAAGAAAACACTTATCTTAATAATATCTTTAGGATTATTTATAGCTTTATAGTTTAAAGTAGTAAAAATAGCTACCTTCCTACTTAGAAATAGCCTAAGGAAAGTATATAGATATAAATTACTATTATAAAAGATAAATTTATAGTTTAAAGAAAGTAGATAAGGTATTAAGTATATAATTAGTAAAAGGATTAGTATAAAAGGATAGTATATATATAGATATTAAGTATACCCTTTTAATTAAGAATAAGAAAAAAAAGTTAATAAAAAGAATTTTAAAGTATATTTTAAAAGATATATTAATTATTTAGTTAATTATATAATATTAAACCTATACTAAATATAGATACCTTAACTTAACTATATTATTATAATAAAGAATATTAAATTTAATAAAAATATATTCTATTCTTTAGAAATAGAAAATAAGGATAGGATTACTAAGTTAGAACTAGAAAAGGAGATAGAGTCTTTAATAGAAGTAGAAAGTTAAAATCTAACTATAGAATTTAGACTTAAATATTTTCTCTTAATAATTTTATAAAATACTATCCTTAACCTAAATCCTTAAAATAAGTTATAAGATTTAAGTAGATTTAGATAAAGTAGTTATAAGATATAAGATACTATAATATTTAATAGATATACTATATAAACTTAAGAAGTAGACTTAAGTAATATTAGAACTTTAAAAAGTAATATATTATCTTTAATATTAAGGATAGAAACTAAAAATAATAGTAATATAGGGATAGTAATAGGTAATAGGATAGATAATATACTCTTATTTAAGGATATATTAAAACTATTTAAAGATATAAGCTAAGAAAAAGATATTAATAATTTAGCCTTAAGGGTAAAAGAAGATAACTAAATATATATATATTTATTTAGCCTTTAAATAAGATTAGAATTATAAGATTTATATATAAAAAATACTTAAAAAATAAGAATTTAGCCTTTTATTATTTAAAATAAGGAGATAAGTCTATACCTACTTAATAAAAATAAGCTAATAACTTAGGAAGAGCTTATTAGGGAGGATTATAATCTATATTTATAGGATATAGTTATAAAAGACTTTAAATTATAATTAGAAATTTAAGAAATAACTATAGAAAGCCTAATCTTTATTCTTAAAGAAACTATTTATAAAAGTAAAAAGATTAAAAAGAAGATTAAAGATAGCTAGAAGCTAATATAGAAAAGGATAAAATTAGCCTTTACTATACTCTAATTACTAAAGATTATTACTAAAAAGAAGGAGTATATAGCTAATCCTTACTATACTAACCTAAAAAAATATAATAATAAAGAATTATAGATATTATTTATAATATTAAAATATATATTCTAAAATAGATAATTAGATAATAATTAGACTTAGAATATTAGAAAAGATAAGTAGCTATACTATACTAATAATTTACTACCCCTACTTTAGGGGTAGAATAAGATTAAAAGGTATACTTTTAAGACCTAATTTAAAGAAGTAGGTCTTAATAAAATATAGGCCCTTAATAAAATAAAGACCTAGACCTATATATATAGAAATATTAAAAAGGGATATACTCTACCTCTTAAATAGGTATTTATATATAAATTTAATACTAATAAAGTCCTAATTAAATATAAAGTATAAATCTATATATAAGGGGATTTATAGTTAATTAATAGTTAAGAAGAAATATATATAGCTATATTAGTAGTATAAACCTTCTAAATAATAATAGTACTTATAGTAAAATATAACCTTAATACTTAATAGTTTAATATTAAAAATACCTTTTTATATACTAATAGATAAGACTTATTAAATAAAGTCCTATATAGGCTATTACTAGGATTCTAAGAAATAATAAATTTATTAGTAGATTTTAAAGAAGTAGACTATAATATCCTACTAAATTAAGTACTTTATAGGTTATAAGACTTACTACTCCTTTAGTATTTAGAATTTACTAGTATATTAATAAAACTAAGGTTTATATAATATAAAGAAGAATTATACCTCTTTTTTAATAAAGAGAGGTTAATATATATTATTTTCTTTATTAATAATATTATTATTTTAAGTAAGAAAAAAGCTATAAAAGAAAAGAATAAATTTACTTATAAACTACTCTAGAAATATAGAATATATAATTAAAGAGAGGTATTATAATTCTTAAGAGTTAAGATTATTTATAACTAAAAGAAAAAAATAGTATAACTCTCTTATAAAGTATATATAAAGAAGATTATAGCTAAGTTTAAAGTAATTAGTCTTAATTAAGTCTAAACTCCTCTACTATAGTAGTAATTTACTAAAAGAATAAGATAAGTAATATTAAAAAAGGTAAAGAGATACTAAGAGATTATTAAATTAATCCTATATATATTAATTATAATAAAAGTAGATATTATATTTATAATATTAATATTATCTTATTATTTAATAAACCTATCTTAAATATATTTTAATATAGCTATTTATATTATTTAGTATCTTTTTAATACTAAAGATTATTATATTATATATAATAAGAATAAAAAGGTAATTATTTTATAAATAGTAAGTAATACCTTATATACTAATAATTTAGATATAAGGAGATTTAGTTAGGGATTTATTATAATCCTTTTTAAAGGAATTATAGCTTAGAAAGTATTATATTAAAGTATAATAATAACTTCTATTATAAAAGCTAAATTATTAGCTCTTTAGAATACTATAAAAGAAATAGTTATACTTAAGTATCTTTTCTAGGAAATAGATATTATTCTTAAACTACCTTATAAAATTTTTTATAATAATTAATAAATAATTTATCTAATTATAGCTAGAAATTAAAGAATTAATATTAAATTATAATATATTAATATTTATTATTTATAGCTTTAGTAAGAATATTAATATAGATTATTTAAGGTATTATATCTTCTAATAAAAGATATACTAATAAATAGATTTATAAAGAACTTACTATTATAGTTATTTATTTATTTTTAAGATTTAATTAGGATTATAAAGTTTAAAAGTAATAAAAGTTTAATTTAGACTAAAACCTAATAATAATATCTTTAAATACTAATAGAAAAAAAGGGGATAAAAGATATAAAAAAGGTATAAAATAATCTTATTATTTATTAATAAGATTTTTTACTAGATAATCTATAATAGCTTTATACTATTCTAATTTAGCTAAATAAGTATTAAATATAATTTTATATTTATAGAATAAGTTAAAAGACTTATATTTACTTATAGTTACTATTATCTTAAAAAAGGTTTAGGTAGAATTCTATTCTTTTTTATAAGCCTTAAGACCTATTAAAGTCTAGTATTATTTAATAAGAAAAGTCTTAATTATAAGCTTTTTTATAATTTTTAATAATATAGAAGTAAAGGAATTTATTTTATTAATAATTAAAAAACTAGTAACTTTAAAATTATCTAGAAAGTTAATTTTTATAGCTAGAAGTTAAGGTAGAATATATAAAAAGAAAGGATTCCTAAAAGACTTAATTAGAATATAATTAAGAATAAAAGGATAGAAAATAAGTATAAACTTAATAGCCTAATATTAAATTCCTTTTATATAATATTTAAAATAATAACTTATTAGCTTATTATAATAAAAAGAAGTAATATTAATTAAGGTTATAATATAATAATACTTATAACTTTAAGGGTTTCTTATAAGGAAATATATATATATTATATATAAGACCTTATAAAGACTATTAAAAGTATATATAGTAATTTAAGTTATAGTTATAAACTTTCTTTAGGTTTTTAGGAATATTTAAGTATCCTTTTTAACTAAACTAAGGGTAAAAGAATAGTTATTAATATTATTTAAGCCTAAAGAGGTAAAGAATAATATAATAATATTATTTAAATCTATATTATTAAGATTAAAAGTTAATAAAAGATAAAATAATTAAAAAAAATAATATATACTCTTAAAATTAAATATAATAAATATATTATTTACTTTTTAAACCTCTATAGAAGTTAAAAGCTAAGATTACTTTACTAGATTTAAGTTATTAATACCTTATAAATACTTTAAAGTAGAGATAGTATATTTAAAGTTAAGAATATTATTAAGATTAGAGGTTTCTTTATAAATAGAAAAAGAATAAAGATAAAGTATATTAAAGATAATAAATAAAAAAAAAAAAATTAGCCTTTTAAAAGATTAAAAGTAGTTTAAATACTCCTATATAATTATTAAAAGTACCTTACTTTATATATTATAATAAGATTATATTACTAGAAAGTAGTATACTATTAAAGCTATTATTACTTTATTTTTAAATAATTAAGGAAAATAATATAAGTAAATTAGTAAATATAAAAAGAAAAAGAGAATAAAGTAATTATAATAAGATTAGAAAGAACTATATATATAAAGGACTTAAATATTCTTTAATTTAATAAAAGTAGTTATAAAGGATTAATTTATTAAAAAATATTATTCTTAATTAAATTTTAAAATACTTCTTTAAAGTAGTATAGGTAAAAGAAGAAAGAATCTACTTAAAGGGTATATTATAATTTAAATAAAGATTATAATATATATAATTAGCTAAAAACCTACTTATAATAAAAAGCTAGAAAAGGATAGTAGTATATAAATAAAAGAGTTAAGTTTAAAAAAACTAATCTTAATTACTAATAGAATTAGGTAATAAAAAGATATATTAAAGGAGTATAATTAGGTTAATTAGCTAGGCTAGAAAATAGGTATAAAAAGAGAGGAATTTCCCCTCCTAGTTAAGAAAGAATAAGGTAAAAATAGCTATAAGTTCTAATATATATTATTCTTTAACTCTACTATATAAAATTGCTCTTAGTTATGACTAGTTATCTAATGTCTATATCAGCCTACTTACATAATTCATGAGATAGCCACATGGCACATGACACATGCACGTAAACGTCGTAAACACACATCATCGGCATAACCACATCATTGCAATAAACCTAACCTTTCTTGCTCACCTTCCCTAAACCCTCCGTCCCGGCAGCTCCATCCCCAACTACCACTTCGCCACGTCGCCTCACGACTCAATGGCCAGCGCCTTGGCGCCCACGATCCGCTCGCTCTCCCTCGTCACCACCCAGTATTCCACCCGTGTCTTGTCCCGGACCACCCGGTACACCCGCACGTCGTTGCCCTTGCTCGCGTCCCGCACCGCCTCCAGCACCGCCGTGTACTTGCCATCCGCGTCCCAGTCCAGCGGGTCCATGATGGTAATCTCAGCCTGGGCCACGTCCCAGTGATGAATGAGCTTTGCGAATTCCTCTGCGAGAAAAAAAACGGTGTCAGCACAAACTCGGGTTACTTGACCAAATCCTTTTCTGTCTGTGCTTCTTTATTAACCCCCTGGCCACGCACCCGCCGCAGCCTCGTCTACAACGCCACAACTGCCTCGGGACAACAATCAATGTAAATCAGAAATGAAAAAAAAAACTCACCCTCATCAGGAAGACTGCCCGCCCCCGCATACTTGAGCGAGACGGGCACAAACGGCTCGTCCGCGTCGCTTGTGTACACGGCCTCCTTGCATACGCTGACGATGCCCTGGGGCGCCGTCTGCCCCGCGTCCAACGTCTTGAGCTGCGCCCGCGTGCCGCCGCCGCCGCGCGCCGTCTCCGACGCCCTGGCGTGCGCCTCGTCCGCGTCCTTGTTGGCCTTGTTCAGGAACGCCATGTAATCGTCGTCCGACGCCATGTCTGCTGCTTGCCCTTGTCTGCTGGTCGCCCGCTCTGTAGCAATCGTCACGTCGAGATCGCTCTTACGCGTACCTCGTATCGGTGCGCTGCGAAAAAAGTGCTGACGTTGCGTCGTGGGGCCGCCCGTCCGGTTTCGTAACAACCACCGGCTTGCGACTGTCAATCTTAGATGGCTCGGTATAGGTGCTCGTATCGTCCCGTGTCTTGGAAATGAGAGATGGGTGCTCGCTCTTGCCATGTAACGGGGGCCCGACGTTTTGCGAACGATTCTCCTCGGTAGATGGGAGGAGGGGAAGAATCTCCACAGATCCCATTCATCGCTGTCGACCAAAGTGGGGTGACGTCAACTTGAACTCGCGCTACCAAAAATCCCTTGCAGCTTTCATCAGTTTTGTCCACAACGTCGCCGTTTATATCTAGTGTTAAAGTTACTTCCTGCAGAGTTTATCGTTCCTATCAAAGACAGAAAATTCATACGCCGCATATCGGAAGAGTGTCCGCTCACGTGCAGTTAGTTCTTACGCTGCTACGCCTTCACACATCTGTGTAAATATCAAGTATTGAATGGGAATCTTTTATTTTTCATACGTTCCTTTACCTAGCATCTTGACGTTGATCCCATAAACCCAAAAGACTAGCATAAAGTGGCATAAACCAACCATTTCCTTGACACCCCGATGCAAGATAGTGCGCAAGATACAACAATAGAAAAACGACGCTCAGCCCGCTCCGGCCATTTAGGCGGTGGTGATGAGGTCCTTCTTGAGGGTACCCTGGAACTGCTTCTTCTCGGCAGGGGTCTGGAAAGCACCGTGACCAAACTCGGACGAGGTGTCGATCCACTTGAGGTTGATCTTCTCCAGGGCGCGGCGCGAGGTGTGGGTGAACATGGACTTGCGGAGAGTCATGACGCGCTTCTTGACACCAGGAATGGAGCCCTTGACCATGACGAAGTCGTTGCTAACGGTACCGTAGCGGACGAAGCCACCAAGACTAAAAGGTGTTAGTAAGATTGCTTCATCGGTCAGCCAAAGGATGCTACATACGGAGTAATCGACTTCTTGGTGATGTCCATCTCGGTCGAGGCAGAGTCCTCAGCACCAGCCTTGCCGATTCTGTAAACCTTGTGGTTCACAGAGGTACGGTGGTGGTATCCGTCCTGACCGGCACGGGCGACCGTCCACTGGACGTGGTTAGGGTGCCAGGCACCGATACAAGCGACCTTGCGGAGACCCTTGTGCGTCTTGCGGGGGAGCTTCTTGGTGCCCCAACGCTTGGTGACACCGGTGAAACCGTGACCCTTGGTGACGGCAATGACATCGATCATCTCGTCCTGCTCGAAGATGGAGTCGATCGAAACGGGCTTCTCAAACAGGTTCTTGCCGAAATCGACCTTGTCGGCAATGGAGCCGCCGTTGACCTGAATTTCCATCAGGTGCGCCTTCTTCTGCTTGAGCGGCGTCTTGCGGATCTGGGTGTGGGCGAGGATGCGGATGACGGTGCAGTACTTCTTCATGCGCTCGAGCTCGCGGGCGATGGAGGCGCCCGACGCCTCCGAGTGCTTCTTGGCGTACTTGGTGAAGGCCTTCTTCTTGCTCTTGTACCAGTTCTTGTAGAAGCGGCGCTTGAGCTCGTCGGACAGATGCTCAGCCCAGACGGTGTTGAGCGAGCGCAGGCCGCGGGGGGTCTCGATGTATCCGACAAGACCAACAACGATCATCTAAAATTGCAGATGTTAGCCATATGCGCAAAGCAAAGCGGGCTGCATTGTTCGTACAGGTGGGGTATCAACGATGGTCACAGCCTCGACGACTTCCTTCTTGTTAGACTTCGCACCGGGGCGGTCGCTGTCACGGACGATCGTGGTCATGCCGGCCTTGTAGCCCATGGCGGCGGTGAGGTGGACGGGCTTCTTGGGGTCATCCTTGGGGAAGCTAGAGGTGAGCCAATTGGTTAGCCTTTGCTTCCTTTGCGACCATCTTCGCAACGTTTTCATCGCGAAGAGCAAAACTTACGACTTGACCTTTCCGCGGTGACGGGCGGCACGCTTCCTGGGAAGGTAGGCCAGCGAACCGTGGCGAGGCTCCTCGTGCTTTCGGTGCTATTGATCAGTCAGTCGGCCGTTTCCTCATTGTCGTTCTCGTCGTCGAAAGGAGTTGGCGAAAACGTACACTCATTTTGTCGGCTGTGGTGGTTGGTGGTTAGTAGAGAGGTACAATGTCAAGGTCCAGCCGTGAGAGAAAAGTCAACGAGGGCTTTCAGAAATAATTTGTGGGCGAAATTTTAAGCGAGTTGGTGTGGGCGGTCGTTGTGCGGTGGCTCGTGCGCCAAGTCCGGTGCGGATTGAGCCAATGAAGAGTCTTAAATCGCTCTTTAGAATGGGGCTAGCAGTTTTGCAACCTTTCGGCGAAACTACGGCGCAGCTTGCACAATTCTACACTGGACTAGCCAGAGTTGTGTCAATCGTAGCGCAGACTTATGCAAGAAGGAATTTGAGAAACTCACCCAGATCTCGCCATGACGGACACTCGGTCAGAAGATATCTAGCTCTGTGTATAGAATGGACTCGATGTAGCCATATCTCAATATTTCCCGATGACTTTTCCGCCGTCTGGATACTGAGGCTCGCTCTGCCCTGCACCCAAACATAATTGAGGCAGGAATCTTGGCCAGCAGGCTCGGCATGGTGTGTTAGAAGGCTACCAGCCGCTTTTTTGATGAGTAGTATATAGGATCTGGTAAATTAATGCTGATAGGTTGATAATAGCCATGCTATCGTGCGCCTATCGCAGCATCTTCTCTCAGGATCTCGTCCAAGCTAATGTTAGCCACCTGAGGAGTAATACTACAAGACTGTGAACTGCAGAGAAGTTTATCGACCTCTGGCTAAGGCTATCTCTTCCAGCGAATTTGGCATTTCAGATTCCTTGATGCGGCTATATCTTCTTGCTCATATTCTCATAACAAGGCATTGCGACCCCAATCTCAGCCTCGATCAACAAACTCTTTGTGTTTAAAGGACTTATCGGCAGCGCGAGGACTGCCGAGACAACGCATTGAACCCTTAATCCGCATATATCCCCTCACTGCTGACCATAGCAACCCTATTTCTCCTTCCTGTCTGTGGGAAGCGGTCTGCACTTCGGGCACAGATTACCCAGATGACAGAAGAATGCCGCGTCGGGGCTGCAGCCCTCGCAGCATGTATACGGGCGTGGACAGGGCTTCCAGCCGCACTCCATGACGTGGGTTTCCAGATCGGCCGGCATGGGCGAGGCAGCCGCCATGCTGGCGATAGAGGTAACGAGGATGAGAGCCGACTTCATTTTCGTCGGTAGAGTAATAAACGATAGTGGAGTAGTAGCAGCGAAGATGACTGACTTGGAAATCTGGGCCATGTTGAATACGGGGAGATACTTTATGTATTTTCCCATTTGCTTGCGGATGGGCTTGTTGCTGTTTGGCGCAGACAGCAACTCAAGACGATATTGCCTCGCAAAAGTTCCGTCTGCCTGGCCGATATTGGCTAAAAGTGGCACAATAATTGAAGAGTGGCACTACATTATATTAGGTAACTGCGTCAATCCTGCCGACAATCCGACGTCGACGGGCTCAAGATGCGGGGAAATCAGCTCGATCCTCCTCATGATGATTGGGTAGTGATTATCTATACATTGTCACGGAGCGGTAGCAGATATTCGACGACGAAAGACTGAGACACACACCAGTCTGTAGGAATGTACAAGGATACTTGCGTTGAGAACATGGCTGCTGTTTATACCATATCAACTTGGTGCATCCTCGTCTACGTACTCCCCAAAATTCGTGCATCCTGATGTCAAATTCCAGCTTTATCCTCGAAACTCAAGTGTGACAGATACGCCCCCTAAAGTTGCATTTGTTCATGTGCCTGTACTTCTTCATTTATCCTCGATACTCAACTCCATCACCGCACCCTCCATGCCGACGTGCACGGTATTCAGCGTGTCCCGAGACGCTGCTATAACCTTACATAAACTAGCTTATTCTTCCTTTACATGGTCATCGTAGAATACATTGCCCTGGCCTAGGCATACAGCGCATCAATCTCGCGCGCAAAGTCCGTATACACCCTCTGCCTCATGATGTTCCCCTTGTCCGTCCTCGGCAGCCTCGTCGTCCTCGGAAGCACCCCAATCTTATCCCTCCCCACCTCCCACGAGTCCGGCACCACGGCATTCACCTCTTCCACCAGCTTCCACACCGCCTCCAAGAACCCCTCCTCCGCCTCCTCGCCCTCCCCCGCAGGCATCACCAGTAGTCCCGGCACCGTCCGTCCCACACCCACCACCACCGCCGCCGCCACCAGCGGACTTGCCTGCAGGCGGTCCTCCAACGGCGCTCCCAGTACCTTTCCCGCCGTACTCAGCGCGATGAAATCCCCATCGCGGCACATAAACTTCCACGCATCCGGCTTGGTATCGTGCGGCTGCATGATGTCTCCCGTGCGCCGGCTGCCGTCGTCCGCGTTGACCGCCGTCGCGCTCAGGCCGGGAAAGTCGGGGAGCAGCACGACTTCGTGCAGCGGCGGGTTGGCCGGCACGGGGTCGAGCAGGATGTGGCGCCGCAGGATGGGCGGGAACTCGAGGTAGTCCCACGCCGGGTCGCCGGGCGGCCGGTACATGGACGTGGCAAAGTTGCGCGTCGCCTCGGAGCTGCCCATACTCGAGCTGATATTGACCCCTTGTTCGTGTAGATATGTTCCCAGCTCGTCTGGCAGCCGCGCGCCACCCGTCGTCACGTACGCCGCCGCGCGGAGACACGCCAGCCCGCGCGGATCATGCGCAATGAGCGCCACATTATGCGGCACCGACGGCAAGAACCCCGGGCGCGCCGCTTCCAGCGCCTCAATAAAGCTGTCCGCCGTCAGCGCCGACCGTGTGTCCATGAGATGGCACGTGGCCCCGAGGTACAGCGTGCCCAGGAGGATGCTGAGCCCCCAGCCGTGCGACAACGGCCACGAGAGCAGCGTGCTGCGCGCCTCGGTCGCGCAGGTAAACGTCGACAGCGATATGTGCGCGTGCCGGTACGGGATCGGCCGCGGCAGGCCGGTCGAGCCCGAGGTGGAAAAGAGCAGCGCCGTCGTGTCCGTCTGCTCCTGCCGGGAAAAGAAGCGCGGGGCTCTGGCGGTGACAGGCTGGGAGAAGACGGCACGCGGCACAAAGGGAATCGTCGTGACGGTGCGAGGTTGGAGGGCGGTGATGCCGGCGACGAGCTTGCTGGTGCCAGGTTCGGTGTCGTAGATGATAGCGTCGGCGCCGGCAGAGCCCAGCAGGCTCACGAGGCCGACGGCTTTCTGCACTAGCGACATCATGGCGACGGTATACCCGAGGCGGGAGAGCGCAAACAGGTTCACGACCCATTCAAGGTTGGCGTTTCCGATGAGGCCCACGACACGGCCGAGTTTCTGTCCGTCAACTCGTCAGGTATTCCCTCCTTCATACATTTCTCTTCTGTAGATAGGACGGTTTGGGAGGGGGTAAAACGTACAGGTTCGTGGCCAGACTGGATGAGGTGCTGCACAGCCGCGTCCACGTAGCCGTCGAGCTGGGCCGCCGTGAACGTCTCAAAGTACCCGCCGCTGCGGTCCTCGCGCGGGTAGGCAAAGAGCACCGGCGAGGGCGACTTGGACGCGTGCAGCGACAGTACATCGTCGAGTACGAGCAGCTCGCCGTACTGGAAAGACCGCTGTTCAAAGGCTTCTTGGGTGAAGCGCTCCATTGTCGTGTTGGAAGGGTGCGGGAGGCAGGCCAGATGTGAGAACGATTCTTGATTCAAAGTGAAAGAAGTGAAAAGAGCAGGAGTGGAAATCCGGATAATTGAATCACAGGTTCAAGGTGGTTAGGGAAGAGCCAGAGAAGTCGTAGCCATGGCCGACTCATATAGTTACCTCCTACCCCCCTCCAGTGTCACATCGGCCTCGCAGCCTGCCCGAGTTGCGAGCCTTGAACTAACCCCCTCCCTATTCGGTAACATCATTTTTCCTTTCCCCAGCAAGCACATGCATTCAAAGGAGCTTCCAACTGCGATCGCCGCCCCACAAACTGCCGCTTACCCAGGCCTCTTCCCCAAACGTCCGAATGTCCGGATGACTGGTCTCTTGAATAAGCATACATGATGCAACTACAATACAATAAGAAACAACGAGTCGGCCCGACATGTTACCGACCATTTCCATCTTCTCTCGGTGCCCGGGGTTTTTTACACCGTTCGCGCGCCTTTCTTGTGCCGATCAGCCCGTCGACGCCACCACAGCCTTGCTCGGTACCTTTGCCTCAACTCGTTCCTGTCACGGTGTAAACAAGTCCCCGCACGGTGCGTGGGCCTTTTTCACGGCCAGCATACATGCATGTATAATATACAACCAGGTCGGTGAAACCCCTCTGTCTCCATTTCCATAACTACATACTACACACTAGAGGGACCAGTCGTCCGTTCAACTCCCCAATTCCTCCCAGCACGACGCCCGCCCTAAAAAGGTTTTCTCCGAAACCAACCCATAAAGAAACAATAAACAAAAACAATAAACAAATAGGGTAGGTAAACAAAGGAAAAGCAGAATAGCCATTGTGGTTGGTATACATGGAAATTCAAGCAGAAAATGTGCAACGTAAATTTCAACCCTCGTACTCCATCCCCTCCCTCGTCGTTTTTTTACATCTTAGTCTGACTTGGCCGCGACAGCAGCAGGGGCTGCTGTCGTACCATTGGCTCCCGCGCTGGCTGGTGAGCTGGGTTTAGCATCGTCCGTCGTAGAGCCAGCCTTGGAACCATTCGTCGCCGCTCCCTTCTTGTCATCCTCGGGCGCATCGTCATAATCTTCGTCGACATCCATCTTCCTAGCGGCGCGCTCAGGTTCAGACGATGCGGGCGCGCGAGGAGCACTACTCGTCTCCGTGGGTTCCTCCTTTGGGATGACCGTTGCCTTGGCCTTTTCAGGCGCAGTTTCGGCAGGAACAGATGCTTGCATGGGAGGCAGCTGGGTTACCGCCACGTTGTGCTGCGGGTGGTGGTGAGCAGCCTCGGAGGGGTGATAGTCGCTCTTGGGTCCGGACTCTTCCGCTCTACGAGGCTCTTCACGGCGCTCTTCTCCACGAGGCGAAGGCCGGCGAAACCCCTCCTTGGGAGACATAGACGGCCGGCGGTGCTTAGAATCTTCAAGACGCGCGCGGTTCTCCTCGTTGGCCTGCTTCTTGACAGAAGAATCATCCTCCCACTCGCGCATGCGCTTCGGCCCGACTGAAGGTGGACGGTCCTCTTGACGCTGAGCTGCCACTTCGGGAGCTGCCGGCGCGGGGATGGGACCAGGTTGCCCGTTTTCACCGGGGGGTGGGAGTGGCTCGCCTTGGCCTGCGTACTGAGGCAGCGGCGGCGGCGCCTGGCCAGGGTAGACAGGTTTGGGTGAGGGACCATGGCCCTCGCGGACGTCGGGCCGGGGGCTGTTCGTGGGCCGGAATGGACCAGTACCGTTGGGAGGTGGCGGCGGTGGGCCGTTAGCAGTCACGGCGGGTACCGCCGACAAAGAGGGCACAGAGCCGCTAAAGTTAGGGTTGGCAACACGGCCCTGAGATGTAGGAGGATATGCGTGGACGGGCGGAGGTGACGCTCGGCGCGACGGGCCAGGTCGCTCAGCGTATGGGTTTTGTTGCTGAGCTTGCGGCGGTTGGCGATGGTCAGGTTGCGGCTGGCGAAGATCGTGCTGCGGGCTGGGAGGACGCTGGAGGGGAGGAGCAGGGCCGCCACGGAAAGGCTCACCACGACTCTCATACGGGTTAGGTGGCTGAGGAGGCGGGTTCACGTTGGATAGGTTGCGAGCCCAGTTCTCGCCGGCACCTTGAGCGGCGGGAGGAGGACCGCCAGCAGGAGGTTGAGAAGAAGAGCCTGCCCACTGAGGACCAGTAGGCCCCTGAGGACCGGTAGCCTGATAAGCTTGAGGGTGGACGTCAGCAGGCTGAGGAGCGGCGGGAGGAGCACCACCGTTGCCGGAGCGAAGCAGCTGAAGACGGTTCTTGATGTGCGGGTTGCCAGGATCGAGCTCAGCGGCCCGTTGGTACGCATCGAGAGCATCAGAGATTTGGTTATTACACGACTCGTACTAGGACAAGTTAGTAAGACATGGCGGCTTTGAACGGGGAAGAGAGGCTTACCAAAGTGCCGAGATCGTACCAAACTTCAGAAATGTAGGGGTTGAGCCGGATGGCGCGAGAATAGGCATCTAGCGCGTCTCTGTACTGGTTGATCTGATAATACAACACACCAATAGAGCACCAGAAAGTGGGGTTCTTTCCATCACGGTACACAGCCTGCTGATAAGCCTCATACGCCTTTGGGTACTTTTGCTGCGACATGTAGCATCTCCCAAGCAGATACCAGCTCTGTGCGTCCGTGTTGTCTGCTTCCGTTAGGCTTAGGTCATCCGTGACTGGCCGTCTAAATGACCTACCGGCATTCACAGATTTCTCGAGATACTGGATGGCGCGGTCTTGGTACTCATACGAGTTGCTCTGCTGGTGGTGGAGCCAGCCGAGCTGTTGGAGGACCTTGGCGTGGGTGGGTGAGTGATCTAGAACACGTTGGTATGCGGCCTTGGCGTTATCAAACTGCACAATTTGTTAGTTTCGAACAGCTCCGCGGGAACGATTCTCGAAAAAAACGTACGTCCTTTTGTTGCTCGTGCACATGTCCAATTTGGAACCAGATATCCTCCTGTGTCAAAGGTCCAGGCGGCGAGCTGACAATATACTTGAAGCACTACAAAGAGTTAGATACAATTGGCGTAGAGCGCGTGCGGAGCTTACCTCGAGACTTTGGGGGTATTTCTGTTGCTGCTTATAGATGATTCCGAGGCGAAAGTAAATCTCGTTTGCCTTTTCAAAGTCGGGTTGGATCTGCATAACTTGCGAAAAGGCTTCTTCGGCATAGTCATAGCTGCCGTAGCGGTCGTACAAGATGCCGATTCCATACCAGAGCATGGGATCCTTGGGATCGCGCAGGTTGACCAAGGCTTGCTGGTAAGCATCATAGGCCTTTTGAAGGTTCTCGGTCATGAGGAAGCAGTGGCCTGAGGAACAAATTAGTAGTGGAGCAAATGTAGCTGTGCAGGTATACACTTACCAAGGTTACCCCAAGCCTCGCCGTTATTTCTGTCCATGTCGACGATGGTGCGAAAGAACTCGAGAGCCTTGTCAAAGGCCTCGCGACCCTTGAGCAGCATGCCGATGGCGTTGAGGGCGGTGATGGATTGGGGGTTGGCGATGAGGGCGCGCTCGTACGCTTGAAGGGCCTCATCAGGGACGCGCAGAATTTCTGAGAAGCTTCCTGGAGAGGAGGTTAGCGATGATGCGACGGGCAGTGGCGAGGCGGGGCAATCTTACCGATCTGCAGCCAAACCTGCTCGTTGAGCTGCTGGATCTGGGCCGAGGCGTTGTACTGGCTCGAAGGGCCGGCGTGAGGGGCGCCAGGCGCCTGCGCTTGCTGGTGCTGCATCTGCATCATGGTGGGAGAAGGATGATGGTTGGCGGCCATTGCTGATTGCTGATGATGGTCGCCGACTTGGAGTCGCACGCGGGACGTGTACCAGGTCGAGTCGTTGCAAGGTGAGCGGCGACGACGGGGGAGACGGGATCAGCGCGGGCGGAATTGATCAATGCCGATTAGGTATACGTGAAAAGATAAAAAATCAAGATGATGATTTGGCAGCTTGGCGCAGCTTGGCCGAGGTCGAGTTGCGTTGGCGATGCAAGCGCGTAGCAGCTGGGGTTGAGGCGGGAAGCCTTACAGGACGGGGCGGCCTGGGCGCGGGTGCGAAAAGGGCGAAAAAAATAAAGGAACCGACGATGCACTACGTGAGGAATCGCGCCTCAGGTGGACCGGCGGGAAGTTTGGCAAAGGGGGAGGGATGGAGGCGATATGACGAGAGGAAACCAGGATGGAGATGATTGCAGAGGCCTTGCAGCCGTTGGGAGGCAGAGTTGAAGGAATTGGGGGGGGAAGAGGAGGAGGAGAGAAAGGAAAACTGGTCATTGGGGAGAGGCTGTCTGGTGGAGGAAAGGACCTGCACCGCTGGCCGAGCCAAACTCCCCTAACCCATGAGAATGGGAGGGAACGGGCAAGGATAATGGGACGGAGGGCGTGTGGCTGTGTGGGGACGGGCGGCTCCACAAGGAGCGAGTGGCCGCCGCATGGTTGTTGGCTTTGGAGTACTTTTGATCAGGTGGGCATTGGGCGGCGGATCCAAGTAGACGAGGAGATGGGCAGGGGTGCAGCTTGTCAACAGGGGGGCGTGCGGCGATTCAGCAAGTGTGGTGCACAGCGTGTGTGTGTGATGGCGCTGATGGGGCGCTGATGGCCCACGGCCCCAAGGCCCATGGATGGGTTAATGTGGAGGGTGTGTGCCGGAGTGGGCCGGGGCTGGGGCTGGGGCTGGCATCAAGTGGCTTGTGAAGTGTGCCAGTGCCAAGTGGGGTTTTGCAGTTGTGGTGGTGCCGCCGCCGTGGTTGGTGGCTGCTGTTGATGCTGGTTCGGCACCGCCCACACCAACCCAGCCTATTTGCTTGCTGCAGACAAATAATGGGAGGTACCGATCAGCCCAGTTACGGTGACAAGATACACCGCCGATCGGTGATGTGGCATCTTAAGTTCTGCGGCTCTTTCTTAAAGTTAGGACTATGTCACCGTTCTCATTTTTTGCCATTGCAATCCACTATTTCTACGAATTATTTCGCAGCAGCTTCCTCGTCGTTGCTATTCACTCCAGGGCCAGTGACCAGTCCCATGTCGTCCGCCAAACTTTGTGTGGCTCCTGTCTTCGGATAACCACTGGTAGCCACTAGTTAGTTAGGACAAACCCGCCCACTCCGTCATTGAACCCGGCAGGGTCTATGCGTTAGGTACGGAGTACAGTAGGTAGTTATTGGGGAGCTTTCGTTGAACACAACAGCGAGAAACATTGACTACCTACCTGCCTGGTAGGTAGCCAAGGTAGTTAGCTAGCTAATCCTCTGCTAGAAAGCTAAATTGTAAATCGGAAAAGGAGGCAAAAGCCATCCACCAAGCAAACCCTTGGCCCCTCCTCAAACAGCCCCCAAAAATCCACTCCAACAGGCCAGTTCGCAGCTGCATCATGACGCTTACCTGCGATCCGTTACGTTATCAGCCTACCTGGCAATACTTCCAGCTCGTTTCAAACCTCGTCTGATCCTTTCTTAACGACCTCCCCCGCGCGCCTGCGCACAAGAGTAACCCTCCTGCACGCCACGGCCGCACCCGCGTAACCCACCACAGGACCATCGCGTAGCACAATGGCCACGGCAGCTGGGTGCAGCAAGCGCGTGGACCGTTGCATGTGTGATGCAAGCCCTGTGTATCCATCCGTCCTGCGCTTCCTTGTCCCTTTTTTTGCTTCTCTGCGCGACGGCAACGACGACGACCCTCCAGCAACGGGGATCGGTAATAAACCCAAGGTCGGCTGCTGTGCTACCCAGCCTGCGCGGCGGAATAGGACACCAAGGGCCTGCATTGCCTTGAATCTACGATTTCTGCGACCACAGTACAAATGGTGCCAGTAACTGGATGGTGTCATTGCCGCTAGAGTACCTAGGTATGTAGGTAGGCGCCAGCTGCATCGTAGATAAATAACCTCGAAACTTTGTTGGACTTGATCGTTCTATTGTCCGTCAGGTGCCGTCATCGTGCAACCTCAGGCAGTCGGCCCGGGCCCAGCCTTGCCATCGGCGGCGCGACTGATGTGATGTTGCTTTTAGCGCCTTGAAATACCGCGCGCACTGTCCCGTTGTCTTTGTCTTTGCCTTGGTTCCTCCAACCACTCTTTGTCACTAACATCAATCTAGCGATGGCCCCCAAAAAGATGGGGTAACTCTACACTGGTACGATTGCTCCCGTTTGTTGATACCAGTATGCGTCAAACATGCGGCGCGGCAAGAGACGAGATAAATCTACCCATGGAGATTGGACCGAGACAACGACGTCCCCCTCGGCACTGATATGATCAGCGGCGGAAATATGTACCACTTATCGCCTCGCATTCGTCCTCAAAAATGCCGAGGCATGCACGTACCCTGTACCTTGAGATTCTCACCAAGAGGCCTGTCCTGCTGCAACTGCGACTCCAACGCACAGACGCACGAGGTATGGAGGATGGCGAGCAAAATAATCCAGCCAGCAAAGCAGAACAAAGCTAACTGCATACCTCGACAGAGATTGCTTAATCTGATGCAGTGGCTTTTTTGCATAGGAAAAATAGCCGCGGTGGCCAGCCCCTGCATCCGGCACACATCATTTAAGCTCCAGCACGTGACTTCTAGCAGGCACAGCAAATACCCGTGCCGGAAGCCCTGACCTGCCTGCCAGTGCCAATGCCTGCCCAGTGCCAGTGCCAGCTGCCAGCCCGCATCGCCCGCATCGGCCCAAGCAGGGTGCAAGCCAGAGACGGGACCCGCTCCCCTTGTTCGGTTCGAGAACATCGCTTCCGGGCTGCCTGGCACCTGCTTGAGTGTGAGTGGGCCTCTGTTTTTCGCCCTTCTTTTTCTTTTGTTTTTTTTTTTCGCGGTTCATTTTTCTTCTGGGCCTAGCCCTCGGAACAACGGAGGGGAGGCGAACGCGGGCTTTATCGAAAGGGTCCTCGCCCCGTTCTCTGATATTCCCAGCACTAGCCACAGGTGACGCCACCTCTGTTCACCACTACTAAGTTATAACCGTCGTCGTCACCACTGCCCGGTACAGCAAACGACGACGCTATTCCCGTCAGCGATTGGTGGCCATGGCTGAAACGACCTTGACGAACGACGCAAAGAGACAAGCCCTAGGCGCGTATGCAAACTTTCGTTTCATCATCGTTTGAACTCGTCTCGTTGCTTATTGGCAAAACGGACGATCGGGTAGAAGCGGGCACAGAGGTCCGTCCACACGCCTTTTTTTCATGCTGGAGATGATCCGTGCCGACCGCTTCTAGTTATGTATCCTGAGGAAGCGCGTCTCTGGCCTTCAGCCTCGAGCCAAGCCCGTGCAACTTCTAGGAAAGCGATTCGGCAGGGAACCGTGCTCTGGACCTCCCCCTCTTTGCCAGGCATCAAGGACAAGGCGGGCGAGGCACGCAGAGTGAGTGGGGTCTTGACGGCGGCCAGCTCCCTAGCAAAAAATAGCCTGCCCCCACCACCCCTATTTTTTTGCCTGTAACTAAAAAGCCTACCTAAAAAAATGGTCTCAGAAATTCCGCCACCTATCGCCACCACCTGGACGTCGAAACGGATCCCCAAGTCTCAATCAGTCATCCGTATTTGACTTGACGTCTCATCATCGGAAAGGCTTCACGACAATATTGTCCTGCGTATATCGGACCCTGAGTTGGAAGCACACCTATAAATCCACAGCTAAACGACAATGCGTTTGCCGTCAAGACCGACCAGAAAGGCACACTCAAACATGTAATATTATAGATTGACCAGACTCGCTCCGCATAGTCTGGCAGCTTCGTGAGCTTATACTCGCCGCGAACCATCACGTCCGATGCTGCTGGGTCGCTTTGCATAGTCGCCTATGCGATGTCCGGGTTGGACTGCCCGCGGGTGCGAGCGTCAAGACTTTTGGGCCATTTGGACGTGCGTTCCGTCCATCAAGCGGAACAAGAGCCCTCATTCTGCACAATCAAGGACATTGCCACACAGACGCACGCTTGTCCTCACACACCATGACCTGGCGCTTCGCAACATGATGGATGCGGCAGGAGTTGAGTGGCTGATTGGTTGGGACCTCGCTGCACTATTCTCTGTTTCGACTGCGCCACCTTTCACCTTTCATACCAAAGGACTGATTTTTTTGCGCGGCTGCGATGGCAGATTGCCATGTGGTTGGCTGGCGGCTAGTTCAGGAAAACAGGGCAGCCAGCACTATTCGGAACAAGTCTCAGCGATTGTCTTCCGGAAGGCGGGTCAACAATTAAAGCTGTCAGCAAGATCAATCAGGGCCTGTCCCGATTGTCATGGGGCTCTTAGCGCCTAAGCCAAGTCGTGATGATTGGCGTCCAATGAGTTGTTAAGTAATAGTACCTCCCTGAGAAGACTGCGATGCTGGGCTTGCATCCCCCATCCTCACCCCTCGTCTGCCTCCGGAATGCACCTGAGCTTCACTAGCGGGATTGAGCCACGATGGCAAGATGTGTATGATGGGCCACGTCGCACCAAAGCCTGTGAGATGTCAAACATCCGCAAACCTCACTGCCAGTATGACTGTGGGCCGAAACGATAGCTCCTCGTGTTACTATCTCGAGCGCGCAGCGCGGCGTCTGTTTCTCATCTTTGTCGGAAAACTGTAGATGGCTGCTGCCGACTTGCCCAAATGAGGCTTCCGTGAGCCTCGGCGTCAAGGGTGCGCTGTATTACTGTACTTGGGCACACCCACAATGAGCGCCACTGACAACATACCAGTCCATGAGAATTCGTACCAATCACGAAGAGCACCAAGTTATCACCACCTCGACACCACCATCCTCTCTCTATTCGTGCACACGTCTACGTACATGGCAGAGTCAGTGAGCCCCCCGGCCGGTCAGCACTGCGCAGCATGTCATGCACCCCGACGACTCCATCCTGCGCCCCTTCGGCACACTGCAGTCGACGATGGTGGCATCCCGAAACTCGCAGCCTGACATGCATTACCTATGTACGGGTAGTCGCCATTTGCCCCCCATGCCGCTGGCTTGTACAAAGTACATATTGCATATTGTCCACCCCGGGCCTTAGCATGTACTGATATTATTAACAGGTGCCCGGTGGATCTGTGCTACACTTGGGAAGGGCTATTTTACCGGTACGTCGAGGGTTGACCAAGCCCCCCTGCTCAAGGTCATTTTCACCATTATCTCCGCCCAGGTGCGTTGATGCGATAGGTCCTTGTCGCCGAACCCAGCAGTCCCTTGATTTTCCACACCTTTTTTCTTATTTCTATTCATTTTACGGATACGGATATTTTTCTGAGCATCCCTCACCCCTCTTCTGATCTGCTGCTATACGGATACTACCCCGTAATTAGGTACGGAGACTGGCCTATCGTCTATGTACCAGTGATTCCTATTATAGTGACCTTTTGACAGCAAAGTTTGCAGCTCTGGAACTCGGGGCAGACCCGTCGGGCCTTTGGCAGTTCTCATGCTGCCCGCCCACGAACCGATTCCGTATTCACTAACGCTCTTGTGGCACCACAAGCCTGCACTGCACCATGGACGAGCTAAAACGGGTGCGCTGCACCTGCACGGCGCGTTTCGTTTCATGGTGGTAATGGACCTGGGCTGGCGCCAACCCCATGGTTTCATCATCTCCTAACTAACTAGCCAGATTCACACTCCGCCGACTCCAGACGACGCTAACAAGACAAGGCACTGGATGCAAACCCTGTTGACTAGTTAGTAGGGCTGCGACGGCTCGCGAATGTCGAGAATCTGTGAACTGGCTTGCGGAGCTTCACCGAGCAGGCGTGTAAATACACTTTGCAAATGAATCGAAAGCACGGGGCCGGCGCTCGCCAAACCCATGAGTTTGAACCCCTGATCTGTGCCGGACGCATCCCGATGTGCTATCTCAGGGCCTAACTATCTGGCAGCCAATCCCAACACCAGGCTTGCTGCTCCATCTCGTGACCAGGGTTTGCTGCATATGGGCTCTGACGGAGGATTTCTTGCTTAGAAAATATGTAACTAGTTTCCTATCTCCCCAAACTGTCGATGTTTCTCGAGATATGGCGTCCCACCAATCACGGGCTCCCGCGTGGCGCTCTTCCGCAAGCAATCGCGGCCGCTGGACGTGCGCAGCCGCTGATCACTTGGCGGTGGCTTTGATTCATTTCAGAAGCATCAAGAAAACGGACAATGACAGCCCTTTTTTCTTTTTACCCCGAGCTGGCATTTGCAGTCATGCCCGTGCCCGTGCTACGGGCCGTTTTTCTCCTTGTTGCGTGCGTGTTTGCTCCCAAGCGTTGAAACGAGAGCAAGACAGCTCTCTGCTTTCTTCGTTTTCTCTCCCCCTCTGTGATCAGGTTTGAGAGGAAAAGAAGGGAGCAGCAGCACGTTTTCTACTTCCCCAGACTGCCGTGTTGGCAAAAGTCTTGGCAAGTTTGTTGGCGCAGAGGTGCCTGGTCAACGCGCAATGCGGTGCGACTGGAGCTGGTTTCCTTGAAGCGATCAACAAAGCGGTAATATGATGCGAGTTGGGGAGGGAATGACAAGAAAAAAAAAAAACGTTTAGTATCGGCGTCTCCTGATTCTTTTTTAAAAGCCTGTGCGACGGGTACATGCGGTGCGAGGTGCAGCAGCTCGTGGCAGGAACGCGCGTAGCCCGAAAATTGTCAAAGTCGCACACGCACATCTTGTACGTATTGTCTGTCCCAGCGCGTAGCAGATATGGGAGATTCGAGAGGGGAATCAATGGGCTATACTCGAAATCAATGTATTGCTGGATTTCTCTCTCTCGCTGCTGAAGTGGGGTGCTTTGGGCATCTTCCTGCATGTCTCATGCGCACATGTAAAGAAACTCCCGAGGAGGGAGGGGGGAGGAGAGACTCTCCCTGCAGACATCATGTGAGAGCGTACTTTTTTCGTGCCCCCACGTTTCTGAGTCAATGAGGGGATTGATCACGCAAACGCCTGTTGCGAATCTTGTGCTCTGGCGATGGACGCGAGAAGGTATTTTGTAGGCTTGTGGTATTCCTATCCAACACAATCTGCAGCGTTTTTATCTCATGGGGCCGCTCGGCGAGGCAGGGAGGACAGTATTGTAACGTGCGGTGCCGAGGGGCATGACACATGGCAAAGCAAGCGGGTTGGTTTTATAAAAATAAAAGAGTTTCAGAAACAAATATCGGACCAAAGCAGTTCTTGCTTGCCAGCACCGACATGACCCAGTGCGCTGGCAGCTCCATCCACAGCTTCTCACACTCTGCAACTTAGCTCCGAGCGAGCAACGCTCACCAACATCAACAAAAGGCCCTTTTCCTATCCAGCGTTAGCTTGCCCAGCGTTGCAGGTATAAAAAACGATGCGGAGGGAACGTGTGTAGTGCGGGGGGCGATCCCATTGGGCCGTTCCTGTGATGGCATCATCGCGGATAACGAATGCTCCGCGCTACATCGAGCCAAAAGCAGTGGTTGCATGGCGAACAGCGCCTACAAAATGACGACTTTTTTCTTCTAATTCCTTTTCGGTAGATGCGAGGCGGGGAAAAAACACCAGACGAGCGTGCATCCAATCTATACTACAGAAAATCTATATAAATCGCTAGCTGACCGCGTCCCGGCAATCTACATTCTTCTATCCCTATATATCCAATCCACACCAAGAGCCTTTGATCAACACAACAAAAAACAATGTCTGTCGCCGCCGAGTTTGAAGCTGCGAACAAGCAGTACGCTGCGCAATTCACCAAAGGCGACCTGCCCCTTCCTCCCGGCCGGTACGTGTCCTCTTCCGCTGTGGTGGTTGTGTCGTGGTGAGTTGTTGTTGTCATGATTGGGGGTTGGTCATGTCGAAAAAACAAAAAGCTACAATGATTGCCCCCCCCCCCGGATATCGAGCGAAGGCTCTAAAAATAAATAGAAAAGTCACCATCGTCACTTGCATGGACGCCCGCATCGACCCCGCCCGCGCTCTCGGTCTCAGCGAGGGCGACGCGCACGTCATCCGCAACGCCGGCGGGCGCGCCTCCGAAGCTCTCCGTTCCGTCGTCATTTCCCAGCAACTCCTCGGAACCCGCGAGATTGTCCTCATCCACCACGTACGTTTTTTTTTTTTTTTTTTTTTTTTCCTCGCTTCGCTCGACGTGGGGGCGGCTGTGATCGCGTTTCGTTTTGCAAGGGGGGAAAAAGTGTGTTGCTGACAACACAGAAAAGACCGACTGCGGCATGTTGACGTTTACCGACGACGGCCTGCGCAGCAAGCTCCGGACCGAGCTCGAGGAAAACGCCGACCACGTCTCGTTTTTGCCTTTTGCCAACCTGAGGCAGAGCGTCGTCGACGACGTGGCGCTGCTGCAAAAGTCGGGCCTCGTGCTCGACGTGCCCGTCACCGGCTACATCTACGACGTCAAGACGGGCACGATTGACAAGGTGTAAAGGCGGCGGCGAGCCTGTTCTTTTTTCACGAGGGCGTAAGGGACGCCGAGGAGGACGTAGCGAGGTAGAGGAGACGTGCTTAATAAATACAGTCATTTGAAAACTTGCTAAAAATGCCCCAGCATGTGTTGTGTACATGTGTGTTGTTGCAAAACAAGGAACCCTTTTTGCCTCCGAGATATCTTCACCACCTTCCATGCCGTAAGTACAAAGTCGCTAGCAGAAAAAAACAGCAACAACGAGTTATTAAAAAGGTAGATAGAGTGGACAAACGCGGCCGTGACTTGGGGGTATTCATCGCAAACCATGTCGTTAGAGAGAGCATCTCCACCACATCGTAGACATGCCCCCATCGCTTATATGCTCGCATGACGCAAATTGTAGGTTGATCGAGGGAATTGTAGCGCTAGTTCTTGCTGCTGTCACTTTCTGGCTCGAACTTGGTTTCGCCGAGCATTTGGCCCTGCGTCGTCATGGCCGCCTGCGTCGTCTGCGGCTGCGTCTCGACCGGCGGCCCGGCCGTCTGCGCCGCAGGCTGCGGCGCCTGCCTGGCCGCGGCGTTGGTGGCCGCGCTCAGGCGCTGATCCAGAGCGCGGAGCGCAATCGCCCTGCGCCGTTCCGCCTCGGCGCGCGCGCCACCCGCCCCCGGCCCAGCACCGCCTGCACCACGGCGCGGCGGCAGCCCGTCGGCCGCGGAAAACGGCGTGCAGAGACGCACGGCGACGAGCACGTCAAAGATTTGATCCGCGACGGCGGCGACGGCGGGCTTGACGGGGGCGGGGAAAAACTCGGCAAACGCAAACGTCTCCGAGGCGTCGCCGCGCAGGGCGGCGGGCTGGGTGGCGTCGAGGTCGGGAAAGACCGACTTGTAGAAGCGCAGGTAGGTCCAGCTGGCGAGGAAGCCGTAGAGAGCCTGCCAGACGGCAGCGCGGGAGAGCAGCGGGGTGAGCCCGAGGAGGGCGACGAGGCCGATGTAGAGGAGCGGGGTGCGCATGACGCGGAGGGAGACGACGCCGCGGAAGAGCGTGACGGTGTGGGCGGGGACGAGCTGGCTAAAGGCGACGAGGAAAGCGATTTGGAGGGGAATAGTGCCGGCTATGACGGTGAGTCTGGGATGCGGGTCAGCTTGGTACAGAGTGGTTGTGCAGGAGGGAGAGAGTACGCACGTCCAACGCTCGTTGCGGGTGAGGGTGAAGAAGAAGACCATGGTGGCAAATGTCAGCAGGTTGGGCACCAGGGACACGACGACGAGAAACTTGGCCAAGTCGGCCGAGGACCAGGCGCGCTCGAGGTAGCGGCCGCCGTGGTAGAGCGCAACGCAGGCCATGCCGAGCGTGAAGAGGTTGCCCTCGACGAGCGTGGCCGTCAAAAAGGTCCACGGGTAGACGAGCGACAGCTGCGGGACGAGCGTCAGGTAGGGGAGCACGAGGCTGCTGCCGGCCGCCGGCGTCGTCTCGGTCCACTGGCGGTAGCGGATGGCGGCGCTCAGGGCCGACTGCGCGGCGAGGGTGACGAGCAGCGCCCGCGTGACGGGGGGGATGTTGATGCGCGGCGGCATGGTGGTGGGTGTTTGGGTCGGCCGGCCCGGGATCGCGCTGGCGGGTGTTGGTCGGGGTCGATGAGGATGGGTCGTTTTCGAGCAGGTTGGGGTATCCTGGTCGGCTAGCAATCCATGAGAACGCGGTCGGTGGTGAGCGGTGGCTGGTGGTGCGGTTGGAGGAAGCAGAACCAACGGCAACGGCGACGTTGATGCTTTGCTGGAGCTTTTCTTGGGAGCTGGCAGCAAAGTGGCGCTAATCCTGATTGGGAAGCCCCTGTGGTTTGCGTTATGCGCCCGCTGGTCGTGTCCACGGTAACTATTGATTCACGAAAAGTAGAGCAGAGTTTTGGGGCAAAACGGGTCGACTAGTTATTGCGTATCAATTAATTTGTATATGTCGTTGATTCGGGTCCAAGTTTTGTTGGAACCGTAAAATTGAAGCTACGGCGTGAGAGGAAGAGCGCATGTTCAGGCAAAGGAGAGACGCACGTGTAGGATACAGATCGCGAATGATAAGTGATGGTCAGTGGGAACTGTTGATAGGGAGAGTTGGTAAATGTTTGTGTATGTGATACTTTGTTGTGTTGATGTTGTCGGTTATCTAGTGACAGTAGACGGTTACGAGATTCATTACCAGATCCTGTACTCTTTCTCTTGCTGTGCGACTGGCATATGAGCCCGTCTTCAATTTGTCCAAAGTTCGACCTGGAAGTAAAAGTTGGCTGCAAAGAGCGTGTCCTTTTCGCTGATTGGGGACCGGATCAGACAATAGACCACGCTCAGGCAGGGATCCGGGTCATTGCACCCTATTCGTATGCATGGTGCGATGTGGGCAGTGAGGGCTACGTGTTTTGCAGGCATGGCATGGGTAGGTATGAGATCAAGACTGGGGTATGGTTACAGGGGCGAACAAAGACGAGCATATCCAATGCGAATGTTGGCGCAAGACCAACAGGGGTGGGATTGTCTTTGTTGGTATTTTTCTTTTGTCTTGACGGGACTGAACGAATACTTAGGGCTCTTGTCGCGCATGTGAGGCGGATGGGAAGCATGGGGAGGATAAATGCCGTGGATGTATTTTAAAGACCGGTCTTAAAATGCTCAGATATAATTTATTAAGAATAACTTGGCAGTTACTTTTTTAGCGCCGAAACTGGCAGATATCCACAGCTGGGGCCCTGCATTGGAGGAATCGGGGCGTGGGTGGGAGCGAGAGAGCTGCAGGTTGTGTATTTTGATGGTTATGATGTGCGCTGGAAGGGGTTTAGCCTGGTACGAGATACGTTGGGATGAGGATAGGTCAAGCAAGATGGGTACATTTTAGGTAGGCGAGGTACTGCTAGATTATGCTATGCGCTATGCCCCGCCAACCACACAGCATGTTTTCAATGCCCCCTCTACCCCTGTAGGGGATCTGTTCAGGCACTTCTGTACCGGTACTTGGCTTGCCAACAGGGCGGAAGCAGGAGGACAGACAGCGGGATACTTGAATAGAGGTACCTCCCGGTAGTGTCAGCGGCCGTACGTACCTTTTGGCCGGTGTCCTAGTGATCTAGGTACTTGGTACTAAGTGGTTACGGTTCTAGTTTCCCAGTTCCCTACTAACTTAGTAGTTAGTTACCTGCCCTGCCCTGCCTTTCTTTTCCCTTGGCTTGGCTGGCCTCCCACGCCAGTCTGCGCCCGCGCCCGCGCCCGCGTCCCCAAGTGTGGATTTCATCTCGCTCTTGAATCTTCACTCACTCAAAATATCCCCGTTTCACCTCCTCATCGTGCCTTTCGTCCCCGAACAAAACTTGCCTCTCGCTCGCCCTCCTCGCCCGGGCCCCTCGATCCCCGTCTCCCGGACGTCGCCGCCGTCCTCAATTCTTCTCATCTGGTCGCAACCTTCTCCGCCGTCCTCCCCCTCGGCCGCCGTCCCGGGCGCGCATTTCGCCTCGACCTGACCACCCACGCCCCCCAAAAAAGCCCAGCCCGGAAAAAACGCCATGGTCACCAAGGAGTTTCTCGACTCGGACAGAGTCAACTTTCTCATCTGGAGGTACGCACCCCCAAACACCCCGGTCCCCCTCCTTTTTCTGCCATGATTCTCTTCTGCCTTGTCGTCGCTCTCATTTGCTCTCATTTTTATGCCGTCTTTCCCCCGCCGCTCTCTCTCTTTTCCGCTGCCGGCTGCCTCGCCTGTCTGCCGCCCCTGGTACTAACTTTAGCCTCACAGGTACCTCTTGGAAGGCAGTACGTTGTCTCCCCGACTCGGCGAACCGCAAATCGTCATTGTCGCACACTCATCCAATCCCCTACTCACCTGCTCACCCCTCTCAGATTATCGCGAGACTGCCGCCAAGTTTCAAAAAGAATGGCACGTTCGCGAACCTCACCGCGACTTGGAGTTTGCGCCCCACGTCAAGGGCCACGCTCTACTTTCCGTCGTCAATCGCGGCCTGCTCTACAATGCCCTCGAGCGCGACCAGGCACGCAAAGGCGTAAGTAACCACGCTTCCTCGCCCGTCACTTGTCACCCACTACTTCATGCATAATTGCGCCCCATTTCCCTCTTGTTTGCCATGACCCGCATCCTCATCCCCCTCCTCATCCCGCTCATCAACCCCGCGTAATTTCGCTCCCACCTCGTTGCTAACCCATCTTACCCGCGGCGCAGCTGCCCATCGGCGTCACCACTGAGCCCGAGGCTATCAAAAATGGCATCTTCGGCCCTCTAGACTCACCTCTTAGGGCAAAGAAGGAATACGACGAAGAGGCCACGGCCGTCGCCATCGAGGCTGCTCGCAAGCGCTCCCTCCCCAACATCACACACGTCAACGGATCATCACCAAAGCGCCCACGTGTCGCCAATGGCTACGAAAATGGCAGCCCGTCAGCCCCCGGATCCGCCACTCCCATGGACATTGACAACTCGGACAACCACGACAACCACGCCTACCCTTCGCCTCTCGAGGGCGAACAGGCACCCCAACCCGTCTCCCGCACTGACGGCCCCGAGCAGGGCACGCAGGTTGAAAAGGTCGAGGAACTCACCCCCAACACCACCTTCATCCGCCTCGCCGACGACGCCACGCACCCCGAGGCTACCACAGCTGCCGCCTCAGCCTCTGGCTCTCCTGCCACCACCGAGAACGCGCCCATCCTCCTGCAGTGCGAGTGGAACCCCAAAGACCCATCCGCATTGGCAGCTACTGGTACCGATGCGCTAGCCCGAGTCTGGACAGTTTCTCGTACTACTACACCAGGCGACACCCATGATCACGTGTCGCACGCTCACAACCTCATCAGCCCGGATACTCCCAGAACAACCACCGTGACTGCCCTGGCCTGGACCTCGGACGGCTCTGCGATTGCCGTCGCCGCCGACCTAGGCACCCAGGCTGCCGTCAACATCTGGTCTGCCGAGGGCATCCACGTCCAGTCTATGGAGGTTCCCGAACCCCCCGTCGTCAAGCTCTTATGGAATCCCTCCAACACTGGTCTCCTTGCTATCTCCCCAGAAAAGGGCGGCGCCGTCGTCACCGTCTACTCATCACTAACAGGTACCTCATTGTCCCATCGTCTCCCTAACCAGGATATCGGCGCTACCCCCCTCGATGCCACATGGATTGGCGACTCGGACTTTTTGCTCTGCGGCGGCGATCTGCTCGTTTGCCTGCATTGCACCGATTCCTCCATCGTACAAGTTCGGAAGTTTGAAACCAAGGACGACGATAGTTTCTCCCAAGTCATGTTTGACTGGCGGTCCAGATTGGCCGCCACTTCCAGCGACAGGGGAGTTCTCGATGTAAGCTGATATCCCATGATTCCCGAACAATGCAAGAAAGACAACCCGCAGGGCAAGTAAGCCGGCCGAGGAGCACAAGACTGACAGTTGCAGCTTTGGGATGAGTCTGGTCAACGAAGATCTATATCCGCACACCAAGGAGCCATCACTACCATGGAATGGCAGCCCCTCCCCGCCTCACACCCCGTATCGGACGACGAGCGACTCATTGCCACTGGCGGCGACGACTGCGCCATACTAATATGGAATGCACGCAGACCTGAGAGCAAAGCGAAATGCTTTCTCACTATGGACTCACCCATTGTACGCCTCGCCTTCACCCCCGACGGCGCCTTCATTGCCGGCGCCACCTCGAGCCAGGTTCTTATATGGAAGGTGGGCAACACAACCATGCCCCGTGCGTGCTGGAATCGGCCGCCGCATCCTGGCTGGCTCAGCCCTAAGGAGACTGACGAAGAGGATGAGCACTGCCTCTGCTGGGACATGACGGGCCAAAAACTGGCCTATGGATCAAATAGCCGGGTATGTTTCGTCACGCTTGTCTCTGCTGCACTTGCTAATTGTCCTAGCTGGCTGTTATAAACTTTCGACGATGATATTGACGACTTATAAACTATACTTTCTATTGGCTTTGACTTTGGCAGGTGCCAGAGCCGCCACGGGCCACGATTACCCACCCGTCGACCCGGTGTCAAATACTATTGGGCTACGAAGATGGATAATGTTTTGTACTTGGTGCACTGGAGACATTTTACCCCACGGATTTTTTTTTTGTATAAATCGGCATGGTCAAAGAACGATGCCCGGAAACACCGCTCCAACAAAAATTCGCTAAAAAAAGGACAAGAGGGACAAAAGTCGCAAGTACGATGACAACTCGTAAGCAGAGTACTGGATACTCTGCTCATGGTTGAACTTGGTTGCAAGCGAATTCATTTCCTGGTTATGATGCATAGACGTCGCAATATGGGAGTGTGGATTGTTTCTTATCGTTTGAATAGGCGATGAATAGTTGGGATCTTTGAAACAGGAACAGGAGTCGTGGGCATTATTTGCTGTCATGTATTTGCTTTTGGGAGTTTTCATGGGGCGGTCTTCTATCTGAGAGGTATATTCTTTTCCTCATTTATGGCTAGCGCGGAGCTGGTTATATCATTCGCGTCTTTTTTTATGTTTACTGTTTCCAGTAGTGTACATTATAAGATTTACTATAGGTGTACGAAGTACAACGAAGCGTTTTTCTATGCATCATTAATGAAGGCGAGGTGGGTGGCTGCATGGCACGTACTGATATCACTGTCTATCAATAGTGCTACTCCATCCTTGTCTCTTTCTGACATGTGTGAGTTTTGTTATCGTGAAACATTTCTTTTTTTGGCGTTGTCGCTGTTTGTCGTTTGGTCTTGGTCGATATTGATCGGCGAGGGGCCAGCAGCCGCGCGCGCGTGCAACTAGAACCGCCCCGCACCATCCTCCTCGACATATCTACATACCTACCTACGCACGGTTTCCACTACCCGCGCACCACCATCTCAACTACACAACGCATCCACTGGAGCAAAGACACACCACACACGCACACGACAGAAACTATGTCATCCGCGGCCGGCCCCGCGCGCGCAATGCGTCCCGCCACCGCCGCTGCCGCCTCGTCATCCGCCGCCGCCGCCGCGCACAAGACGCCGGACAAGGGGTCCTCTTTTACCGCCGAGATGCGCGACCGGCAAGCCCGCGGCAAGGACCCGTACACCAAGGACCACGACGAGGAAGAAGAGGAAGAAGAGGAGGAGGAGGATGACGACATGGATATTGATGAGGAGGAAGAGGAAGAGGATGATGACGATGATGGGGTAGAGATGCAGATTGGCAACGTGTGAGTTTTTTTTTTGCCCCCTTCTTCTTCAAACTCCTGGAAAGTATAGAGAATCGTCATGCTGACATGTGTGGGGTGGGGGGGATAACAGACCAAAGAATGAAACCTTTGAGGAGCGCCAGAGCAGGCAGTTTGCGCTGGCGGTGCTGGACAGCCCGGAGCAGCTGATGATGTACGCCCAGAGCACCAACGATGTGAGTCCCCCCCCCCCTTGCTGCTTTCAATCTACAAACGAGTGTCGGGAAGAAGGAGAACGGCTGACGGCTAGGGGCGGTGGCAGAGCATACCGGGGCAGAGATATCGGTTCATGACGACGCTGTGCGGCTTCAGCGGCGAGGAGGGCTCGGTGCCGGCGGCGCAGCAGCAGCAGCCGGCCAGGACAGCGCGGCGACGGTGATGTGATGGGGAAAAAAGGTGAAGGTGTGCGCGGGTTTTTGTTTTTTAAATCTAATCAAGGAATACTGTTGAAAGCCCAGGCTTTTGCAGAACCAAACACTACAGGGGGACCATGTGTTGGCAGTCTGAGAAGATTACCAGATATATTAGGACAAAAATGACCGATAAGGTGTTTTCAGTAGACGGAGAACAAGTTGTCTGTTTTAACACAACATGATAAAAAAAGAAAGTCCTATGGACTTTGGCGGTCTCTCCCGCCGGGAATTGAACCCGGGTCTCAAGCGTGACAAGCTTGCATACTGACCACTATACTACGGAAGATGTTCCGGGTGTTCAATCACCCGTCGTAGCTGAATGCTCATTGGTTGAAAATATTTGTCCTTATTCATGTCTATAAGCATGTCTTACCATAACGCTGTTCCTTTGCCACAGGTTCTTCCTCCCATGCTCTCCTCATGTATAGGCTTCAGGCTGCTCATTCACGTCTATTCATCCTATGCAAAATAACCTCTGCTCATTCTAAATCTATTCCAAGAATGCCCATCCGTGGCAGGGAAAACCAAATGCATATGTCCAAAAATACAACTCCGAAACGCCATTCAATGCTAAAAACGGCCAACATGAAAAATAAACAGCAAGGCCATCTCATATCGGCATAACCAAAGTCAGCCTCTTCTGCCCGCATCATCTATGCGTATCTAGGTCCACTTCCACGGTTTCCATAGTTGTAGGTAGGAGGCGGATGCGGCGGCGGGGCAAAGTCATGCACACCATTGCCAAATGAGTTGTTATTCCCGTACACCTCGCCTCTCGGGGGACCAGGCGGCGGCGGGACGTCAAAGCCATTGGCCGGCGACATGGTCGGTCCAGGCTGCGGCCGCCACTGGGCGTTGGCGTAGGGGTTCCAGGCACCGGATGACCCGTTGGAGGGCGGCGGGCTGACGGGCTTGTTGCGGACGACGCGGCGGCGGCCGGCACGGCGGACGCAACTGCACACACACGAGAGGAGGACGGCGATAACCAGCAGGCCGACGACGCAGGTGACGGGAATGGAAATGGCCTTGTTTCCCAGAAACCATTGGGTAAACTCCTTCCACCAGGAGCTGCCCTTGCACTGGCCGTCCTGGCACCGCCCGCCGCCGCTACAGCTGGTGCCGTCGAGGAAGTTTTGGTTGTAGAAAGCGCACGAGCCGCCCATAAACGACGGCGACTCGCACAGCATAAGGCAGTCGTTGCGGCACGCCTTGGTGTTGTTGCTGTGCGTCAGCCCGCCTGCGGCCACCTGGCATTGGCGATCCCGCGAGGTGCACTGGCCTGAGGCACACTCGAGCCCGGTGCCGCACGACTCGCCCGCCTTCTTGTGCTCGTCGGGCGGGCAGTTGGCCGAGTTGCCGGGGCACTTTTCCTCGGGATCGCACTCGCCAGTGCTGGCGCGGCAGACTGTGCCCGACCCAGCAAACTGACAGTTGTCGGAGCAGCAGTCTTCGTTGGCCGGATCGCAGACGGCGTTCTGCGAGAACTTGCACGTTTTAGAGTTGCAGCACTTATTGGTGCCGCACCCCTCGGTTCCGCCGCAGTCGCAGTCCTCACCAGGCTCGACAATGCCGTTGCCGCAGACGCCCTCGGTAATGGTTTCAACATTTTTGTTGTCTGTCAGACAGTCTGACTTGACATTGCCCATGAGGCCGGAGCAGATGTTGCCAATTGTGCAGGGGGAGAATTGGGTGATGCCGTTGCCCGTGGAGGGGTTCATGATGAATTGAGCACCGGCATCGCATCCACCTACCTTGAGGGGACAGCAGGACTGGGCAGACTGCTTGACGGGACACAGATCGGGGGTACAGTCGTGCACAGCACCAAAGGTGTGCCCTGTCTCGTGAGCGAAGATTTGCCATTCGGTAGGGCCATTGACTACGACATTGGTACTGGCAATCGTGTCATTGGTTCCGCCGTTGGGCGCAGACCCCTGACGGCAGAGCTGGCCGCGCCAGGCCAGACCGACAGCGTTATCGGTTGGGCATTTGGTTAGGAGTGTCCAGTAGGCATTTTTGTCCTGAGACTTGCCTCGCCAAGCGGAAAATGTGTTGAGTCGATTGGTGATGCTAAAGTCGGGCGAGCAGTCCACATTCCACGGGGTCGCAGAGGTGCCTCCGCTGGAGCAGTTTGCTTCAATGACAGTCAAGTTTCGGACAGCCAGGGAAATCTTGAAGGTGCTCTCGTAGAGTTCCGAAGCCTTGTTGACGACACCGAGTACGTGCTTCTGGATGGCGTCTTTGGAGCCAAATATGCCCCAATACGTGCAGTCGGTGGCGATTCCGACAAGGGCGACCTTTTTCGTGGTGGGACATCCATTCACGGAGCCGATGCTGGCGTACAAGTTGCCTGCAGGGTCACCGCCGCCGCCGCCATCAATCGATTGGCGACCAAAGAGTTGGTGGGTTGGCATGGATTGCAGAGGGCTAAAGTCTCGGGCAACAGGATCATATTTCGAATTAAAGGTCAGCGTGTCGGAGTCGCAGAGTGCGCTGCCAGCAGTACTCCGACGCTTCAACTCGGACTGGGTATAATCGAGAGGGATAATGTCCGAGTCGCGCCACACCACCATGGTCGTGTCAGCAGCGCGCTGGTCGGGGAGCTGCACGCTAGGGTCACCCTTGTGCTTGACCAGACGATACTTGGCAGCGGTCTCAATGTGGTGGTTGTTGCCGTCAATACGGAAGGCACCGTCAAAAACGGGCTTTTCACCGTCCTTCAAGACTATGATTCTGGCCCAGCCCGCGGCGGACCACCCGTCAAGGCCATGGCGCTGGATGAAGGCTTGGCCCTTGAAGACCTTCTGGTCGGACCGCAGAACGGGGTGTGCAGCAGCGACGCTGCCGTCGGAACCAAGAACAGTAATAGCCAGGTCGTCGGGGATGATGTCGTTGTTGGGCTCAAGGGCGAGCCTGATTTTCTGGTGACCATTGTGGAGGGTAAATGTGAGGTCGAACTTGGACTGTGCATTCACTCGGTGCGAGTGCGTATGTATTTGGACATTGTCAATGAGCGTGATATAGTCGACAGGATTTCGCTCAAAAGACTCAGCTTGTTATTGGGCATGCGTGGGTTAGCCTGGGAACAGATGGTGAAGCCAAGCAGCGATGACGGCGAAGCGACTTACCGAGTGACGTCTGGAAGAAGAGGGCAGCGCTGGCTACGGCGGCCGCGAGGGCCTGTAACGCAAGCATGTTGACGCCGGCAGAGAGCAGGACTGATCTTGGCAGCCGTTGCTCCCGTCAGGATGATGCGAAATGAAGTTGTTACGCTCGACAGGACTCCATTCGGGTTTAACCAGCGGTAAACTCTGGGGGTGGATCGTGAGAGGGCCGACTGGTCCGGGGTCTGTCGAAATATCCCCAAAAAAAGCGCCGTCGAGCGAGTACAGGTGTGCGTACGTACTATCGAGGATTTGTGGTCGATGAAGGAAGAGGAGGAGGAGGAGAGTGTGCAGTGTGCGCGCGACCGTTGAAGCTATTCAAACAAGCGAGGGTTTGAGCGTAGCCTCCTTTTGCTTGGGGATGTTGTAGTCAAGGTTTGAGAGGCTCGCTTGTTGGGCAGGACCGGTCAGTTCAGTGGATGCGGATGGGCTTGGGAGGCTGAGGGCGCACCGGTGCAAGAAAGGCAGGTTTAGGTTAGTATTGGAGGTGCCTTGTCTTGGTAGGTGGCCAGCCAAGCCAGCCAGGTATGTCGGGAGGTACCTATCCGTGTAAAGACGGAGGTATCTCGCGGCGGACAGGGCTATAATTCGCTACAAAGGCTGCCCGAGTATTGGGTACCACCTATTCAGAATTCTGGGGCGGCCGGGTGGCTGACTGCGCCGCAGTCGTTCTGGTCAGCCGAGCGTCGAATAACATGCACCGGGACAAATTTAGAGCACGAACATGCGGCATTATCACGTTCCCCAGAATCCTTTCTTTCAGCCGCTTGACGCATACAACCAAACACGTTCCTTTGTTCTGCATCCCCTTTACCGCAGGTGGCCGGCGTGGCAAAAGGTCCCTAGCTCTAGCGGCCAGCGAATACACCCTACAGGGCCTCGCTCCACTGAAACATGCGCAGCCAAGGAGTCCCCGCTGAGGGCCAAGTCACGACAAACCAATCAGAACGCTCAAACCGCCTTCTGGGCTCCTCCGAGTGTGGCTGTGGCTGCACTGTGCCCGCTGCGGCGCGACGCCGACTGAGGGCGACGACAGTGTTGATAAGCTTAGGTAATAATACTGTGCCATGTGTCTGTATTTGATCTGCACCATATTACTGGGAATAACAAGTATTGATTCCGACCGGCAAATTCAATTCGTCTTGACAATTTGTTCGACAAATCCATCAAAACAAATCTAGCTAATTTGTACCATACCGCCGAATCCTTACTCGTATGTTCCTCTCCCGCGCCCGCCCCCCAAACACGGCCTGTTTGAAATACGTCCTCAAACGTGTACCAGCATCGTTCTTTCCGGCTCTGTTTCTTTCCGAACCCGTCTCTCCCATAATTAGTTCATGCCAGACCAATTTTGTCATTCTCGGCTGTTTCTCCATTAGGTTCTGCACATTCAGTAACACAACAACTCAGCATCACTCGCCATGGCCATGCATCTGACTCTTTCATGCCAACGCAATGCCTGCGCTCTGGACATTGCGTCCCCAAATCAATGGAGCCAGTCGTGACAGCCGCGTGCGACGCTGTGCGAATGTCTCGGTCCGCTACTGTCGGGTGCAGCCGATAAGGCGATGGCCACATCCCATCGTCTTGGTACCAAAGCGGTTTACACGCACACTCTACTGGGAATCACAAATCGGGACTGAACTGCCGTTTCAGTTCGAAAGGCCAACTCAGAACCACTAGTTACGGATCTCCCTTCCGATCTGCCCGGCACACGGCATTTGGGTTGCAACCCGTTCTCGGCGGGCAGTCCGGCGCCAGTTGTGCTTGTCCAACTCGTCACGAAAGGCTCGCTGCATGCATCGACGCTCTGCAGCCCGCTGACGCGCTCTCTCGCAGGAGTCGCGGCTGCTGGCATGCTTGATTGCACACATGGCGTACACAAGCATCACCTTCGCCGTCGGGCGAGCTTAAAAAGGCGCCGGGCAGCTTGTGCAGTATCCCGCAACCATGTTGGTCTGCAGGTATACCTCTTCATCCCAAAATGTATTATCATCAGCTTAGTCGAGAAAATGCCGAAATACGGCTGATGCGGCCTCTATGCCTCGCTCCCTCGGGGCCCGTCTCTGATTTTGAGATGTCCAATGTCTCTCTTAACTTCCTACCGCCGTACCAGGCCATCTCGTATAGCTGGGGCAGCCCGATGAGAGCACCCAACATCACGCCTTTCGCAATCACCATTAATGGAACCAGGCGCTACATTTCCAGCAACTTGCAGTTTGCCCTCGAGCAGATCCACACCGTGTCTAGCAGTGATACCTGGCTTTGGATCGACGCCCTCTGCATCAACATGGAAGACCAAAACGAGAGGAACTGGCAGGTGGCGCAGATGCACAACGTCTTTGCCTCGGCCGACTCTGTCTTGTTCTGCATGGGGCCCGCAGCCAACGACAGCGACTATTTGTTTGACCTTCTCCGCTCGTTTGGATGGGAAGCCGTCGATGTTGGCATTTATCCTGGCCACGGTCTGTTCTTCAATGACACCCACGAGGACGCCACCTTTCCGAACCTTTCGCCCCAGGCACAGCGATTTATCCGTAGACTCGTTTTGGCAGAAAAAATATACGGAAAGCGCCTGCACGATGCCATCGACGCCCTGTCGCGCCGCCCTCACTGGAAACGATGCTGGATCATCCAGGAGCTGGCGCTCGCCAAGCGTGGTATTATTGTGTGCGGAGACAATACCATAGAATTGCACCATTTTTATGCCATCATGCGCGCGCTGGGTAGAGTTCGTGCCTGGCGCGGCAATTTGCCGCCTGTTGGGGACGACTGCTATTTCACGCCCAGCTCGGCGTACAATGCCATGCTTGGCGTTGGCGGCCACATGATGTGCGTGGGCCAGGAAATGGTCTCCATGAAGTTGAGCACGACGCTGCATTGGTTCCTCACCCACTGGGCGTCCACGCGCAACGCGCCTGGTTTGAACGGCCCGTTTTACTTGGCGACTGATCCAAGGGACGTCATCTTTGCCCTTCTCGGCGCTGCCTCAGACCGAGTTAGCCTCGGTATCCATGTCGATTATTCAAAGACGACGCGAGACGTGTACACAGAGGCAACGGTGGCCATGTTCCGCGGTAATGCGGAGCGTGTGATTTTGGAGTTGGCCTCTTTTCCCAAGGACATTGGCGGCCTGCCCACCTGGGTGCCCGACTGGAGCCGTATCGGCCGCCTCGGTATACAAGATCCTATTAGCTACGACAGCTCCTTTTACCTCTTCCAGTCACCGAAGACCATGACCGATCTCACTATCCTTGACGGGTACATCTTGCAGAGGCATGGATACGTCTGCGGGGTTGTCAGGCGTGCTCTGCGGCTTTTCGACTCTAGTCACAACACGGAGCAACAGGCTGCTGCCTTATCTTGTGCGCTGCAGCATGATCGCGTGGCGTGCGTCGAGGACATGCTGGAGTTTATGAATCTCTATGCCCCCGACGTTCCGGAGGACAGCAATGAAACAGTTGAGACACGCCTTTGGCGTACCATTACCACGGACTACCGCCGTAATACCACGATGAGCAACGGATCCACACTGCTCGACGGATACCACGAATGTTGCGGCAGTCTGCTGCGCCGCCAGCCCATACCAGCCAGGGACCTTTCCGCGCTGGCCATTGCCTGGATGCAGATAATACCGGAGGCGGGAGAGGATGAGTCTTCGCAGGGACAGGTAGATGCGTTTGTGAAAGTGGCGCAGGATCGAGCTCTGGAGCTTACACGCAACCGCACGCTGTTCGTGACCGAGGATGGCAGGGTCGGGCTGGGGCCTTACCTGACCCAGCCGGGGGATGTAGTCACGGCACTGGTGGGAAATACCGTACCTACTCTCCTCCGACCGGATCCGGCTGGCGGCGCGTATCAGTACCTGGGTCAGGCCTTTGTGGAGGACATGATGGAGGGCCAGCTGGACCAAGGTGAGCACCGGTATCAGGTGTTTAATCTGGTCTAGTGCATGCCAGAAGGGGCGCAACACTATCATTTGCTGAATGAAGAATCATTGCTGATTAAGTAGCTTGAGTCAATCTATTCTGTTCTGACATGGCTTTTTCCCACTTGTTGTCACGGAGGCTTGTCGGGGATCGGCAGGTGGGGCCGGCGGGCTCCGGAAGGGAGCCGAAAGTGGCACTTGCGGTGATGCATCCCCTCGGAGGTCGTCTTTCGATCCTTTCGGGGGTTCTAAATATGGAACTGCCCAAGTCCGTTGCGTCTACATTGGCGCAGCACTACGTAGCCTTGACCACAGTACGTCTGACGACTCACAGGATATATACGTTGTGTGTTGGTACATTACCACTTCTACATGTTAATAGGGGCATATTAAGAGCTTGTTGACGCGGGAAATAGACGGGTATAGAGACGTGGAGAGGAAGACGGTGCGGGCCGCAGCTTCGGGCGTGCATGAGGATGATTGTGGTGGACTACGACTTTGCGTCGGGGTATTCGTTGGCGCACCCCCCAAAAGGCAGTATTACATACTTGGATCGGGGGAATTGAGATATAACAAAGGATGAGGTAGATTCGAATAGGTTATGAAAGAGTTGGCGCTTTTTTTTTTGGTGCCAGGTTGTCAATCATGTCGTCGACATTGCTCGTCACCTGAGCCCATGCAATGTGCCTCACCGCTGGCATATTCCTTTACGATCCCCCTCCCACCCATTTCCCCCCCCTTTCAGACTTCTCTCATCCCTCCTTGACCGCATCCATGCCATCCAACAAGGACCGGTTATACATTGCGCTGCACCCGCGCGGCGGCACCGTCCATACGCCGCTTGGCCAAGAGAGGTACCCCCTCCCCCGCCTCCTCCTTTCACCCAACCAACAAATTAACCCCGCAGATACCACTGGTCGCTTGTCCTCGCGCCCAAAGGCTCGCACGCGTGCTCGTCCGACCACGTCATCCTGCACGCCAAAGAGACGCTGTCGGAAGGAGGAGGAGGAGTCGCCGGCGGCACATCGACATGGGTGTTTGAGGAGCGCCGCGTGCCGCCTGAGCGCAGCATGCCGCTCCTCGCACGCGTCTGCGTCGCCAAGGTGGTGCAGCGGGAGAAGCTGCTGCAGATACTGCGCGCCGTGCCGGTGCGTGCCGGCGAGGTGCAGGGATGGAACTGCGTCGGCTGGGTGAGGGAGGCGCTCGCGAGGCTGGAGCAGGAGAAGCATGTGCTGGGGCGCAATGTACTGGGCCGTGACTGGGAGGAGCAGAGGGATGCATGCACGGCCTATGTAAAGAGGAAAAAGGAGGCGCATCGGTATGATGGACAGGCGGCCGAGGGCGAGTACGACATGAGTCTGATTCCGACGTGGGATATGCTGCTCGGTCGGGAAACAGTGCCTTGACAATACGACAATACAGAGGCACGCAGTCTTTACAAAGCGCAGGCGCAGTAGTCAAGGGAGAATAAGTAACTCGTATTCCAAATATAAAGTCATTGCACATCAATACCTCAGAAAATCCAAAACAGGTCCATGACCGTCGTGCAGAATAGCAATTTACTACCGGCGCAAGGATAAATCAGATTGGCAGATCTTGGTATCAATTGGAGCTCGAAATCTCCACCACCATCCTGTTTCTATTTTCGGCTTTTTTCATTTTTTTTCTCATGTATATTTATTTCTTGCCACGGGATTCATGGACGGTCGCAATAATCTGGTCGACAACGGATGGATCGGAGAGCTATCAACGGTCAGTATTAAAAAAAAAAGGCAAAACAGATCCTGCAGGATACGTACAGTGCTAGTGTCACCCAGCTGGTCCTCCTCGCCGGCGAGGATCTTTCTCAGGATACGACGCATAATCTTGCCGGAGCGCGTCTTGGGCAGGTCGGTAACGACAAAGACGGCCTTCGGAGCGGCAAAGGGGCCGATGCTCTTGCGGACCTGCATGATGAACTCTTTGCGCAGCGCATCGGTGATTTCGTTGCCCTCCTTGACGGCGACAAAGGCGTTGACGGCCTGGCCGGTCAGCTCGTCGCTGACGCCCACGACGGCGGCCTCGGCAACGGCCGAGTGCTCGATGAGGGCGGCCTCAATCTCGGCGGTGGAGAGACGATGACCGGAAACGTTGACAACGTCGTCGACGCGGCCGCGGATCCAGTAGAAGCCTTCGTAATCACGGGCGGCACCATCACCGGTGAACTATTGAAATTAGCTTGTGTCGCAGGCAATATAGGCGGGATACGCACGTAGTAACCGGGGTATACGTTAAAGTACGTGTCCATGTAGCGCTTGTGGGCACCGTAGACGGTACGGGCCATGCTGGGCCAGGCCTGCTTGAAGGCTAGAACACCCTCAACGTCGTTGCCGTGAATCTCCTCGCCGGAGATGGGGTCGATGATGGCGGGCTCAATGCCGAAGAAAGGCAGCGAAGCGGAGCCGGGCTTGGTGGAAGTGACACCGGCAAGAGGCGTGATGACGTGGGAGCCGGTCTCGGTTTGCCAGTAGGTCTAACAGGTCAGCAGAATTTAGGTCGGGTTATCCAACATACTTACATCGACAACCTGGCATTCCTTTTTTCCGACAATGTCATAGTACCATTTCCAGACCTCGGCGGCAATGGGCTCACCAACGGAACCCAGGACACGGAGGTGCTTCATCTCACCAGTAACGCACTCATCGCCAGCGCGTTTCAGTAGACGCAGGGCGGTGGGAGCAACGTAGAACTGGGTGACCTGGTGCTTGTTGATAATGTCCCAGTAGCGGGAGAAGTTGGGGTAGGCGGGAGTACCCTCAAAGACGACGGTAGTGACACCGAGCAGTAGAGGGGCGTAGACGACGTAAGAGTGGCCAGTAATCCAGCCAACATCACCACCGCAAAAGTAGCGGTCGCCCTCGTGAATATCAAAGACGTGCTTTCCAGTCAAGGCACAGCCTAGGAGGTAACCAGCCGTGGTGTGCATGACACCCTTGGGCTTGCCAGTAGAGCCAGAGGTGTAAAGGAGGAAGAGAGGATCCTCCGAGTTCATGGGCTCGGGGGCAATGTAGTTGGGCCACTTGTCGACCTCATCGTGCCACCAGACATCGCGACCCTCCTGCATGGGGACCTCGGTGCCGGTGCGGCGGAATACAAGACAGCTGTGGACGTTGGGGCACTGTTTGAGAGCGTCGTCGACAATCTTCTTGGTACCAATAAGCTTGCCACCGCGCTTGCCCTCGTCCGAGGTGATGACAACGCGGGAGTCGGCGTCGATGACGCGATCGCGCAGAGAGTCGGCGGAGAAGCCGGCAAAGACGACGGAGTGGACGGCACCGAGGCGGACGCAAGCAAGAATGGCGACAATGGCCTCGGGAATCATGGGGAGGTAGATGGCAACGGTGTCGCCCTTCTTGACACCCATCTTCTTGAGGGTCCAGGCGACCTTGCAGACATCGCGAAGGAGCTCCGAGTAGGTGACACTGCGGCCATCCTCGGCCTCGTCGGCCTCGTAGATGATGGCAACGCGGTTGGGGTCCTTGAGGGCGTGGCGGTCGACGCAGTTGTACGAGGCATTGAGCTCACCCTCGATGAACCACTTGGTGTCGCCGCCCTGGAGCGAGCCACTTGAGACAGTCTCAAAGTCGCGGCTCCAGGAGAGCAGCTCGCGGGCCTTGGTGCTCCAAAACTTGTTGGGCTCTGTGATGGACTCTTTGTAGAGCTTCTGGTACTCTTCGGTGTCTAAGGGAGAAGGGGTTAGCCGAGGAGGGCTTGACCGGACGGGCGGAAGCTGTGGTGGAAGCTAGCTCGTTGTTGGAGGAAGCTAAGCGTGGGGTGAAGGTAGTGGGGGAGGGGTCATCGCAAGACTGGTGATGAGTGGCAACGCGGAAACGGCAACGCAACGTAGAAGTGACGGAATCGTTCGACTGCGAATTGTGCCACTCCGGCTTCGGCACCAAGGTCACCAATTTTCACAGCACGCGCTCCCTCCAAACGGCTGCAGCAGAGCGAGGCGCAAAAAAGTAGAGGGGTCGACTTACTGGTAAGGTGGGGCTTGCTAGGGTGCTCTATGTCGCCATGTCAGTAAGAAAATAAAAAAAAAGAGGTCCTGGTTACATCAGATTGCAGGCGAGAAGGGGGGACGGGGCGAGCGTACTGGCGAGCATCTTTTCGGGAGGGCCTAGTTAGGAGTTGCGTTAGCAGGTTTGCGGTTTCAAGAAGCTGCAGCTGTGGAGGATTCAACTCTCAGCAGCTGGCAAGTCGAGAACGTACTGAGGGCGGCAATGGCCTCCTGGACCTTGTGTTGTTCAGCAGCCATGTTGGCGACTCGCGATGCGACGTTGTGGTGTTGTGCGTGCAGCGATGGAGGCGCGGGGTACGCGGGTATGCAGGTAGAAGTTGGTAGAGCGACGCAGAGGGCGGTTGCCGGTGATGAAGAAGAAAGGGAAGTGGTTTGTACTAATAAGAGAGTAGGCGGTGGTATGAGAGAGGAGAATCGGAGAGCAGAAAGGGGACAGGACGCAAGTTGGAGAGGATGGGGATGATGTGAAGCTTTATATTGCGGGAGGGTGGGAGAGGAGAGTGGGAGCCTCTACTCCGACAAGCTGGAACAAGCCGCGACTAGCAAGGAAGGCACGTAGTATGGCGCGGAGTAGGATTGTCGAGGTACCTTTTCTTAGCTTAGCTTAGCTGTCCATGACCAGACTGCCGTGGATTACCTGGGCCGCAGTTGGTTGCCCGCCTGTATAAATTAATAGGGATTGGAAGGATTGGAGGGGCGCAAGTGCTGGGGTTACATGGGTTACATGGGTTACATTGCGACCAGTACCTTGGGGTCATGGTGGGGAGAGGTACCTTTTGTCCCAGCCTTCCAGCCTTTCCTCTTGCCAAGCTCCAGCCTTCCCGGCCTTGCCACGTCCAAGTGCGCTATAATTATAAGCTGTCTTGGTGCAACTGCTGCACTACTCCGGTCCTCCATTTCTCCGAGGCCTCAACCAACTGTCAACACAACTTCTCGCCAGCACTCTGTACAAGGAAAAAAAAGAGAGACAAAAGCACAAAGACACTCATTTTATCAATCGGCGAATAAGTGAAACCTCCCCGCGGACCCATCCAAGACGCTATACTCTGTACGAATGTAGGTTTATTTTTTTTGGTTCCAGTCTTGACTCTCGAGGACCTGGTCGCCGGCATCGACTCAATTTCGCCCGGCCGGACAAAAGGTACTTTCGGCTGTGCTTCCATCCAGGTACAAGCCCACCATCGCGGCCGTCCGGGGCTGCAGCCTGGCCAGCTGGGGGGCGTTATCCGGTCGGCGCGAGGTAGCCGTGCAAACGCGTTCTTGTTCACTACGAATTAATTCCCTCTTCCTTTCTACGTTGTGACAACATTTGTCGACCAAAAGGAACATCAACCCCCCGACACTCCAATATCAAGTACCAAGTACGCCTACACTTGTCCCACCAAAGCAGGTCCCGGCCGCGCTGCCCCATGACACAGGTTCACTTCAGCCTGGCCCTGTCCCTCCACCACCCCCCGTTGTTGCATGCTCCTGGCAGCAACTCCCATCACCATGTCACCTCCCTTGCTTTGCCGGCGCCGTCTCTGCGACGAGATAAAATGGCTCAAATCTGCCGCTTCCAGTCTCCTGCAGCTCTTTTGGCTGCGTGTCGCCCGTACCCCGCCAGCTTGCAGCCAGACTCGAGCAAATCCTCGCTGCTCCGCAGACTCGGCAAATCTCATCTGGCAGCTCGCAGCAACCCGCTCGCGATGTGCATTGTGCATTCATCCACTGCCTCGTGTGCTCAAGCCCAAGTCGGCGTACGATGAATCAGTACTTCAGAGTCCCTACCTGCATCGAAGCATCAAGCCTCCATCTCATCACCTGCCAGTAGCTCATAACAACTAGTTACCTAGGTAGCTCCCAACCGACAAAATAAGGCAACTCCGGTGCTCACGCTCCATCGCGTACTGAGCCTCCTCTGTATTACCCCGAGTCTTGGCCTCTTCGATGAGCGATCCGATCCGCCGAGTCTTGCTATTTATTTTCCTCCTCCTTGTAAGAATTAGAGTTCCTCCTCTCCTTTCATCTTCTTTCGCTTCTCAACGGCACCGCTATCCTGCGCCCTGCCCTCCCTCCCCTGCACTCTTTGTCTCGGAGTAGGTAGTAATGTGGCTGACTACGCCAGCCAATACCCAGACCTAGACCAGTCGGCAGATGGCCAGCGGGCTGGATTCCCAACTCGGCCAATATTCGTATCGACGGAACCATGCCGCGAACACGGCCCGGCCTCAGTGCCCGTCGCCTATGCGAGACCCCTGTGGAACATCTTACTACACGGATGCCTGCGGATTATCCTCCCGCGTCCTGATGACCAGCGCCAACCGTGATTCGGACACACTTGCACCCTACTACCGCCTGCTCTTCGAACCAGTGCCGATGCTGGGTTGGGTGTAACCATCTTATCATGGTATAAGGCTCTTGATGGAATAAGCTCGCAGCCCCCGCACATTACCAACGCTGACCTGAAGCCAAGACGGGTCTGACAGGCTAACTATACAAATTACTCCCAAGCGAATTCTGACGCAGATTACCGTCTCGGGTTTTCGTAAAATATATGCACCGCTTGTCTTGCTCAGCATATTATGCACGAGCAGCGGTTCTGCACCTTTTCAACACCTACCGTCGCTAGCAATATACTAAAAGGGGACATCCCTGATAACGTGAAATGTTCAACCTAGTAACCATCAGCCGCGAATACTGAATGAGATGTATGGAAGACACGTTGACCGTTTTCAACGCTCCTAAAGATAGTTCGACGGCTATTTCCGGCAGTTTTGCACTGACCGCAACTGAGAGCATGAATTTTCTGTCATTAGCGGTCATCATGATTGCGATGAGCGGCATAATATTTCTATACTGTCGTCCTGCTATCACTTGCAGTAATTTTCTTTCTTCCTTTTTTTTTCTTCTTTTTTCAACAGGCGCCGGCTGGATACCCTCAAGTGATTTCCCCAACAACGACTTCCGAGCCTTGTCCGCCCCCACCATCTGCATTCCCGATCAGTCAATCGAAATATCGTCAATTACGTAATCAATCCGAGTAGACGCCAAATGACCAGTCTGCAAGTGATTGAGCGTACTCCGTACCTGAGCCGTAATACGCAGGTCAAAATCGAAAAAATAGGCAATTTATTCTCTTCTCTCCAGAAAAGGGGTATGTTTTACTCATAGATGCCTCAGTCAAGCTCAGTGGCAGGTCAAATAGCCTACAGCTTCGTTTCTGCCCGCTGCCCGATTGAGTGCGGCGCGGCGGCTCCACTCTCAAAGACACACGAATCGCAATCAGGCGATTTGAACCTGGCCCTTGGTTTCCTCTATCCCCCATGCAGGGTTGCCTGGATCAGGGCAAAAGAGACTGCGCGTGCGAAACGGCATCGCCATCGGAATATCCAGATCTTGCCCAGATCTTTCCAAGGGGGGCCCCAGCCCAGCCCAGCCCTTCCATTGGCAACGTCGGGCCACACACTGCCACGCCCACGCGCGCGCGGCGCGCATCGCCCTCCCCAACCCTGGCAAGGTACAAAAAAAAAGAACTCAACCAAAAAAGGCCTTGCACATGGTCCGGCAGTCAACGCAGGCACCGTCGGCCGAGGCAGCCGGGGGTGACGGAGACGACGGGCCTCATCGCCGGGAGAGTCGGCCTCTAGACGAGAGCGACGCCGCCCAAACACCCAGTAGCCACCAAAACGAGGACACCGGGTCGGCCACGGCGGCTAAGAAGAGGAAACTCGGCGCCGCCAGCAGCCGTGGCGTCGCCAACCTCACCCCGGAGCAGCTGGCCAAGAAGCGCGCCAACGGTATGCTTCTCGTTTTGTTGCGCCTTTCTGCTCACCCCTGCTACTGCCAAACTAACCCCGGCTATCCAGACCGAGAAGCGCAGAGAGCCATTCGCGAGCGCACAAAGAACCAGATCCAGACGCTGGAGCGCCGCATCGCGGAGCTCACCGGACTAGAGCCGTACCAGGAGCTGCAGGCCGCGCTCGAGGCCAAGGCGGCCGTCGAGCGGGAGAATGCCGAGATGCGCCAGCGGCTCGCCGCCGTGGTTGGCATGCTGCAGCCCCTCATCAGTTCGTTCCCTTTTTTTTGGGCCAATTGGCTCCCCTCTTGACGAAGAAAGCGCGCGCTGACAGACCGATTATCACCAGGCGCGGAACACCAGCAGCAGCTTCAAAGTACCGGCACCCGAGGGATGGCAGAACCGGACAGCAACCACAACAGACGCACGCACTCGCCGCCGCCGCCCGGCCAGCCGACAACGACAACCGTACCAACAACGACCAACGGACACGTCACGCAGCGGCTCAACGACCTCGATCAGCAGCGGGAGCAGCTCCGGCACGGTCTCGACATGGGTCCGGAGCGGCTCGGTCTCGGCTTTCTCCTCGACGCCAGCCACCACGTCGCGCGCATCCAGGCCGCCGCCGCCGCCGACACGCTGCCAGCCACCTACCGCTACCCAAACGTATACACCCAGCAGCAACACCACCAACAACAACAGCAGCAGCAGCAAGCGCCGTCCGTCGCCGGCAGCGGCAGCGCCTCGCCCGGGCCGTCCACCGTGTCCTCGTCCGCGCCCCAGTGGCAGCCCAATACCACCTACACCAGCGCCTTCTTCTCCGGCTACCCGGCCTACGCCGACAACACCACGTCCGCGGCCGGCGACGACGGCGACGACGAGGACGCGGCCAGCAACGCCGACGAGGCCATGGACACGGGCAGCGGGCCGCCGACGATCCTGCGGTACGCCTGCCCCGTGCGCACCACGCCGCCGACGTGCCCGCTCGACGCCCTCCTCCTCGACTTCCTGCACGAGCGCCGGCAGCGGGCCGCCGAGGGCCTGCCGACGCACGAGGTCCTCGGGCCGCGGTACCCGTCGGTGTCGTCGCTGCTCAACCCGGCGCACAGCGCGTGCGCGCACCCGCTCTCGCGCGTCTTCACCGACATCCTCGCCAAGTTCCCCGCCATCTCGGGCCTGCCCGAGCGCGTCGCCGTCCTCTACCTCATGTTCCTCCTCATGCGCTGGCAGGTCAGCCCCACGCGCGGCAACTACGAGCGGCTGCCGCGCTGGGCGCGCCCGCTGCGCGCCCAGCTCCGCGCTCCGCCGCACCCGGCCTGGATCGACCACCTGCCGTTCCCCCGCATGCGCGCCGTGCTCGTGCGCGACCACGCCTCGGGCCTCTACCCGTTTGACGACTTCTCCGTCGCGTACACGACCACGCTGACGCTCTCCTGGCCGTATCACGATACCGACACCCTGCTCCAGAGCCCCCACTCCGAGGAGCTCATGATCAATCCCGTCTTTGAGCGCCATCTGAGGAACTTGGACAATTGGAAGCTCGGCGCTGCCTTTGCAAAGGCCTTTCCCGGCCTGGCGGACACAGGCAACGTGCCAGAAGCTGAGCTGGCAAAGGTGCGGGCGGCGGCCACGTCATCAGTGGCGGACGGGGGCGTAGGCGGTGTCGCCGGGGGGGTGTAAACTGATTTGTATCATGATTTCTTTTTTTGTAGTTTCTGGGCTTCGAAATGGTGATTAGGTAAGGAGTTTGGCGGGACACACGTCTGGGGTGTTTGGGTTTAAAATACAACCGCTCTGAATTGAAAGCTCATTTTTAATACATCATGTCAAGGGGTATCTTGATCTGTGACTTTGCTCCAGTCCATATTTCCAGCCTCTGCCTCCGTTAGCTTCCACTACAATGTCCAAAATCAGCGTCGCTGTATTTCCAACTTTATGATTTCCTACCCAGACCGCCCCATTCACTCACCCCTCGTCGCCAAGCTCGCGCACCCCGAGCGAAAACTTTCTCAGGAGCGAGCCCTCGCCCACAAACAAGCTCGGCAGGCGTTCCCTCGGCATCCTCCGAAACGCGAGCGCCCGCACCGGCGTATCCGTCTTGATGCCGCCCAGCCCGCCCAGCCCCCTGCCGCTCTTGAGCGAAAACAGGCGCACGGTGCCATCCTCCTGCGCGGCCGCCACCAGGCCCAGCGTCTCGCACACGTCCCACCCGGTATGCACGTGCGCCTCGTTCTTGTACCCCTCGTAGCGCAGCACGGGCCGCGGCAGCCAGCGCGCGTCGTACGCCACCATGGAGCTCCGCAGGCCGGCCGCGAGCACCATGTGCGTCTCCGCGATGCTGCGCAGGTGCGTGACGGGGCCGGCGGTGTGCGTCGAGCGCCAGTGCGCCGTGGGCGCGCGGAGATCGGCCAGCCACAGCCGGGCGCGCCGGCCGCCGGCGAGGAGCACCTGCGGGTGGTGGTGCAGGAAGTCCTGGGTAAAGGTTTCCTGCGGGATGTGCTTGGTGGCGGTGCTGGGAGGCGGGGCGAGGGGCGACAGCGTCTCGTTGGAGAGCACGCGGACGAGACCGGCGTTGGTGCCGAGGACGCAGAGCAGGTCCGGGGAGGAGGCCGGCGCGGGGGTGGACTGGTGGACGAGCCACTCGGTGCGGGAACGGTGCTGAAAGGACAGTCTCTGGTAGTGGCTGGCTGTGCGAAAATAAGGTCAGCCTACATTTTACACCCCCCCTGAGTAGAAGAGAATAGGGAAGAGGGGAAGAACAACGTACTCTCGCCCAGCAGCCATTGTGGACGCTGGTCGTCGTCGTCGTCGTCGGACAGCAGCGGCGAAAACAGGTACACCCCGCAGGCATGGTCCGGCTCGCGCGAGGTGAGCAGCATCTTGTGCGAGGGCCGGTGGTACCGAATCGACGACATTTGCGGGCAGCGAATCATTTCAGTACGGAGCATTCCCTGCCGACGACCAGAACTCGCCGGTGCGGTTCTCGAAAACGATATTCTACAAAGCAAATCATCAGTCCATAACCCTCGTTTCGGCATCCCAGCAAAAAGCGTACGTATCGTTGTCGTCAGTAGCAATATAGCTCCCTACCAGCGTCTCCTCATCCAGAGCTGTGTGCTGCTCGTCAGCACAAAGCGGTTCAAGTCAGGAGCAGGAGGGAAGAAGAAGGAGGAACAACATACTCGCATAGGCCACGCCCAAGCCCGTCTTGGCATCCTCCCCGCCAACATATAAACACGGCATGTTCGCACTCCTGCCCTGCGTCCGCGCCGCGGAAAACGGCACGTTCCCCTTGTCCACGGTCCCGCGCGCCCACGCCGCCGCCACCAGCGTGCCCTCGTCGTCGACGCCCAGAACCTCCCGCCGCAGCAGGCCCCGCGCCACCAGATCGCCTTCCCACGCGGCGTTGCGCTGCACGTGCCGCCGCATGAGCCGCGCCCGTCGCCGGGTCGCGTCCGCGGCCGCGTCTTCCAGGCGACGTCGCTTGACAGCGTCGGCGGACCACGAGGCCGCAGGGGGCGCGGTGTGGGCTTGCTCGATTTTAAAGTACTTGTTCTTGGCGGCGTCTGTATGGCTCTCTTTAGCATGGGCGACGGGGGGTGTGTTGTAGAGTAAAAAGATGGTCATACCGAAATAGTAACCAGGAAGCTCGGGAGCCATGGTGAAGAAAGTGTTGGCTGTGAATTGTCAGTGTAGATGGATAGGCTAGAGACACGGCTTCCGTGCCGTCCTTTCAGAATTCGTGAGTGGTGGACAGCCGGTCGGCCGCATGCGGTATATTCATGGCGTAAATAATATTGGTAGATGAAAAATTCAGGTCATCAGATTTCATGTACGTTATTTGGATGTAGACACAAGTGTGAGCCATCGAAGGCTCATGTCCCAGAAGTCACGTGACTTTTACAAATTTGGGCTTACAGCAACCAACCCACGAGAGACTTCAGACAGTGTGCACAACCAAACAATCACAATCATAGATCAAGAGTATTTTTACTTTTTATCATTAATGGTCTAAAAAAGACGGAGGTCTAGGGTATGAAAAGTCGCACTTCGCCATTCAACCACTCGGACGCGTCTCATACTCGAAACGACTCATACAATGCAAAATTTAAACAGAGAGAAGACGAAAAGAGCAGCCGAATGGGCGTGCGGGTATGTGCCAATTTGGTATTTACTGAGACTTCTCGTGCTGAGTCGAGACGCGCTGTAGGGAGACAACTGTGAACTGTTAGCAAATTGTGTCTTGTATGTTGAAGAGAAGAGTACATACCAAAGTCTTCCAGAGAACGCTGCTTCTGGTCCTTCTTGGGGGACTTGCCGTGCATCATGTTGTCGAAGCCGGCAGAGCCCTGCATGAAGTAGTAGAGACCACCCATGATGGCGAAGATACCAAAGGAGAAGATCCAGATACGGACAACGGCGACAATGGAGGTCTGCTGGTTGTGCTCGAACCAACCAAAGATACAGAATAGGGTGGCGATAATGTCGACGACCAGAATGGCGCCGGACAACTGCCACGAAGGAATGGACGACCAGAAGGGACCGTTGGCACGGGTGATGAAGATGAGCCAGTTCTCGGTGAGGGAGATCTCGAGGAAGAGAACCTCATCAAGGTTACCAAAGTTCTGGACAATACCACCGTTGCGGTCGTTGGCGAGCATGGTGGTGAGGGCAATCCAGGTACCGACAGCCAGGACAACACCGAGGAAGATGGACATACCCCAGAGCTTGGGCAGGTTCCACTTGACGGGGGTCTGGGAGAAGGGAGCGTTGTCGTAGGCAATGGCAAGGGTAGCGATATCGGCGAAAATGGCAATGAAGACGACAAGCTCAATGTTCAGGGAGCGGTTGAGAATGGCAATCCAGAGACCAAGGAAGATCTCCATGTGCAGGGACAGAGCGATACGGTAAACAACGTAGGCGTACATGCGGTGGAAAATCTGGCGGGAAGTCTTGAGAGCGTCAATGATGGCACCGAGACCGGGGGCGAGGAAAACAATATCGGCGGCGGAACGGGCAGCATCGGAAGCACCCTCGACGGCAATACCAGTATCGGCCTTCTTCAGGGAGGGGGCGTCGTTGACACCGTCACCAGTCATGGCAACGAGGTAACCACGCTGCTGAAGAATCTCGACGACAGCGTACTTGTGCTGGGGGAAGACCTCGGCGAAACCATCAGCAGCCTCGACGAAATCGTAGACCTCAGAACCAGGCATGTCACCACCACCACCGAGACCAAGACGCTCAGCGTTGTAGACGTTGGTGCCGAGACCGAGCTGGCGCGAAGTTTCACGGGCAATACCGACAGCGTCACCAGTAAGCATCTTGATGGAGAGACCGAGGCGCTTGGCCTCGTTGATAGTGCGGGCAGTATCGTGACGAGGGGGGTCAGAGCAGGGCATGATTCCGAGAATTTCCCAAGCACCCTCACCACGCTTGCGGGCAACACCAAGAGAACGGAAACCACGGGTAGCGAATTCAGCGACACAGTTCTTGTAAGCCTTGTCAACTTCCTCGGGGATGGGGTGGTCCTCCTCGACAGTCTTGAGAACGAAGAGAGGGGCACCCTTGACACAGATGATGCGCTCACCCTGGGGAGACTCGACAACAGCCTGAACCTTCTTGGAGACGGGGTCGAAGGGGTGGAAGTCGAGAACCTTGTACTTGGAGAGAACAGACTTGGCGCGGGGGTAGAACTTGAGGGACTTGAGGAAAGCCTTGTCAATGGCGTCGATACCCTTCTTCTTGCGGGAAGCAGCCAGGCAGGCAGTGAGCATGAGGTCATCGGGGTCAACACCGGCGACGGTGAAGGGCTCGGCGAGAGAAAGCTTGTTCTTGGTCAGGGTACCGGTCTTGTCCGAGCAGAGAATCTCGACACCAGCAAGAGACTCGATGGCGGAAAGCTTCTGGACAATAGCCTGCTTCTTGGCGAGGTAGGCGGCACCGACAGCCATGGTGGTGGTGACGACAGCGGGCAGACCGACAGGGACACCGACAATGGTGATGGCCAGGGTGAAGCGGAGAATGTCGACAATGCCGTTGGAGCGGTAGAAGGAAGAAACCCAGACGATGAGGAGAGTCAAGACGACGAGGATCAGAAGAGTCGTACCGATGCCGTTGAGAACCTCGGTGAAATGACCAGTGGCGCCAGCGGACTGGGATACGAGGGCAGCGGCGCGACCAACAAAGGTGTTGTCACCGGTGGAGGTGACGACGATGAAGGCCTCACCACGCTTGACGGCGGAGGAAGCGTAGCAGTTGTCGCCCTTGTGCTTATCGACAGCAAGGGACTCACCAGTGATGGCGGACTGATCAACCTGGAGGAAAGCATCTTCGGTGACGATGCGGCCGTCGGCGGGGATAATGGTACCTTCCTCAACCTGAAGGATGTCACCGGGAACAACTTCGGGGGCCTCAATCTCCTTGAGAGTGCCGTCACGGAGAACGACAGCCTTGAGGGCAAGGGTCTTCTTGAGTTCCTCGACAATAGAACCAGCCTGGAATTCCTGAATGAAACCGACAGCCGCGTTGAGCAGCAGAAGAGCGCAAATGACACCGAAATCGACCCAATCCTGAAGACCGGCAGCGAGAACAGCGGCAGCCTAAAGCAAACATAGTTAGCAACGCCATTGCCGAAAATGATGAGTAAAATTCAATGAGAGCGTAATGCAAATGAAAAATGGATCCAATGAATGCGGCCAAATTGAATGCGCCCGAGAGCGCGCCATCCTTGAAACAAAATTGCACTAGCCGATGAGCTGGAAAAAACTCGAGACACTCCGTGGCAGCCGAGAGGCTGTGACCCGTTCTGCCGAGCCAAGCCAGCCAAGGCCAGCTAGAGCAGCCGGAAGAACCTGCGTGGAGCCGTCTGGCCACGGCGGTGTTTTCGAGTTTATCCGATCGCGGTGGGCTCGTGGGGTTGGCAACTGGTTGTCGTGTTTGGAGAAGCGGCAGAAAGGCCGTCGACAATTGGCCAATTGATGGTGTTGTGGGGCATTCTCTCTTTTTTTCGTTTGCTGGTTCGCGGCAGGTGCGCAGGCCAAAGAGGCATCAGGAAAAGCGCGGATCGACGCCCCCACATCAGCACCGGCCATGTGCGACCAGCCAATTGCTGAGGCACGCCACAGCTCATGTGGAACCAGTAATCTGCGCGGGACAAAAAGCGCGCAACAAAATATGCTGGCCAAGTCGCCAGTCCCAATTCGGGACGTCCGCCCAAAACATTGAGCCTTGCTCTTTGTCTGGGTAAACACGGACCGCACATGGAGGCAGAAATGCGCCAGGCTTCTTTGCGGAGGAATTGGGGTCAAGCCATGGGCAGAGTGTGTTTGCGCGTTCAGTGCGACCATTCAATCGAGGAGACAAAGCGCACACAGATATTGCGATTGCTCTCCCGCCACAAGTAAATGACGTGAACGGACAAGACTCGCACATGTGACACTTGGCCCAGAATCGGGCATATGCGGAAAATGCAGCAAAAAGACGAAAGAAAATAGAAAGCTTACCTCCATAACGAACTGGATAGGACCAACGAAGTAGCCGAAGAACTTGAGAATCAGGTTCTCCTTCTCCTCCTTCATCTGGTTGAGACCGTACTTGCGACGACGCTGGATGACCTCAGCCTCGGTCAGACCAACGCGGGAGTCGGTCTGGAGCATGTCCTCGGGGACGACGCGGCCGGTGGCGGCGTTGGTCTCCTCCTCCTCTTCCTCGACGTTGGCGTGGCCATCCTCGGACTCAAGGTCCTCAATCAGGGCGTCAATGTCCTCATCCTCGTCATCGTCCTCGGCGGCGGGAGTAGCCTTGATGGGAGGGGCAGCGGCTGCCTGCTGGTGCCTCTTCTCGTCGAAGCCACCAGACTCGATGTTGGTGTCGAGCGCGGGAGCGCCGACGTCTTTGCGATCAGCCATTTTTTGCGCTGAGCTTTGTTGGGTATGGTAGTTTGTAGGTTGAATGGCGAATTAGGACTGTAGCGAAGCGAAAAAGATTGAAGGAAGAAACTCAAACAACCAGCTGAAAAAGAGGGCTGATTGAAGATGGGGAATAAAGGGAAGGGGAGACAAAACAAGAATGTAGTGTCAAGCACCGCACGAAATAGGGATGAGGTGGACGTCTAGGCGCAACGCATTCGTGGGTAAAGAGAAAAGAGGAAAAAAGAAGAGAGTCGAGGTGTCTTGGGGAAGGGTGGGAGGAGGTATTTCAATGGGCGGGCCACAGGTTTGTCTAGTGTGTATTATTTTTTTGGCCCGGGATGGGCCTTCTGGGAAGCAGGACCGAGAAGCTTTTCGCCAGCACCAGGTCTAGTTCGCGACAAAGATACTTGGGAGGCGCCAGTGCCTTGGGGAGCGCCATGCGCAAATGCCATCCCGGCACCCTTGTACCTTGTACCTTGGAGCCCGCAGAAACATGGCGATGGGACCGGGGCGAGGAGGACGCTAACCACTGGTACGGTCTTAGTCTTAGCCCCAAAGTGACATGAGTTTTGTGGCGCCAGAGTAAGTGGGAACTCTAACACTTTTCGTGCCTTTTTTTTTTTCCTCCTCTGCTTCTTTTCGCATTGGGGATAACGAGGGGGGAGGGGTGATGCTTCGGAGGTGGATGTCATGATTGTCTGTGCAGGAGGTTGCGCACACCCCCCAAAGTTGCACGATTGTGACTGT